GCTATTTATCTTGCTATTTATCTTGCTATTTATCTTGCTATTTATTTGCTGCTATTTATCTTGCTATTTATCTTGCTATTTATCTTGCTATTTATTTGCTGCTATTTATCTTTCTTATCTGTTTTTTTTTTTTTTTTTTTTTTTTTTTTTTGTTTGTATTTCTTCTATATTGTTTGTATCTCTTCTGTTTTGCTTTGTATTTCTGCTATTTTATTTGTATTTCTTTTATTTTGTTTGTACCTCTAATATTTTAATTCCTATCTCTATAATCTCTTTAATTCCTATCTCTTTGTTTTACTTTCTGTTTGGTTATTTACTTGCTATTTATTATGCTATTTAATTTTCTTGTCTTTTTTTCTCTTCTTTATCTCTTTTGTTTTTTCTTTTGTTCGCTATCTGTTTGGTTATTTACTTTGCTATTTATGCTGCTATTTACTTTTCTTATCTGCTTTTTTTCTATTCTTTAGTGTTCGCTATTTGTTTGGTTATTTACTTGCTATTTATTATGCTATTTACTTTCCTTATCTGTTCTTTTCTCTTCTTCATCTCTTTTGTTTTTTCTTTTGTTTTACTATCTGTTTGGTTATTTACTTTGCCATTTACTTTGCCATTTATTATACCATTTATCCCCTGCTATCTACTCACTGATCTTATTTGCTACTTATTCCCCTGCCCTATGATGAACTATTTCTTCTTTTTGCGCTGGCTTTCGGGTTTCGGTGTGTCGGAGGTTTTTGGTTTTTGGGTTTCGGGTTTTGGGTTTTAGCTAGCTAATCGACTTGGTCTTGGCTTTATTGATGTCTGTCTATCTGTGTGTTTGCGATTTCGATTTGCCTCGCGGTGGATCTCTCTTTTCTGCTTTGTGTCTCGGTGGTTTTAGGGTCTTTGGTCTCGGGTTCCATAGCTGGTTAATCGATCTTCTTTCTGGCTTGCTTGGAATCTGTCTGTCTTGTGTTCGCGATTTGGATTTGCGTGCTACGTTGCTTAGCTTCCAGGTCATTCGGTTTCGGCGTTCTATAGCAAATTATCTGACTTCTTTAACTTCTTTAAACATGGTGTTTGCGACTTGAACTCACGTGCTACTTCTCGGCTTCTTTATACATAAGTATCTATTTCGAACATATTGCCGCCTGGTCTCCTTAGCTCTCCCCTCTCGCTACCTTGCTATTCGCCGTCTCCCTTGTGCGCGATCACGATATGTATACATTCAAAGCGAGACCGCGGCCACTGCAGCCCAACCTTTACTATTACTTCCAATTCGACCTTGTCGTAGAAATCAAACTGTTTCTTCAACAACAAAAAGCCATCGCATACTCATACTCGTGTCTAAATCACAATCTCAGGGTGCTTCTTCCATCTACACCTGTGCCCTTAGCTCACTTCATCTTTAATAGTATTGTCTTTGTTGTCTTTGACCGTGTCATCTCCTCACGCGCCATCTCTGTCGCGCTAGTAGACGCGGACGAAGGTGCAACGTAGGACGATAATAGGAGGGTGTACTCTCCGCGGGCGCAAAAGCAAGCTTTGGCGTAATATGCGCTAAATACACCTCCGTGTATTATATGTCTTTGTCCTTCTATCCGTGCCTACTGAATCCGCTTGCCGATTCTATTCCCGCCTACATAACACGCTCGCGATGGCGTTCGTCTTCTTTCTCGAGATACCTTCCACGTAGCGATATATTCCAAAATATTAGACCTCTTTCATTTTTCTCCTTCCTCCCGTTATATAGACCTACTACCTAAGCCTCTGCAAGTTAACCTTTCGTGTAGGAAGTAAGTCGGGGAGTAGAGAGTCGATAGGTAGATATAGGTAACTACTATAACGTTCGCACTTACTCTTCCCCCTCTCCCTCCTCATCACACTATTCCACTCGTACCGCCATCCACGTCTACCAACCCTCTTAAACCCTTCCCCGGGGCCCCTACCCTACACGCACGCACGCACGACAGCAGCACCACCCACCGCTAACAGGAAGCCTACTCCAGCTCAAACCCAAAGAGCGCTATTCTACACACACACATACACACAGCTCACAGTATCGAAACCGAAAATTCGACGACACGTAAAGTAAAGTACGCAATAGCAACAGCGACAGCAACAGCACCAGCAACAGCACCAGCAACAGCAACAGCACTAGCAACAGCAGCTCGCAGACCCCAGACCAAGAAAGCGTATTATCTACAATCTCGAGTACAGCGAGCACCACCACCCCAACACCTTAACCACCACGCACCAGGCAAGCACAGCATGTGCTACAAGTACAAAAACTCCCGGTACAACCAGCACAGCCCACAGCCTACAAAACAACACATAAAAGCCTTTCAACGAAGCCGTATAGGTAGAGCGTAGGACTATAACAGCCTATCACCAATATAATCACCACCAACCACCATCATATAAAGCATGAGGATAAACAAGTATAAATAATCCAAATATCTTAATTCAGGTATAAGATCTCATCTTATATAAATCCAACCTATCACCTCTAACCCTCTAAATAGCTAGCAACAAATAGCAAGAATATCTCTACCTTCATATCCTTATCCTCCACCATCCCACTAAGTAACCTCAACCGCAACTCTAACTCCAAACCCCACCCTACCCTCAACCACATGCACCAACCGACTATAATAGCAAGCCAGCCAGCCAGCCAGCCAGCCAGCCAGCCAGTCAGTCAATCAGTCAGTCAGCAGCCGTCACTCAACCGACCGACCGACCGACCAACGGACTGACTAGCCGACCGCGCCAAGCAGCTTAAAAGCAAAAGGCAAAGGCAAAAAGCAAAAAAGGGTCCAAGCCCAAGCTTCTAAGTAAGATGCACAAGAATCGAAATTCGAAGCCCTTGGAAGAAACCCACCCCCACACGGCCACGTGCACCCTGGACCCCTACTCCGTTCCCTCCCGTATCACGCAGTCGCTCAGCCCTCACCGCACACGCACCCCCCCACCCTCGCGGACAGTGCGTCGCACGCGTTGAGAGCGAGCTACGAGCGAGCGACCGATGAGCGACGCCTAAACGACGCTACACGCAGTTTAGCGGCCAGGGACGTTGTTATCGCCGCAGGGATGCCGTTGGATCATGGACGGGCGACGGGGCGGGCCCGCCATCCCATGGCGCGATCGCTCGCTCGCGCACTCGCTCCCGACAGCGTGTTCCGCAGCGGGCCGACCGGCGACGGATACGGGCGGGTCGTTCGTTCCTGGCGCGCGCAATGTGCAAACATTGCAACCCAAGGGCTGACTGGCTGGCTGGCTGGCCCTAGGCGTGCCAGGCACGCAGCTCGCAACGACCACAACAACAAAACGGTGCCTGAGGTTGCTGTGGCTGGACCGGACCGGATCTGGCTGGGCTGGGCTGGGCTGGGCTGAGAGCTGAAGCTGAGGGCGAGGCCCAACTAACTACTGCGCCTCACTGGACTTTGTCTCGGCTGGACCTGAAGGGCTGGCTGACTGGCTGGCTTTCAACGCTGGACCCTTGCCTTGTGCCATGCTCTGGTGCGACGCGCGGGTGCAAGGCCAGCCGGCCGGCATGTGGGCATGTGGAGGGGCGGCCGGACATGCAGGTACACGCGAGCGCGCAAACAGGCCCCGAATGACCAGACCAGCGTTTGGCGCTTGCGTGAGTTGTTGTTGTTGTTATTGTTGTTGACAATTTTTCTCTCTTTGTTTTTTTTTTTTTTCTTCAATTTTTTTTTTTTTGGACGGGTTGCGCACGCGCCGATGTCGCAGTTGAGTGCGGTGCGCTCACCGGTCGCAGGGTCCGGCGTTGGGCGGCAGAAAATCTCGGCTTGCGTTCCGGCGATAGCGAAAAGCTGCTGCTGCGGAAATGCGATGGAACGGCGAACGGCCGAAGGCGGAACAGGAAAAGACTTCCACTTCTTGCGACCTTGCACGCCACCACCCACCATCTCCGGCGCGCGCCGGACATTGTGGATCTCCCTTGAATCACCCCCCGGTCGGCGTCGCGTAAACGTAGATCAATCGTAATCGCTTGCGCCGGCATTCGCTCGCAGCTCGCAGCCTTGCTGCTGGCTGCTGCGAGGGCTGGGTTGTTTGGCCGGGTTGCATGCACTTGTTTCGACGGACCGCGTCCCGGCGGGCTAGCTGGCTGCAACGCTGGCTGCCACCTAGGTAGGCACGTAGGCACCAAGCACCAGGCACCACAACACTGCGTTGGCAGCTCTTTGTCTGTCTCACCACTCGTCGTCGTTGTCGACCCCAACGCCGATCCAGCGCACCGGCACGCCGCCCGCGGGCTCTTCGTCGCCGCGCGCGCTGGCCTTGCGCGGCGGCAGCCAGATGCGCGCCTTGCCCATGGCCTTTGCGTCCAGCTTGCCTCCGCGCCGCATGTTCATCTCGAGCACAATGACGCGGAGGAAGTCGCTGTTCTCGCGGGGCTCGCGCTGACGCACCGCCGGGCGGCCGCCGGCCTCCGACGACGCCGCATCGCTGCTGCTGCTGCTGTTGCGGCCCCCCTTGCTGCTGCGCGACTTGTTGCGCGACCGCCGCTCGTACGTCTGCATCTGGATCATGGGCGCGTCGCTGGGCTCCTCGAGAGCCTGCCCGTGGATCAACGCCTCATGCAGCTGCTGCGAGAGCTCGGTCGGGGAGAGCGGCCTGGTGGACGACGACGGGTTCAGGTAGCGGCGCAGCGCTGCTGGCGGAGTGCCTTCGACATGCTTGGGGCGCATCTCGCTTGCGAACCGAGGAGACAGCAAGGAGCGCGTGAGCATGTCATCCGGTGGAATGCTAGGGGCCGTGAAGTTGCTAAATGACCTTGCAGCGGATTTGAGGGCCTGGAAGGATGCAGTGAGGTTGGAAGTGAAGGCTGACCTCAGCCTTGAGGTGGGAGGCTGGCGAGTGATCTGGATTTCAGGCGCAGGGGGCTCTTCGGGTAGCTCCTCGGCTTCCAGGTCGCTATAGTGTAGTAAAGGGTGGTCCAGTATGCAATCCTCCTTTGGGGGAGAAACGGCTTCCTTCTTGCGTTCGGTGCCGGCTCTCCTGTAGAAGGATCCAGACTTGGGTGTGGAAGGGCTGCTGAATGACAACAGCGAGCGCTCATCGGTGTCCAGATCGGGGATGGACGGTACTGATTCGCTGGAAAGGGAACGCGGCGATGAGAAATCGACCTCCTTTGAGCTTGCGTCGCCGATGCTGACGCAATCATCCGAGTCACCATCGTCGACCCTCTCCAGCAGGATATCGAGCGGAGAGCCGTAGCTGCCAGCGGAGCACTCCTTGTCCTCTGCTCTCCATTCCTCGATGAGCTCGTCGATGGATATGCGCTTGTCGGCGTAGGGGGACTTTCTGCGCTGGGAGCGAGCGCGTCTTGGGGGTGGAATCGAAGTGACGGCCAGCAAGGCGGCAACGGCAGGTGGGACGGCGTTGGCCTGGTGGTCACCGGTGCTGGCGCAACGCGTCTTCCTGGGGTATGGCTGTCCTCGCGCTCTGGTCGTCTGAGGCTCGGAACCGGGCAGTCCTGTGTGACCGCGCGTCGGGATGACCATGGGTTTGGAGTGGGCGGGCGTGGGATCTGTCGTCATACGCGGATATCCAGAAGGTCGCGTGGACTCGGACATGGGCGCGGCGGGAGACATGGAGCGAGGTCTTGACTTGCGTGGAGCCATTCCTGTGTTGCCTGGGGAAGCGTGTTTTGGGGAGCAGGTGGTGGTGGCAGAGGTATATCTAAAGGACCGAGGGACCATCATAGCGGGCGGCGGCTGGGGGAAGTCAAAGGGCGATATGGGGTCACGGGGTGGCGCGTAAGGCCGAGGCGGAACCGTGTGGTCTGGCTGAGCGCAAGTGACGTTAGGACGATTAGGCTCCGGGGCTACTGCCAGGTGCCGAGCAGTCTCGTAATGGAAACAGGGTCAACATCGGAGGTGAGAGTCGTCCCAAGCAAAGGCCGAAGGGAGAAGCTAGAAGGAGAAGAGAAAGTGAGGCGGCGGTGCGAGATTGATGAAAGGCGGCGAGCGAAGGGAGAGAAGAGGGTTGGGCGCGCGGGATGGCCTGGACGGTGATAAGAAGGGCGGTCGGCCGCAGCTGGTTTTGACTGTTTGGCGACGGGTGTTGGGCAGGTACCGGGCAGTAAGCCTCATCAGCACGACCTGAGTCTCACAGTCTCCGGCCGTACAGCCCATCCCCGAGGGCGATCACAAACAAGGGACCGCAGAGTCAAGGTGAGAAGGTCAGTCCCTGCCAAGCGAGGGCCAGCATAACGGCCCTTGTGCGCCCACGCCCAATCCTGACGTCTGCGCTGCGTCTCGTGAGCTGCGCCGGCCTCTCAGCTGCCGCGACCTTATCTCTGCCTCAACCACCACGCACCCCAGTCTCCAGAACCGCGATTCCCGCTCGTTGCACTCTGCCCAAGTGCCCAAGCCTCCGCGCGCGCCCTATCCCCCTTCCGGCCGTCCATCCTGCCATCCCTCGCGCGGATCCGGGGCAGCGCGATAAGCTCGTTCGTCTCTTCCCGCGACTGTGGGCCTTTTCTTCAATTGCTGGCACTCGCTGCCTGCCCGTCTGGGTGATTGATTGCCTGGCGCCGGTGGCGGCCGTGTGCGTTGTTTGATGTTGCGCTGTGCGGTGTGTCCACCGACCCAAACCTCGACTGACTGATTGCCTGACGGCCCGCCTGTCCAGCTGGTCTGTACCTACCACCACTACCTACCCAAGTACCCAACTCATCAGCTCCCGCGATCAGCACTCACGGCCTTCCCCATCCAGCTTAACCAATCTATTTCCCTGCCAACCGCCCTCCGCCACCAAAAATGTGACCGATGCCTCCCTCTCCTTCCAAGCTTCCGTTCCCGTGTTGACTGGCCGGCGCCCCGTTCCGTTATCGTCGACGATTCCCACACACGCGACAATAATCAGCCTTCTTCTGATGCGCTGCGCTGCTGCTGCGTGCATATGCCGTGTGGCCCTGGTCTCGCGCCGCCCGACGAGTCATGTCCACCAACGTCAAACACACCAGGAGCCCGCTGCCCTGCAGAAGACATGTGGATGGCGTTGAGCGGCTTCAGTGGCGGCAGGGTGCATGGCCGTTGTGCGTAATAATCACGCACGCGTCTGGTCCATGACACGGGCATGGCTGGATGCAAGCCCGTCGCCTTCTGCGAACGATTGGCAGCACCGATACGTTGAGCACGAGGCCCTGGTGTTTGCGGGGTACGTATCTTTGGCCACTCTATTTGCGCCTGTGTGAATGGACCGATCGCGCTCGACGATCTGTCCACCTACGTCAACGGCTCAGCCAGGTAGGAGCCCGGCAGATCGAGCAGACTAGAGGCACCAACTGCGCTCATCCATCCTTAACCGGCCGTCATGCCTCTGCACATCTTGCTGAGATCGAAGGAGTTGATTCTAATACCTCGTCATACCTGTTACATGCCCTCGATAAACGCCGCATGCCGCATACTATGCGCAACAGAAAGACGAAAAGAAAGTCAGGCATCAGCAGATTTACACCCAGAAAGAAGTAAAGTAAGGTTAGAACGCAAAACAAAAACCGCTACTGCGTCAACACCGAGATCCGAAGAGGGTGAAAAGTCGTGAAGAAGGAAAGGCTGAAACCACGACCAAAAAATGTATGCCCGGCTGTGCTATGCTGGGAAGAAGAAGTAGAAACTTTTGCCTAGCAGGACTCCGCGAGACCCCTAAGCCCCAATGAAAATCGTCAATGCATACCATTCCCTTCTCGCCAAATTCGCCTATCCCTGTTACCTGTGAAAACCGAAGAAGAGGAAAATAAAGAAAAAGAAGCCAGGCAGATGATTACAGGACCTCAGGTGATGATGAGGAAGAAAGGAAAAGTTGGGTTTTCTTAGAAAATAACGTTGTTGCTTCACCTGCGATGCGGTCGCCGACCGACCAAATCCCGGTGGTTGGTGTGTGGCTGGGAAGAAAGATGAAAGCATAGGAGTAGCCTGCTCATGCTTTCCTCCAAATGCAGATGAAACGATCAAAGTCCTTCGTCTGCTGCTAGGGCCATCTAGGGCATCGAATCAACAATCGTAATATGTAAAGATCCTGGAGAAGCTGTTGCTCTTCTTTAATGAGCGTACGAAAGAGGACTGAAGAACACCTTAGTAGGTTTCCTCGTCCATCCAACTGTCGCGCCCCTCCACGCGCGTTATGCCACCTCTTACTGGTGTCGCGTCCACATCGTCCACGACCCTCATGCTGCCTAGCTTTTTCTTGCTGAGAGTGCCAAAAGGACTTTCATATGCTGCCTCGGGCGTAGACTGCTTGCTGCCCTGACTTCTCCGTAACTTAGCGTTGATCACCTCGTTGACGGCGTAATCTGGCTCGCTATCTTCGTCTTCGTACGTCTCCCAGTTCTCGGAGCTCTGTGTAGTGTTGCCCGTGGAACTGGTGTCGGACGTCTGTCGGCTCTGTCTGCTGCTGCTGTCACGCACCGCCGGCGCATGATCATAGCGGTCCTCCTCCGAGGAGGGCCGGACAAAAGAGAGATAGGATCGCTCGTCATAAACATCTTCGACTGGCGCAGATCGTACAACACTGGAGCTGCGCTCACGCTCAGAGCGGCTCATTGGCCTAGGCTCGGGAGTTGTCGGGCTGAAGAAATTCATAATCTTTGGCGGTGGCGCGCGAGGAGGGCCCATCGAGCCAGGTCCGCGAATGGTCAAGTCGGAATACTTCTCGGAGGGGAAGGACTGCAAATCCTTCTCAGAGGGGAAAGTCTGCAAGTTCTTCAATGGTGAGCGTGCGGGGATTTTTGTAGGACTGCCTCTTATGGTAGCATGAGACATTGAAGAAGCGAACGGGTTATGGCCGCGTGATATGCTGGAGTGATAGCTGGCCGTGCTCTTGCTAAACTCCGAAGCAGGTGTCTTTGGGCGAACTAGCGGAGCATGAGTGTTACGAACACTCCCAGAACGGCCAATTGTATCCGTCTTCGAGTCAGCGCGATTGCTGCGAACGCTGCCAGCGCGCGAGACAGTGTCCGTATAGTTGCTTCGTACACTACCAGCGCGGGAAATTGTATCGGTATGGGAACTCCGCACACTGCCAGCGCGGGAGATTGTTTCCATCCTCGAGTCGGCACGTGAGCTGCCAGCGCTGCTGCTAGCAAGCGAGGTCGTCGATTTGCTCTGTTTGTGCAGGGCTGGCCTGCTTGGTTGAGAGACACCAGGAGTCTTGGATCGTGTCGGTACGGCTTTCGAGTTGGCGGCAGAGGCGTTGAGTTCATCGAGATACCTCATTCCATGGACCAAGAAAGGCCTGCCGTATTCGTCTTCCCACTGCTCGAGTGCCCTTTTCAGCTGCTCTTCAACCTTAGGAAGCTCCTTAGCTATCCTCTTCCGCATCTTCTCTTCCCTCAGCAGCTTTCCAGGATCGCGCTTTTCGCCCTTCTGGCCACGCGCCATAAGTCGGGATGCGTCTTGGCTGGAAGCGTTGAGATCATCACGGTCTTTGACAAGCGTACAGTGCCTGTCAACGAGGGCCAAAGTAGGAGCACGTTCCTCCTTCAAAGCTTCCAGACGCTCAATCTCGGCTTCATGAGCCGCTAGGAGAGCATCGCTGTAGACATCTGGAAGATAGGTCAGTCGTGTAAGCTAGAAATCCAACAATATTACTTACCTGAGAAGGCAGGAGTAAAATCAAGCATCTCCTCATCTGAGAAGTACAGGCTGTCCCAGAGCTGTTGAAGTCTGACCCTAGCATCTTCAACAAAAACGTGCATGTTTTGGCGCTTCAGTTCGTTCAGCCTTCCCAGCTCGTCTTCGTACTCATTGATCGTTCTGAGGCCGCAGCCACGGTTGATGGCAAAGAACGCCTTGCGTTGGGGCTCTTCGACACCCAAACGATCCCACATGCCCTCGATCGTGTTGCGAAGATCCCTCAAACGCTTCTCTCGTCCACGCTTCTCTTCATTTAGCTTTTCTTTCTTGGCGCGCAAGGCGTCGAGATCATCCTTGTGCAGACCGAGCTGTTCTGGCGCCTCTTTCGAGAACTCCAAGATTGCGCTATCCGTTTGCGCCTGTGGCGTGCCAAGCTCGGCCCATAGCTTGATGATCTCGTCCGCAGTTGTCTGCACTATGTTCACTCTCCTACTGTACTCTTCGTATACGCGCGTAAATTCTTTATCCAAAGCAGAGACATAGCTGGGAGAGACATCGCAGGTAGGGGAGATTGCGGAGTTAGGTGAGGTAGGAGGGAGGTTGATCTGAAGGAAGGAGGGTTCGAGATGGGAGGCATATGATTGGAGGGCTTGCGTAAGTTCTGGAAATTGTTAGCACGCCGGTTCGGTGACTCGGATGCGCTTTTTGGAGGCCTCATACTTCTGATCTGTTCGAAGCGCTCGCGGTGAATTTTGCTTATGGATCTGTGCTTCTCCTTGAGGGCTTGTAGGCAGCTGGTCAACGGGAAGGTAATCTGCAAATCACTGCTTTCCGCATCGTAGCTGTCGCGTCTACTAGGCCCGCGCAGTGAGCTTTCCAGTTGCTTGATTGTTTTGATGAGACGGTGGGCCTCCTCGGTTAGTTCGTGTTTTTCTGACGTCACCAGCTTCAGCTGGTTGTGCAGAGTGGCCGATAGCGCAGAGAAGAGCTGTCGTGAGGGTTAGCAAGAGGTGTGGTGGGAGGTTCGGGAACTAGGCAAGGTACCTCTGCTTCGCGCGTGTCGCGTTCGTGATTGGGCACGCCGATCTCGTCAAATAGGCCGTGGAGCTGGCCAATGATGGTCGTGACCTGTTGGGCCAGGTAGCTGGTGTCCATGGCCACGAAGATCGGAAGCGGAGTCGTAGACCGTCAGTAGGGCATGCAAGACGAGGGCTAGCAGCTGCAGCACGGATACGGCGGGGCGATCTAGCGCGAGACGTGGAGGGTGGGAGGGCGTGTGAAGGCGTAAAGGATCGTGGGGGCCCAAGCTTAGAGGTTGCGAGGATGGGACGCAGGTCTAAAGGATGAGGAAAGTCGCTGTCCAAGCGATGACGGTGCAGGGGCAGAAAGTGAAGGTCAAGAAGCAACGCGGCGCGTGGGGATGGCGGGTAAGTAGCTCGCCTTTAGACGCGCATCATCTTGGTGGTTGGTGGGCGGCAGATAAATAACGCTAACGTTGCCTAGGCAGCAACTCCGCGTGCATCGAGTCCTGAAACACGCCGAATCCAGTGTCAGCCCTGCTTTGCAGCCAATCCAACGCGCCAACAACCCGGTTTCCGCCTTCGGCCCCCCGTCGCATTAGGCAAGCAAGGAACACCCACTGTCACGTCACGCGCGTCTTCAACGAATCAAATCATGTCGCTTTGCTTCCTACGTAGCTTCTATCAACGGCTACACACGCCCGGTCCGAACGGAGACACGGCCCAAACTTTCAACTGAACAACGCCGGGGATATGATGCCGGTGACTGGAAGACGTGTGCGGGAAGAGTACATGATGGTGCATCTTGGGGTGCTCATGGTCGGTCATGACGAAGGGGGACGACTCGCGTGGGTGAGGGAGGTGCGGGGGGGGGCAGGTTGTCATCGCGTGACAAAGGGATAATAGCCGTCGTATTTTGCTGGGGAAAGCAATGGAAGTCCTTGTGATTATCCAGAATCGGCGCACGCGCGCTTGGGGGGTTTTGCCAAGCGCAGCATTGGCCCGACTTTGTCCTTAGACATGGCAGCGACAGTAAGCTGGACCGTCGGTCGCAGCAGGGTGAAGCGGGGCGCCGGCCGCGGGGTATCTGCTGGAGTCCGGGCCGGCCGAGGCGACTGCGCCGGACTGATCGCGACAGCCACCTTACATGTCCATCGACTCTCCGCCGTTGGCGAAGTTGAAGTTCTGCTGCTGCGGCTGGGCGCCGAACCCGAAGGTGCCGTCCTGGCCCTGCTGAGGAGCAAGGTCGTTCATGTCGCCAGCAGCCTCGTCCTCGTCCGAGAAGTACTTCTCGATGATGTTGTAGGCCTTCATGTAAATCTCCTCGTTGGCGTTGTTCTGGCAATCGTGAATCTTCTCCATGCCGCCGACCTCCTCGATGAACAGGGCGTAGCGGTTGATGGGCTCGCCAGTGGCCTCGTTGGACTGCTTGTCCATCTCACCGACCTTCAGAATGTTCTCAAGACCGTCAAGAGCAACCTGGATGATTTTGTTGTCGGGGCAGGCCAGGAGATCGCAGAGGGGACGAATGCAGCTGTTGTGAACCAGGTAGCGGATCTGGTCGGGCTTCTGGAGACCACCAGAGGTGGCGTTGGAAATGGCCCAGCAAGCTTCCTTGCGGGTCTTGAAGTCGCCGTTAGACAGCAAGTGGATGAGAGGAGGAATAATGTTGGCGTCAATGACCGCCTGGATCTGGGTAGAGTTGCCAGCGGTGATGTTGGAGATGGTCCAGCATGCTTCTTTGCGGATGCCATCCTTCGTGGAGCTCAACAGGGAAAGCAGAGCTGGCAGCGCTCCACAGTTGATGATGACCTGGGTCTGAACGTCATCACCGGTAACAATGTTGCCAACCGAACGCAGAGCAGGGGTCTGGACGGAGGTCGAGGCGTGCATCAAAAGCTCTACCAGGCGGCGGGGGATGCCAGCCTCAATGACAGCCTGGATCTTGTCATTGGATCCGTCGGAAAGGTAGGAGATGGCCCAGCAAGCGTCAATGAGGACCTCGTCGTCAAGCGAGTAGACAAGCTTCGCGAGAACAGGGAGCGCAGGAGCGATCTACCTTTGTTAGCCTGGGTCATTCAAACACTCCTCGAGAAGTGCACTCACAGTTTGCCAGTCAGGCTGGGGAGTCTTGCCACGGCAGAAGTTGCTCAGAGTCCAAGTGGCATTACGGAGCATGCTCAACTTGCGGCTGTCGCCGAGCAGGTTGAGAAGAGGCCGCAGAGCGCCGGCCTGGAGAACAAAGTCACGGCATGTCGGGCTGTCACCGGCAATGTTACCCAGAGCCCAAACGGCCTGCTCCCTCACATCAGGCTCGTGGCTGCTGAGAAGCTCAACGAAGATAGGGACGGCACCAGCCTCAATGACGACCTGGGTCTGCTGGGCAGAACCGGAGGCGATGTTGGTAAGAGCCCAAGCAGCCTCGAACTGGACAAGGGTGTGGGGGGAACGGAGGAACTCGACGAATCTGCTAACGACACCGGTCTCGATGACACGCTCAATGGGAGGGTTGCGTTCTTTGGACAAGAGCTTCCGGAACTTGGTGGTTGCTTGGATCTGCTCGTCAATTTGCTCGGAAAAGACGCCCTTGACCATCTGAGGAAGCTCCTCGTTGAGCTGCAATCAGAAGCGAGTTAGCCATGACGTTCAATCGAGATGCTAGAAGAAGATCATGCATGGCTCGTGCAGGTGGTATTTGGATAAGGATAAGGGGATGGTCAGTGAGTTCGCCCGGCAACGATAGCGGGGAAAAAGCGGAACAAAATAATCAAAGGGAAGAATCTTCTCGGCGGCCGCCATGATGCAACGCGAGCGCAGTGGCGACGTGGATGGCAGCGCAGAACAAGTGCGGTAGCGTGACATACCTGGCTCTCAATGTTTCCACCCTCATCGTCGCTGTCTGGGGCGGCGCCCAGAGCAGCACCCGGTGCGCCACCGTCGCGGGCGATGCCACGGCGCTTCGCAAGGTTCTCTTCCCTCTTAGCCTTGCGGATCTCGACCTGTTGTTCCTCGCGGCGGCGGCGGAGCTCGTCAGGCTTGAAGGTGTTCTTCGCCTTGAACGTCGTGCGACGGTGTTCGGGGATGTAGCGATCGGCCATGATGACGACAGACACACAGCGGTGACGGCGGGGGAAGCAGGAGTCTGGCTTGGAGGAGAGGCAAGCGGTGATATGCCAGGTGATGTGACGGTGTAAGCTGCACCCGAAGGTTACAAGAACAGGGTCGGTCGTGGGGGTTTATTTTATGCAACCAACTTTGGCCCGCGAAGATTGGGCTCTGTTTTCGTCTAGCGCGATTAGTCATCCACGCCTTCACGGGTTGGAGGACAAGGCGTCGACGACACACGAGCAGACAGACTCTCTCCCCCCCAATGAGCTCGAGGCTGCTAGCGCCACGGCTTCTGCTTTCAGCGCTCTGCAGCATCACAGCCTGCCCAGACATCAACAATGCCCCTCACAACCTCTGGTGATCCGCCACAGGGCTTCTCGTCTCTGCGCGCCGCTTTAGATGCTCCGGTGGACACACACGTGGATCTCATTGGTGTGGTCGAGCACTTTTTCCCCGCCGCCCCGACTAAAGGCACTGGTATGCCAGCTCTCACCGTGCAGCGGCGAGTGCAACTGACCAAGATCAGATTGGCAGCTCACCTTCAATCTTCAAGATGAATCTCTTACCCATACCCTCGGTACCGGCGACGTGCTCAAAGTCAAGATGTTCGCCAAGCACGAAAACCTGCCAAAAGTCGAGGCCGTAGGCGATGTCGTTATCGTGAAGAAAGCAAAGGTTTGTGAAACAGATTGTTTGGTCTTTATGAAAAAGTATGCGGCTGAGCAGCACGGTAATAGATACGCTTGTTTTACAACATGAAACTGGCCCTATCAGTGACTTACGGCGGCACCAAATGCATAGTTATTCCTCACCAATCCGTACCTGACCCGCATTTCAACCTGGCATACGTCGATGGCCGGCAACAACTGCCACATTTTTCGTATCCACCGGGTCAAGTTCTCACGCCTCCTGCACAGATCTATTCTATCTCACTACATCATGCCTTGTGTGCCAAAGCCGATTCGTCTCTGCTGGTGGCACCGTCAGCGCCCAGAGCCGAGATGCCAGCAACGCCATCGGCATCCAGATCCATGCTTGAAACATCCACGCAATCAGTTTCCAGGCCCAAGATTGGAGCATCTACGCAACCAGCGTCCAGCTCTATGCTTGTAGCATCCACGCAATCGCAAAAGTTCTCACTAATCAAAGACATTGGTCCTCAAAGGTTCAGCGATCTAGCTGTCGAAGTATTAAGAACATATTACCACCCTGGAGGCCAGTGCGAAGTATACGTCACCGATTACACCGAGAACAATCTTCTCTACCTTTACAATCAACCCATGGAAGGGGAGGATTTTGACGACGGCCCAGACGGTGATACTATGAATTACCTCGGTGATCGGCGTCGGAAATGGCCAGGACCTTACGGACAACTTACGTTGCAAGTGACGTTGTGGGAACCTCATGGCAGCTTTGCCAGGCATCACATTCGTGAAGGCCACTATGTCTTCCTGCGGAATGTTCATATTAAATACGACCGCAGCGCTACGCACATCGAAGGTGCGCTCCACGATGACCGCAAGTATCCAGGGCGTATAGACATCAATAAACTACGTCCCCATGATTCGCTTGCACGAGAGCTGGAGTCACGCAAGCAAGCTTACCTCACACGAATTGAAACCCAGAATGCAAAGAAAGGTAAGAATGAGAAGAATGAGAAGAGGAGGAAGAGGAAAGAGGCCAAGATGCTCAAAGAGCAGAAGTCAATGGAGAATTCTGGCGCAACCTCATCAAAGCCAGTTGGAAAACCTTCAAACTCCCACGGTCTGTCACTTCCCCCTATTTCGTGGTAAGTCAAATCTAACATGTTACAGTGAGATGCCAATATGGCGACATATCCGTTACATCAATCGCCAAAATCCTCGATGACGACCACCGCAAATACACGCATAAGGGGACGAAATACGTGCTCCCTTTCATCAATGCCAGCTACCGCGCAAACCTACGTGTGGTAGACTACTATCCGCACAACTTGGAAGACTTCGCTCATCCCCTCTTCGACGACACATACAACAACGTGGAGCCTGAAGTCACCGATGACTCGCCAGTCGAAATGTTCTCGCAGAGCCCGCCGCTATGGGAATGGGCCTTCTACCTGCTGGTCGAAGACGCGCGGCAGCCACCCGGCGCCACCAGCCCCACTAGGATGCGCCTTCTCGTCGCTGACAAAGATGCTGAGCATCTCCTCAAGCTTGACGCCAAAGAGTAAGTCCCACTAGACAAAGTTTAACACAGCCTTTCCCCATCACCGTTTTCGTTTGTTACTAACAACTCGACCCATAGCCTCCGTCAAGACAGGGACACTCTCTCCGAATTGCGCGAAAAACTCTTCATCATGTGGGGCAATCTCGAAGAGCTGAAATCTGCACACGAGTACACTCTTGATTCCACGGCGCCGGCGCCCAAGCCTCTCTCAAACAGCCCGTTTGAGTGCTGCGTCCATGAGTATGGCGTCGAGGCCCCGGATGGCGATGATAGAGATCCTATCGCCCGCTGGAAGCGCGTTTTCAGCATGTTTGGCACGACGATTATGTGACGTGCTTGCTCAAAATCGAGAGATTGCCTACCTGTGCGCGCACAGCGATTCGTTAGTTGACGGGAATGCTGTTGGGTAGGTATAGGTAGGACGAGGCCCGGCCTGCTGGCACAGCTGGCTTTGTTGTTTGCTGATTGAACGATGGTAAGTTACGTGGCTGGACAGCGCGGCGTTGACATTGTCTATGAACGAACATAGAGCTGGCAGTAGGATGCAGTGGCGATGGTTTTCGCAACGGCTTTTGCGGCTTGACAGCGTTTGCCGCCGAGGTCAAGCGGGGACGCGCGTATTTATGGCAGTGTTTATGCAGAGGTCCTATTCCTAGCATAGCCATGGCCGTAGTTATTATTGATGACGAAACAAGAGCTTAAAGGCTCATAGCTTGCACCTCATACTTAGTCCCATTCGCCTTTTCCCTGTGACACCAGCTCAGAGCAGAAACAGTATTAAATGGCTCTCGCACATTGCTACTCTCTTTGAATGGAACAGAATATTATAAGTTTATCAAGGTATTATTATAGTGAGATCTAATCTATAAGCAACAATACACCTCCTTTTGCGCCATATTCTACACAAGCTGACAACTTTGCTTTTAATCGTCAAACGAAAAGGTTATTTGAAATAATATCGCAGTAATATCACCTTTGAGCCCGAAGGAACATATGGTCATAGCTGATGTGAACAGTGTTTGAAAGCCGAAGTATCAAGAATCTTGTTGGTATTTCATTGACAGTGAATCTTGTTGCTGTGACAGAAGCAATATACAAGAAACTATCTCGCTACAACGATCAATTAACATCATCCAAAACAGACAACTCCATGCCTCCCAGCTGACTAGAGTCATCCACGTCACCAAAATCAGACAACTCCGCGTCATCCCAACTAAATAACTCCACGTCCTCGAACATCCAGTTCTCGCCAACAAGTCCGTACTCAATACCTCATACAAATCAAATCCATCTCCCCACGTGTCAAGGTCACAATGCCAGAATCTTCGCATGAGAATAGAACCCGCCAATGCAAGTGGCTCATACAACTCGAACCAGGAGTTGCCTAAAAAATCATCTTGTATCTCATACGAGTATCCGATGCCTAGGCCTGGTAGCTGGTCGAATTCTTCTGCAGTTTCCTCCAGACTTATACTGTCGCCACCAAAGACTTCGCAAGGTAAGTGACCCGAATCAACCACGGCATGCCACCACATGGCGAAAATTCCTTTGTCCATCCGCGCATAATCGGTGGGGGTAAATCCATCCTCATCTTCTAAATGAGGGCAGCAGCCGAGCTCTATTAGAAAGCGCAACTGCTTATAGCCTTCAAGAGAGCACTTTGAGGTATTTCGGGATACCATAGCTTCCAGTGTGTAATGAAGTGCGCCTCGATTATGATTGTCAACTACGTTCGCATCTACCACCATTGTAGTAAAGAACTGGTGCAAGTTGGTATATGGCCAGAGCCAAGAGGCCAGGGAAAGAAAGGCCCTGGATTCAAATGGTACATGGAAACCTTGCGCGAAACTGGAAAGTATGTCGAATAGCTCGAAGGTTTCTTGTGAAATCTCATAGTGGATCATGAAATTTGATAAAACCCACAGCAGGCAATCAACTTTGCCTTCTTCAGATCCAGAGCCCCACCCATTTGCGTGGGCGAGTCGTAGTATGCGACAAACAGGACCCCATGGTTCTTTGTTATGTCCGCCATGGAAGCTCTCCCGTAGTATTTTGTCTTCTTCGTTCGTATCATCAAGAAGACCGACAGCTTGATGTATTAAGAATTCAAACACATCGGCAGCGCAGCTCATACAGGCATAGTAAACCAGTGAATTACCTGTAGGGCTGCGATCAAATGGAGACGCGAGTCGTTGTTCGAAAAGACTCCTCAGTGCTTCCACATCGTTATCATGTACAACTTGGAAAACTTCTGAACCGAAGTTTCTCATATTCCATACACGGACGGAAGGGAGGACAGTTGGTTGAGAGGCTAATTGTCCGGTTATTTTAGCCAATGCAACCGAAAGAGCAGGGACAGGCAGGCTGTTGTTTGGAAGGAAGGATAATTCGAAAGTTAAAGATTGAGCCTCAAAGCTGGAAACTGTCTTTGCTTCGGAAGTATCCGTGACCTTCATGAGTATGAGACCGCATTGCGTTGGTATGACGCGGTATTTTCTTGCCTCATAAGATTTCGTTACCCTGGAAATTTCGTATGGCTCGCCCATCAAAGGCTGTGAGGTTCCCAGCAGAATATCTCCGGTATATCGACAATGTGTTTCCTTCTGACGTGCTGATGCTGCCGAAAAATCGTAACTGCGTGCCATAATAGCTTCGATTTGTTGCTGTATCCAGGTAGCCTCTGCGCGGGATATTTGCATCTCTGGCTTCGACATGAGGCCGGGTAGTGCCTTGAGGAGACCAGAGTGCATGAGAGACAATGGTAGCGTCAGTGATTCAATGTTCTCTCCATAAAATCTGAATGTTTGTTCCGAATTCCGGGTGAAGCGGATGGAAGAGACATGCTTGACGATAGTGCTTTCTGTATCATCTATTTTTGCCAGTATCTTTGATGTGTTCAATATCTGTTGTCGTGATTGCCGTATGTGAGGCTTTGTCATTGCTTTGGAAGCATTTTTGATATTCTTGTTCACAATTACTGCATTCCGTGAGATGCTGTGGTTGAGAGAAGCATATTGGGTAACAGCAGTAGACGTAGCTGCTCTAATGTCCCTCTTTACTTCGTCTGTCTCGGCTTCTACCGTCTTCTGTACCTGAGCTGTCGCTGCAGTGACAATATTCAGATCTGTCTTAGTTTGATGTGCGAATATCTCTGCTTCCTTTTGGGCTGATGCAAATTTGTCCGCGGCAGACTTGGTGGCGGAATTGACTTGAGTTTGGAGCGTAGAGATGCAGGACTCTATAGCAGCTCCTGAGTTGACGACATCAGTGTGTGTGGCCTTGACCTCGGCATGAATGGTAATGTCGTTTTCCCTATTTCTAGTTATTCGAAGTTGAATAACTTATGGCAGCATCGACGTACCTTCCAGCTAGAAGTAGTGTAGTGTCAAGCTCTTTTCTTAACCTCTGAAGCCTTCGACTTGATTGCGCAATTTCTTGCTTGCTCCACACCCAAGTTGCATTTTTTGTGTATCTCAAAAGCCAGTTATCGGTTTGAGCGCTGACTGTGTCGGCGGCATGCTTTTGGAGCAGTAGTAGTTCTTGCTCGCACCGGTTCAACAACGCTCGAACGCGCTCCAGGATCAGTTTATCTTTGCCGGGATAATCGGACTGTTCATACGCATCTCCAAAGATTCGGACTTGCGCAACGACCTCTCCAACGTCCTTTATTTCAGCAAGGAGTTCCTTTGTCTCTTGTGGTGCTTGTTTGATTTTTGACAACGTCTCATAAAGACCTACGCCGTATTTGATGACTATATCGGCTAGACCAACGACTGAAAATGCGTTAGCAGTAGTAGAAAAGACTTCCATGGCTGCCACCGAGTGTACATGAAGAAGGAAAAGAAGGGGAGAGGAAGTATGGGTGTGCAAGGCTCGCTTTTATGGGATGGGAAAGCAGCGAGGCTGAATCCGCAGTATGTTCTACTCAGCCTCGCTGCTACTGCAAGTTTGGTTGGATGCAGCAACGTACATAGGCGAGCTTTGTTGGAGTTTCATCATTCGCTCTTGTGCAAAACAAGGGTGTGTCGGTACACCAAAAAACTGACAGTGCAAAAATCAACTATTCCCCCTCCTACGGATCTCCTTTTCAACACCTATTTAAAACACCATCGCATCGTCTCAAAAAGCTCAGGCAATATCCCAAAACGGCAATGCTCGCGAGCTCCATCGTGCGTGGGGGCAAGCCCATCTCCGTCAACACCGACGCGACGGTGTCCCATTCCAGCTAGCGCGAGCGCGCCAAGGGGGACATTATAACGCGCGACGCAGACGTAGCAAATCAACATTGTTTAATCTGCCATTGCACTGTTTGTGTAACTGCCTCTCGCTCGACGACATGGCGTCGTCAATGGCTCAAACTATGGCCCGGAGCGTGGCCAAAGGACGGCGTTGGCTCAGAGCCGCGCCCGACAATACGCATCCGTATCGCATTCTTGCGGTTGTGTGAGTGGGAATTGCTTGGTTGATGGCGTGTTTTTGATGGATGCTGATGCTGTGTAGATGCTCTGCCATGGTGCTTGACCTGGCGAACCTCAGCGCCATCACTATCGCGCTGCCGACGATCCAGCGCGAGTTCGGCGTCGCAGTTGGTCAATTGCAGTGGATTGTATCGGCGTATGCGCTCTCGTTTGGTGGATTTTTGTTGCTGGGAGGGCGTGGTGGTGATGTTTTTGGGTGCGTGGTTTCCACTCTCCGCTTTTCTTTCCCTCTCTCTCTCTTTATTTTTATATTCCTTCTCCTTTCCTCTCTTTTCCATCTTTCTTATAATCACACCATTTTAACGACAAAATGGCCACAGACACCGCAGCATTCTGCTCTTTGGCATGGTTTTCTTCGCCCTCTTCACACTCGTATGCGCGCTCGCGCCATCATTTGTAGGCCTAGCCATCGCGCGTGCCTTCCAGGGCGTAGGGGCCGCGTTTACGATTCCGCCCGCTCAAGCGCATATTGCGCTGCACTTTACGGATCCGACGCGAAAGGCGAAGGCGTTGGGCATCTGGGGCGCCGCGGGATCCTTAGGTTTTATGTGAGTCGGAGACGACACCACGGCGTTGTTTTCTTCTCGTATGTACTGACAATTCGGAACAGCATCGGTCTCATCCTCGGAGGCGTGCTGACAGCTTTCCTCGGATGGCGCTGGATCTACTGGATCTCCCTGATCGTATCCGGAATCGTCATCCCAGCAGCTTACTTCACCCTACCCAGGACACCCTCTACCCGCCGCGCTGCCGGACCGCCACCTACAGACACCGAAGAGAGCCGCAGCGCGGCTCCCCCACGTAAGAAGCTTACTCAATCCGTCCGGGAGCGGCTGATCCGCTTCGATGCCCTTGGCATCGCGCTCGGAATTGGAGGAATCCTGTTGCTCACGTACGCGCTCACCTCCGCTAATACAGTGGGGTGGGACGCAGCACCAATTATTGCAACGCTGGTCGTGGCCGTTGTGATGCTTACGCTATTTGGTTTGCATGAGGCGCGGGCCCCGCAGGCCATCCTGGCACCGCACCTTTTCCGTAATCCGTCTTTCGATCTTACACTCATCCTGGCCGTCAACACTTATGCAGTGCGTCAGGCATGCACCTATTTCCTGACTGTGCAGCTGCAGTCGTACGGAAATAGCGCCATCCACACGTCTGTGCTATTTCTGCCGCTCGGCGTCAGCGCCTTGTTTTTCAACACGCTGTCTGGGCGGCTGATTCCGGTACTGGGAGCGCGTACTATGGTAAGCCAGTTCAAAGCACTATCGCGAATCTGCCTACTCACTTGCTCCATAGTTCATCGTTGGTTGGGGGCTCTCTATCCCCGGTATTCTCCTCTTCTCCTTCATCGACCGCGACACGTCGTACTGGCGCTTCGCCTTCCCAGGAATGGTTCTCTACATCGCAGGCATCGGCGCCGTGTACATCAGCGCCAACTTCGTCGTGGTATCCTCCGCATCTAAGAGCGATCAAGGCGCCGCTGCCGGCGTCTTCAATGTCGCCCTGCAGGTCGGTGGTTCCGTGCTCGGCCTTGCTGTCTTGACTGCTGTTGCGCAGGGTATTGAAAAGACATACGGCGATGGCGCGCTGCCGCACGGCGAGCTGAGCAATGTCGGCTACCGCAGTGTTTATTACAGTTGTGTTATACTGTGCACCATCGGCTTTTTGATCAGTGTTTTTGCGGTCAAGGTCCCTGACAGTATGCGTGGTAGTATCTGGACAAAGAAGACAGTGGAAGCACCAGTTGCGGATACGCCAGCTGCGGAGGTACCAGCTATAGAAGCGTCAGCTGCGAGCGCAGCCATTGCGGAGTCGGACGAGATTGAGCTAGTGGAGAGAAACAGGGGATAAGGTAATTTCCTGAAGACCATCGGAAAGAAACCCGGAACCCTGTACACTGGATACACAGACACGCTAGAAGATATCCCAGTTGAAGATCCCCAAGACACATCATCTTAACCCGTCTTTATATTCTCAATCAACTGGCAACGTGAATAGCACCCGTTTGCAGCTATCCGTAGTCAGTAAAGCCTAATGCAGTCTCCATACTCGGCAAGCATCTGGCCCACGACCACGAAGCCGCCAACTGCAGGCACGGCGTATACTAAGAACGCGACAGCCCATAGTGCCAGCACAAGGGGGTTACCACTCCTCTCGAGCACGAGGCGGTGGTAAGCCACCATTCCAAAAGTGATTCCCAATACCAGCCACGTCATGGTCCAGACGCGCTGAGCACTAGTGCTTGCACCGGCCTTGAAGTGCGACAGCGCGCCGATTGGCACTAGCGAGAGACAGCCTACCCATAAGCTTCCCGTTCTCAAAGTCTCGGAGCGCGACACATGGACGCTTTCGAGTTGTCTTTCCGAGGCTTTCGACGTCGAAGGGACGCTGAGATAATACGAGCCTCGTTGGAACATACCCGGGAAGATCGTGTCCAGCTGCTTTGCCAATTTGTTTAGAGGCTGGAATGTTGTTGGCTTGATACCTCTGGGGATAAATTCCGAGCCAGACTCTGTCCATTCCTTCTTCATCTTTACTGAGTAGCTTTCAGAAGAATCAGGAGCTCCGAAAGCCCCCATTGTGATTTTTCGATCCTTTTCTTCCAAAGGGTGAATGAAAAAACTACCATCCTGCTGCGCAAATATGGCGTCGAATGGATCTGTCTGATTTTTCGCCTCCTTTGTATTGAGGAAATAAAACCCTTTTATAGCACTAAAAGTCATTGAAAGGGCCCATTTATCTATAGAAAGGAAGCCTCTTAGCAGCTTATTCATTTGGGACGGTTGGGACGGTTGGGACGGTTGGGACGGTTCGTTAATATCGGCATTTTGGGGTGCACAAAGGGTTCCGACGATGCCTTCGAAGCGGGAGTCGGGTCGCTGAAGGGCTTCTTCCATGATCTCCGATGAGACCATATAAACGCGAGAGTAATTTGGCGTCAACACGTTTCCGAATAAGTTGATTAAGGACATGATTAGGTAAGGAACAACCGTAAGGCCAAAAGCTGCATATCCGTATCGATTTATCTGGTCTCCCCTGGCTCGATAGATCGTGTAGGATGCAAAAACAAGTTGAAGAACTGCCAGCAAGCTTTTAGAAAAGTTATATTCCGAGATTATGTCTGGCGATGATGTCTGGAATCCATTTGTCGTAGTTGAAGCTCGGAGTGCTCTTAGGTGGTCCCAAAAAGGTTGCCCTGCCGAAAGTTTTATATCGTAGTTGATTGCCTCGGCCATTTGTGCTCTTTGCTGTGGACATAATCGTTGTTGTGCTGTTCCCGTTGTTCCATAGATCTTGGTGCCTGGCGGTACAATTGCGAGACCGTAGCCCGGTGGGAGCCAGCAGGCGCCATGAACCTTACGGCCACCAAAGTCCCGCCAGCTCTTTTCCGGGAGGAAGTATTCTCCGTTGCCTAAGACGACGCTTCCGGATGTTACTTTGGCGGCGATGGGTGCGTCCGGCTGTTTAAGTAGACTTTCTCCAGGATTGATCAGCTCGATTGCGTCTGTTGGAGCATTATTGCCAGATCTAACTCCGTTTTTGGGTGCTGGTTTCGGATTTCTTTTTGACTTCGTGACTGGTATTGAGAATCGCAGGCCGAGTACGGTGTCCCCATTCTGTGGCCTCCATGATTCCGTCCTCACGACTTCGCATACTGCACCGGCTCTGATAGCGGTTTCAAGAGATGTTTCCCTCCAAGTCCGGAGCACGGCCGCCTGGTAGATAGCTTTGAGGCCTCGACCGACACCAGAGACCGGTAAAATAAGAGCGAGAAGCATAGCAAACGATGTGGATATAAGAGTCTCTCCAGGTAGTTTTATCACCGTCGCAGCATGCGCGACATAGTTTTCCAAGAAAAACAAAGCGATACCAGTTGCTGAAATAGGTGTACAAATCAGATGAGGATCACCATGATCGGACGTGCCTTGAGGCACAACGATGGTGATATTTTGGAGTGGCTCTGCCGGTGCCCCAGACGCCGAAGCGGCCCTTTCTAGGAGTAGAAGGGCCAGTACAATTGGTAGCATTGGACCCGAGGTTGGGAGTTATTTTCGGTTTGAAGGCAAGAGAAAAATAAAATGGTGACTTGCATTTGTGAGGCTTTAGGCAGCAACGAAAATGTGGCGCTTGCGTACGACGCACCTAGCGTGGTTGCACTGACGCACCCGCTCGACTGCACCCCTAAAAGTGCAGTTGAAACGTACTAAATCAACCATGGTGGTTTATCTACTTGCGGTTGACATCAAAACACTCGAGCTTGACAGCAGCAGGTAGTTAGGGGTAAGGGATTAGTTATATATAACTATATAAATATCGGAGGAGCTAGCCTATGACGTACGTACTTGAGAGGAAGACGACATTACAGTAGAGTCGGCTTATAACGAAACAAATGTTTCAGAGATTTCGTTCGTTATAAGGCGAATTCGTCTTACAGTTTGCTGACAAATTAGCTTAGAAAGCCGTGCTCCTTCCTAATTGGGTAGTCATCTGACCGGATGCCGCCGGTCATCCATCCTCTTACGTATCTAGAGATTTCTAGAAATAGTCTAATCCCCTTATACGGGCCACCTTGCGCTACTTCCGTACTCTTTTTATAACGAATCTAGCTGGATTCTTACGAAATTCGCTGTAAGGCAATTTCGTTAATTTCTTATATAAAAAAAACTAAGATTTCGTATCCGTTCGTTATACCCCGATTTCGTTATCTCGGAGGTTCCCGTTAGCCCGACTCTACTATAGGTAGTTTGCGTGATAGATAAACCCCTCGCTTACATTATAGAAGCCCTAAAGACCCATCTCTCGCGTAAAAAGAAACCCCACCCCCAGCTACTGACTAAGCCCCACCAACCACAAGAGGAAACCCCCTGGCCCCCAACCTCCCCAGGACCAACTAGCTCATCCTACTATTCTGAATAAGTGAGTAGGATGCTTACGGCTTAAAATAGCTTGAAGGATTTGCTGGGTCGAGGTTATAGACACCTCACTTAATCTGTGGATTGATTTTCAGTGAAGTATTAAGACTGGGATATTAAATATAGGAAAATGTGCGTCTTTTCTGTCGCGTCTTTGTCGACAGTAGGACAGATTAGTGGAAGTATCGTTGTGTGTGTTATGCTGCAGCAGTTACTTTAGAGTAGATTCTAAAGCTGTCATATATGGCACGCTATGATTGAACAAAAGGATATTTTCACAGCAGTGAAGTCGCTCACTCAAGCCATCTCCTTTACAGTGGTGCTCCGATTCGAAAATTTACACCTATTCCACTACTCGCTCTCTCCAGTGCCCCCAGGAAACTTTTCGAAACAATACCATTCCACACGCCCACCGCCCAGCAACACTCAACACCACAATAGCCTCCTAAGACTCATAACTCAAAACTAAAACCCCAAAACCAGCATACCAAACAAACCATCCCAAACCAACCAGGCCCAATTAACCCCCAAACGCACCAATCCGCTCCCATACCAAAGCAACAAAAAACGCCATAAACCCAGCCCCACCCCAACCCAACCATTAGTGTCCACAAACCCATAACCCATTAACCATAACGCATAACTCGTGACATCCCTCCCTCGCAGCAAACCCGCTGCACAAGCGCATCCTACGCCCTCTCCACCCCCACCCCCACACCCGCCCCCGCTCCCGCCCCAACCACACCGACTCCAACCGCCATATCCATACCTAGACTAAGCCCACTCTCGCTCCCCTCTTGCTCAAACTCAAACTCCCCGAGCCCGAACCACTCCTCTTGCCGCAGCCTGCGGCCGCGCTTGGGCACCGCGTCGAAGGGCCAGACCTCACTGGTGCGGGGCGGGAGAGAAGCCGGTGCCGATGCTGCCTGCGAGGTTGTTAGCACTTATCCAAGAGGAAAAGAGACAGAAGAGGAAACAACATACCCGTCGGCCATCGCGGAAGACCCTCCCCCTGCCCTCCTCCCCCTCCACCATCGGCAGCACCGACAGCGGCAGCGCGGGAACACTACCGCCAACCGCGCAGCGCAAGCCCCTAGCAACCGCCTCCTCCTCAGCCGGGCCACCAGACCAGCGCCTCAGCAGTCTGCCGCGCCCCCTACGCACAGGCAACAACACGCGAGCACGAACGCCCATCTCCCTCCCCTCCTTCCCCAGCCCCTCCTTCGTCTGTCTCGCCGGCTGCATAGTGCGATACCCGTCCTCCTCGCCCGCGTCCTCGTCCTCATCCTCAACAATCAGCGCCAACGCGTCCTCGAGCGCCAGGATCTTCGCGCGCGCCTCCGCCGGCGCCGTCTCTTTCCGCTCCAGCGCGGACGTGATGCGCGCGCAGTAGGCGTCGTACTCGGCCTGCGTGAGCGTGTTGGAGGCGACGTAGGCGCGGAGGCGGCGCAGGCGGGCGTGCACGTCTGCGAGGTCGTGGGCGGCGGCGCGGGCGGCGGGGTTGAGGAGCGTGAGGAGGGCGTGGAGGGGTGTTGGTGTGGTGGCTTTGCTGCTGCGGCGTTTGCTGGGTTTGTTGCTCATGGTGGCGGTGCCTGCTGCTGCTGCTGCGAGGGTGAAGATCGGCGGCGTGCTTGTGAGGCCCATTTTGTGCGGCTTGTTGCAGTTTTTGCAATTGGTGGTGGGTTTGAGCTGGTGAGGTTTGATTGATTGGTTGATTGATTGGTTGAGAGGTATATGACGCCCGGTGGTGGCGGTAGAAGAAGAAGAAGTCGAGAGTAGTTTAGGTAGGAAGTAATAGATAGAGCGGATGGATGGCGCGCCTTCTCTCCCAGAAACAGAAGGCAGGCGGCTGGCAGGTAAGTAGAGAGGCCCAGCCGCAAAGACAAGAGCCACCCAGGGTATCAATCAGCGCACAAAGGAAAGAAGAAGTAGAAGGAAAAGAAGAAGAAGAAGAAGAAACAACCAAGGGGATGAGAGATGATGATGGGTATGTACAACAGCAGAGTAGTACTGTACTTCGTCGTAAGTATGTCGAGTGCAAGCAACAAACATGCACGAGACAGAGAAAGTCACGATACTTAACCTGCCCCAGCGCCACAGCAGGACCCCACCAGGCCGCTCCCAGTCCACAGCCCCAGAAGCAGAGGCCACATCGCGACGGGCCCAGCCGCACCCCCCCACACACACGCACACGCACGGCGATGGATCATATGGGGGCCACCTACGCCCTACAACCAACATTAACCTACCTGGGTTGGATATGTAGTTCGTCGCCATACTCTAGACGCAACAGCAGCGCGCATCAAGCAAGCAAGCAAACGCGCTTACAGTGCTAATGCTGACACCCCCACCCAGTAGTTGCTCTCCGCAGCATCCGCATCCGCCTCAGACCCAAGTCTCGGCCCCAAAAGCTCACGCCCGCTCACGACCCACCCTGCGCCCCCCATTCGCTGCTATCTTTAACCTTTGCCCGGAAACGGGTCGTGTGCCATCGCGGCGGGACGGAAGCAGGGAAGAAGATTTGCTTTCTTGCTTTGCTGTTTGATGGTGCTGGTGCAGGTGCTGGTGGCAGGGCATTCCATCTCCATCGCTGTCTGCGCGGTCAGCGGCATCAGCTGCATCATACTGTACCTAGACTTGTATGTCTAGGTATGTAGAGCTAGCTCGTGAAGTGGGGATGACGTCTGCATCGCTACCTGCTTGCGTTACACGCCACACGCCCTCCGACACTGGACGCCCAGGCACGCGAGCGCAAGCGCATAGCATACATAGCATCACGCGGTCCAGCAGAGCAAGCGCGCGAGACGTCTCAGCGCAGCGGGTACCGTGTGTTTTACATAGATGCTGCACCTATTGACGGAAGACTCGGCCACCCCACCAACCCTGCCTCGGGACGGACACGAGGGTACTGCTGGGGAGGTACCCGGCGACAGCGCCTCAGCACCACCAAGCTCTAACCCTCGCACCAACCCAACTTCCAACCTACCCAGCCAGCCAGCCTACCGCCGACTAGCACTCCTCTCGCGCTTCCCACCCGCACCTCCATTAGCACCACCATTGCCATTGCCATTACCTCCGCTGCCGCTGCCGCTGCCACTGCCGCTGCCAGCACCATTAGCTCCGCTTCCACCACCACCACCGCCACCACTGCCAGGGATATACCGATCAATATCCGCAAAACTGCGTCTTTCCCTTTCCCTTTCGCGCTCACGGTCCCTGTCCCTATCCCTATCATCGCGCCTCTCCCGCCCATCCCTATCCCTCTCGTCCCGTCTATCCCTCTCGCGCTCCCTCTCACGCTCCCGCCCCCCATAATCACGCCCGCCACGGTCCCTATACGCGCGCTCCCGCTCGCGCTCCCTGTCCCCCTCCCTCTCCCTCTCCCTCTCCCTCTCCCTCTCCCTATACTCCCGCTCCTTCGCCCTCGCCGCCCCCCCACCACCCGGGACATAGCGATCGATGTTATTCGGGCTGCGGCTACGGCTGCGCGCGTACGGTCTTCTTCGGGGCGAAGCCGCCACGGCAGCGGCTGCTGCTGATGTCGACGCCACAGCTGCGCTGCCGCGCTCGCGCCGGCTCCGCCCCCCGGACGGACTTCCTGGCGAGGCGGCCCCGCTGCGGTGGTAGCTGCCGCGGCGGCGGTCGCGGTCACAGTCGCGCTCTCTTTCTCTGTCCCGCTCCCGCTCCCGCTCCCTGTCTCGGTCGCGGTAATCGCGGTCGCGGTCGCGCTCGGCGTACCGGCTTGACGAGTAGCGTCGGCTGTGATGGTGGTGGTGATGGTGGTGGTAGTCGTCTGCGGCGGGTGAGCGCGAGGAAGCGCGCTTGCGGGTGCGGCTGCGTGAGCGGGAGCGCGGGCGGTGGTCGCGGTCGCGGTCGGTCTTGGAGCGGATGGAAACGGCGACGGAGGATTCGCGGCGGGGCGGGGGTGGGGCGGACAGGTCTTTGTCTTTGGCTGTGGAGGAGTCGTCGCGCTTTAGGGTCGGCGGGGGGAAGTCGCGGTCGCGGTCGCGGTCGCGGTCGTCTTTGCGCGTGCCGTCTCTGTCTCTGTCCCTGTCCCGATCGCGTGCGGCGTCGTCTCTCGCTTTTTCGCGCTCCAACTTCTCGCGCCGTGCTGTGGCAGGGTCGCGCGGCACGATGCTCTTCGGCACCATAGACCTGCGGGCAGGCGGCTCCAGGGAGCCCGACCGCTCGAGCTCGGGGCGCTGGCGCGCCTTTTCGTACTCCTTGCCCTCCTGTAGAAGCAGTGCCAGGGCGTCCTCGTCCGAGATCTTGACTTCCTCCGCCTTCTTGCTATAGTCGATGCTGGCACGCCCGTGGTCGTGGCTGGCGGAGCGGTAGCGCCCTCTACTGGCGGAGCGGCGCCTGTCTCTGCTGCGCGACCGGCGGCGCACCCTGTCGCGCCTTGCGCGCTCGTACTCTTCGTCTTCACGGCGCCGGCGCTCTCTCCGCTCCTCGCGTTCCTTCTCCCACTGCCGTTCTCGCTCCCTCCGCTCTTCGCGCTCACGCTCATACTCTCGCTGCCGCTCTGCCTCGCGCTCCTCGCGCTCCCTACGGCGCTTTTCTTCCCGCTCTGCCCGCTCGCGCTCGCGCGCCTCCTCCTCCTCGCGCTTGCGCCGGCGCTCCTCGTCCTTCTTCTTCCGCTCCTCGCGCTCAATCTCACGTTCGCGCTCCATGCGCTCCTCGCGGGCTTGGGCGCGGACTAAACGCCGGCGCTCAGCCTCGCGCTCGTACTCGTCATCAGACTTGCTGCCGCGCTTCTGCTCCTCGACCGCGGCGTCGAGTCCGATGTCGGCGCGGCGGATCTCGCGCATCTTGTGCTCGGCCTGCTCGTCGAGGGTGGCGGCGATGACTTGGCGCACGTGAGTCTCAGCGACGCGGTAGATTTCGCTGCGCTCGGCAGCGCCTTCGAGTAGCGGGGCGGCGATACGGCGGTCTTTGGAGAGGAGGGTGGGGTTGCGATCGGTTTCGGCGTCGCCGAGTTCGTTGAGCGACGTGATGAGGGTTGTTTTGGCCGGCTGGAGTGAGGTCAGTGGGGAGGATTCGGCGGGCAATGGAGCGGAAGAGGGCGGCGCACGCTCTGATCGAACTGCATAAAGGCCTTTTTGCGCAGGGCATCGAATTCACCCTTCTTCTTGAAGGTATGCAGGATTGCATCGATGGCGGCGCGCTTGTTCTGGGTGAGGGGCAAGTCTGCGGTGCGCAGGCGCTTGCGCGGTTCCATGTCGATGGCCGTGTCGAGGGGCCGCTTGGGACTGCCGCCGGGGGGATCGAGTGCAGCGGCCATGGTTGCTGTTGCCAGAAGTTGTTGCGGCGGCGGGCGGTGGTTGTCCGGGCAGACGAATCGCCGTCAGGCCAAATGCCATTATTGTTGTCGCCAAGCACGACTCTCTCCCGCATCCGCACCACCACCACCACCACCACACCAGAACCACCCACATTCCCGCAATCCACTCCCCGCAATGGTCTCCAAGATCCTCTTCTGGAGCGGCTTCGGTACGCCTCCCCGCACCTCCCCGCTCTCCCCGCCCATTGAGCCGCGCTAACCGCCGGGGCTTTTGCTCGCAGGCGTCGCCGTCCGCCTGTGGCAGCTGGGCATGGAGATGCGCCCCTTCTTCAACAAGGGCTCGCTGTGGGCCTACCCGCTCTACGCCACCATCGGCGGCAGCTTCGGCTACTGGCTGCAGGGCGTCGAGAGCCGCCAGTACAAGCTGCTGTCGGATCGTCGCCAGGCCCTTATGGACAAGCGCGCGCGCAGGGCCCTCGAAGAATCCACCACCGTCGACCCCGCTACCCAGGCCGACAAGGAGGGCATCATGGCCACCGTCTAATCGGCGCGTGGTGTCGGGACGTGAATGTCAAGGAGGATAGAGAGAGAAAGTAGTAGCGGCAAGCTAGATGGGGGGAAGGCGGAGGAGTAGGACACGCCATGTCGCGCGTGTCGCATTGTACACTCGAGCAGCAGCATCGTCGTCGTCGTAGCCGGACGGTACGCAGCTCCGAAATCTGAAATTCTGTGCAGCCAATCCGTCCATCCCGTCGCAAGCGGGCAGCCGTCAGCGCGGCCGAGCATGACGTCGCGGCCGCTGCGCTGCGCTGCGCTGCGCTGCGCTGCTGTGACTGTTTCCATTCTGAGAGGGCTGAGCCGCCCAGACTTCTACCTAAACCTCCGCCGTCCATTCCACCACCGTTGCCATCTACTCCAGTCCCGGCTCCGATCATGATACGTGTCTGATTCTCTCTCCCGTCTCCCTCTCCTTAACCCGTCGTTTCAGTCTCTTTCTTTTTTTCTCTGCTGTCGAGTCTCTTTTCATTTTTTTCTTCTGTTCATCACCCATCCCACATCTATCTCATCCATCCATCTGTGCCACCATCACATCACCACCTCACCGCCCCACCATGCCCAACTCCCCCAACGGCATCGTCGTCTTCTCCGGCGGCAGCGCCGCCAACAGCCTCGTCGACGTCTTCAACACCGTCACCACACGCAAGCACTGCACGCTGTCGTACATCCTGCCCATCAGCGACAACGGAGGCAGCTCGTCGGAGCTAATCCGCGTCTTCGGCGGGCCCGGCATCGGCGACCTGCGCAGCCGTCTCGTGCGCCTCATCCCAGACGACGAGACGGACCCGGAGCGCGCGGCCGTGAAGGCGCTGTTCAACCACCGCTTGCCGGCCGACGCAGAGGTGGCCCGTCATGAGTGGCTCGATATCGTCGAGGCCAGGCATCCGCTGTGGGAGGGCATTGAGAGCGCAAAGAAGGAGCTGATTCGTGCGTTTTTGAACATGTTGAACCTGGAGATCGTGAAGCGGGTGCGGCCGTCGTCCGTGTTTAATTTTGGGTCCGCGAGCGTGGGGAACCTGTTCTTGACTGGGTATGTCGACATCCGCACACGCCCATCACCAAGCCCATGCCCAATCACCACTGTCTACGAAAAAGAAGACGTGGAGACAGAAGCAAACATAGCACTCCACCCCCCCACTCCCCGTACAGTACCTACCAGACTAACCCCTTCCCCCTCCCCGCAGAGCGCGCCTCTTCTCCGGATCCCTCGAAAGCGCCATCTACCTCCTCAGCAGCATCTGCGGCGTCCCATCCAACATCGCCGTCCTGCCCTCCATCAACACAAACTTCAGCCACCACATCAGCGCGGGCTTAGCGGACGGGTCGCGGATCCTCGGACAGAACGCAATCTCGCACCCCAGCGCACCAACAGCGGCACCCGCCGGCGACGACCCCGCCGAAACCACCGCCAGCGGGATAACCACCTCGGGCGCCGCAGCGCCCACAGCGCTAAGAACAACAGCAACAGCAGCAGCCACAGCCCTCCTAGCCGACGAAGCCGACGCAATCGAAGACGCCAACCTACCGGGCTCGCACCCCTCGCTCCGCCGCCCCAACATCCACTTCTCAAAGTCCGACGACGAGGCCCTCCCCTCCCCCATAACACGCATCTGGTACATCAACCCGTACGGGCAAGAGATCCGACCGCCCGCGAACCCCAAACTGCTACACGCGCTCGCATCCGCCCGCGCCGTCGTCTACTCCATCGGCAGCCTGTACACGAGCATCGTGCCCTCGCTCGTGCTGCGCGGCGTGGGCGCCGCAATCGCCCGCTCCCCAGCCAAGTGCAGGATCTTGCTGCTGAACGCGGCGCGCGATCGTGAGACGGGTGGCCTGGATGCGCTGGGCTTTGTGGGTGCGGTGGCGAGGGCGGCGCATCAGAGCTTGTCGCCGCCGCCTGTTATAGCTTCTCCTACCTCTCCCACTGCTGCTGATGATGCGTTTGGCGCCGGCTTTAATGGCGCAAGTATCTTGCCGCCCGAACAGTATAGGACGTACGTCACGCACGTGCTGCACCTGGACGGGCCTGGCGCCCCGGCCGTGGACAGGGCTGCGTTGGCTAGGCTGGGGATCGAGACTGTGCGGCTGTATGGGCGGCGGGAGGGTGGGAAGCTGAGGTACGACGAAGCTGCTCTAGCTCAGGCGCTCGAGGTCCTGGTCGAGGGCGGGGGCAAGGGCGTCGAGTTGAGGCGGCGGAACACGCTTGTTGAGGGGGGAGGGAGGGGGGGGGGGGGGGGGGGGGGGGGGGGGGGGGGGGGGGGGGGGGGGGGGGGGGGGGGGGAAAGGCCGGTGGAGGGGGAGGAGGAGGAGGAGGAGGAGGGCAAGTGGGTGTGCAGGGGCGGGAGCAGGGGGCTGGGGGTGCGGGTACGGGCGCGGGCGCGGCGGCTTGATGGTGAGGGTTGGTGTTGGTGTGCCTACCTATTTCTCTACATAGGTAGGTAGGGCTGCGTGAGACGTGCTAGTGGGATGGGATAGATGGTCATAGGTAGCATTTCCCAAGTCAAGCCCGCCGGAAGATGGTATCCGCGCTTTCTTGGCCTTCCAGGACCGCCTAGGTACTTGTATTTGTATCTCATCTTCTTCTGCTGCTGTTTTTTGTAGGCACGAACAAGCCCGTCCGTCCGTCCGTGCTACCGTACCCATCCTACCTAAAAAAGCGCCCAGCCACAAGCCAACAAATGCAGCCGCAAACGCCACGCAATGCCAATAAGCCACCACCCCAGCCACCCAGCAAGCAAGATGCCAGTCATGCACACAGCTCCCAGCATCTTTCCTCCCACGCACACTCAACAGTCTCCTTTCACCACTCTCGATCTCTCCTCCCTTTAACACCTTCACACCTTCATTCCCTCACTACCCCACAATCTCGTCCCAGTCGGGCGTGACGACGAACTTGCCCCTCACCTGACCAAACGCCATAGCCTCGCCGCCGATTCTCGACTGGCCGCGCTCCTCCTCGCTCAGCAGTCGCGAGATGATGATGTCCTGCAAGAAGTGCGCCTCGGTGCCCATGGTCAGTTCCAGGCTCGTCCCGCCCCAGTCCAGCGTCGCGCGGCCGCTGGCGTGGATGCGCAGCTTGCCTGCCTTGCCCGAGGCCAGTTGAGCCGGGGCATCGACATCCTGGGTGAGATCGATGCCGGCGGTGGCGGGCGCGGAGGAGCCCGTGAGGTCGACCGCTCCGGGTTGTGTGCGGGTTTGCGTGGGTGAGGAGGGCTCCTTTTTAACGCTGTTTTCGTCGATGTGCAGAGAGGGGATGATGGGCGGGAGCTGGAAGAGGTAGACGCGGTCTTCTTTCTTGTCTTGCAGTTGAGATTGCTGCTGCGCGGCTTCGTCCTTCATCGGCGTGTCGCCTTCTGTGTCGGTCGTTGCTGCTGTGGCGTCGCCAGGAGCACCGGTGGCTTGTTGCTTCTGGTGGGGAGTGAGCACCACTTCGCCCAGCTCGTCGCGCAGCACGTCCATGTTCTGATTGTGACGTTCTTCCTCGAGGCGATCTTCTTCGGTGACGAGGGCGGTCGGCGCGCGGAAGCGTGGCTTGCGCCGTGGTTTAGGCTTGAATTTGGTCTTGCGTGAGAGATCGGGTGAAGAAGGCGGATCTTTGACGGCGGAGTCGCCGGCAACGGTGGCAATGTCGGATGGGACGGTCATCGGCTCGTCGGTGGGTTCGTCTTTGATTCTGATGGTTCCGTCTGAATCTTCGCCCCAGCCCCAAGCGCCCTTCCAGGTGTCTTTGGACGCAATGACTTCGACGTCCTTTGCCTTACCCTTGCCTTTGCGCGGAGAGGAAATGTCTTCCTCCGTTTTGATTTTGGTCGCTCCTGGTCCCTCACCTGTGATTCCTACAGCGCGGTTCTCGTGCTCTTTCCTTTGTATGCGGACGGGTGCAAGGTCGGCAGCGTTGTATCTTTCCCTGCGCTTCGTGGAGGGTCCGGCCTCTTCGATCTCCTCTTCGTCATCGCTTATGAGATTAATTGTGTCGACGTCTTTCCTCGGGCCAAGCGTCGCTTCTTCAGGATCCGACGAGATGTAGCCACCGTCCTCCTCGTCTCCGCTCTGTTCACCTTGAGCACTTTGGGTAGTCCTGGCTCTGGCCTCACGCTTGATTCCCGGCGCGCCACCAGCACCAAATGTCTTACCGCGGTGCAGCATATTGTTTCGGCTGTCTGCATGGCCGTTAGGATTACTCGCATGCGCCCCAGGCACAGCGCAAACATACCTCTGACAACGACACCCGACGAGAAGATTCCTCCGCCCTCCCCACTGGATCCCATGTATCCTCCCCTCCCACCGCGACCGCCACGGTCACCGCCTCTGCCTCTGCCTCTTCCGCGATCGCCTCTACCCCGCCCAGCAGCCTTTTGTGCCTTGCTCTGCTCCGCCAACCTTTCCCTCCTCTTTGCCGCGGCCTCGGCTTCCATAGCATCGCGCTCCTCTTTGCTACGACGGCCCTTGAATGTAGGCAAGCGAGCCGCTGCCTTTTTCCCACGCGTCGCGTTCGACGCCGGCGAACCAGGACCCGACGAGGCAGCCGGTGTTTCTGAACTGCGAACGGAGGAGATGCGAGGGTCCTCAGGATGGGAAGCGCTCGCAGCGACATCTTTGTTTCCGGTTTCGGTGGTCGTGACGGCGGCATCGCCTGGGGCGTCAGCCATGGCGACATCTGCGGACTCCGGAGCGGGCGCGTCCCGCATGGGCTCGTCCTTTGGCATGAACAACGAGTCCTCACCCGCGTCGTCTGCCGGTGCTGCCGCGGTGGGCTCGGGACGAGTGCTCTCAACAGCAGCAGCAGCAGCAGCAGCGGATGCGCCGCCACGGCCTCTGCCTCGGCCTCTTCCTCTCGCTCCACCTCTTCCAGTGCTCGCTTTCGGAGGCATGTTGTCTTGCTGGAGGCGGATTCTGCCGAAATACGCCAGGTACCGCGAGGTGTTTTAAGTGGGAAGTAGAGGAGGAAGTCGGAGGGACAGTTGCGGTAGAGTCGACCGGAACTTTTTAGCGGGTCGAGTCAGTCAGAAGCACCCCGCAACCAGGCAAGGCAGAAGCCGAAGGTGTCTGTGCAGAAAGCTGACTCTGTGACTCTGTAGTGAAATTCATGGTGCGGGACATTGAAAGGGTCGACATAAGCCCCTCAAGCGAGCGGTGGGTGACATGCTCCTGTGGACGACACAAAAATGGGTTTGGTAGGTGGTGAAAGTTGAAGTTTGGTCGACACTCAGCGCAAAACGGGCCATGAGGTCAACCTGCATCGCGGGGTGGTCGGCAATAACGGCTTACGACACGACTCGACAGGATTACAACAATATTGAGGCAAGAGAGCAACCTCAGATGGTGAGGTTAGTGGCATGCTAGCCCAAAATCATTGAAAGTTGTCATGTTTATCGTTTTTTATATATTTAAATAATATACTGATGCGCGCATTTTAGTTGAACGCAAAAGTCTTGCCCCTCAACAACACACTTCCAAGTAGCTTGCCAGCAGTGAAGCCAGCGTACGCACCGCAGACAATAGTAACCGGCCACTTCTGCCACTCACGGTCCCTGCAACCAATTAGTCAACATGTACGAGCAGTGTCCAATTGAAACAAGAGCAACTCACCAATCCAACGGAATGGGCACGGCGCCCGCCCAGGCGCCAATCAGCGTACCCACAGCAGCTCCGAAGACGTCGTCCACCGGCACCTTCAGCGCAACAAGCTCCCTCCACTTAGCACCATCGACACCGAACGCGTAGATTGTAGGTACAGCGGCGAGGTAGGAGATATGCGCGGCACAGAGAAGCGTGTGGAAGAGGTGGGTGGTCAGAGGCGCACCGAAGAGGATCAGTAGCGCCGTGAGGAGGGGGATGCCAGCCATGGTGGAGAGAACAAGGGAGATGACAGCAGTCTGTGAGGATGTGTTAGCTCTTGTAAACTGCGGACGATGCAAAATATCCCAACTTACCGAGACCTTGCTGCTGATGCTCCCATCGGCCTTCGAGGCAGTCTTCTTGCCCTTGCCAGATTTCGACGCAGACGCGGACCCAGCGGCCGGCAAACAGATAATAGAGTATATGATCTGAAGGGCACTCAGAGGTACCAGCGCTCCGAGAAGCGCGGGCACAGGGTCGTTGACAATGGCATTGAATTGGAGAGCGTAGACGGAGATGACGAGCAAAGGGTGAATGTGCGTGTAGATGTGCGCAATGTCCGTGTTCAACGTCTCGATTGGCCTGGCCGCGGGCGGAGCGGGCTTGACGGGCTCCTCGAAGCGCGTGAAGATGGTTTCTTGGTTGGCCATTGTGGTTACCGAGTGAACATGCTGCGTGGATGCGCGACTTTGTACAGAAGTTTGGCGGGCTTCGCTGGGGATTGGGGTCGGGGCTTCCTCGGCCCCAGATGAAGCCCTGTTGACAATTCCGTCACCGCCGAGGCACATTCATCATTAGCAACAAAATACCTATTTATTCTCTGGGCACTTTATGCGCGAAATGCATTGATCTTTAACCGGGCTATTATATAGCCTTTCTCCTATTGCTTTTGTTTTTTCGTTGCCAAAGAAAAAATGGGCAGCTGCTGTGCGCCGCCCAACCATGAAGCTAATTGAAATGGCCGGGCCAGTAGCTCCAGAAAATGGCTCAGTTACCTTCCTCACCAGGGACGAGGTTGCGCAGAGACAGATCATAGACAACATCCTCAACCTCCTTGACCTGTGGAGATAAATCAGCGGCTGTACGTGCAGACTACATTCAAGCATCCGCTCGCTTACCCTGTATTTAATGCCGTCACTACGTCTCCTCAGAGAATCGTTCTTCAGGTTGAGGATTTGGAATCCGGCGTGAACATCCTTGATGAACTGCGAAATCTGCATGGGGCGCTTGTAGTCGCCAAGAGTGACAGAGTTTCTCGCAAGGCGGGCCTGACGGGCATTAGTAGGCACTTCCGAACACTTAATAAATATACACGTACCAACTCGTCAATCAGCGAGATGAGAGCTTGGAGATACTCCTCGATTGCAAGGTGGAATGAGTCCTTGTCCTTGAGATTGACGGGAACTTTCGTGTGTCAGCAGCTGCCGGTATGAAGGAGCTCCAGGGATTACATACCATTCATGATGCTGCCCACCTCCTCAATAGTCAGCAGACGGCCGGCCTTCGTATCGCTACCATCGCTTGAATATCCACCAAGGTAGCCGCAGAACAAGATGGTGAAGACCTAAGCCGGGTCAGAGAACACGTGACGGTAACTACAAACAAGCACCAATGCTAGAGGACTAACCGTGTCCTGAACTTGGCGCGTCCAGATACCATTGAATTTGTAGTAAGGGTGGTTGTTGGAAGCTTCGGCGAGCTTGCCAACGGCGTCTATCTCATACCGGATGGCTCCTTCGGCGGCGTTAATAACCTCGGGCACTGGAAAAAGATGTCAGAAAGAAGCTGTCATGCGACATCCACAATACGCCACTCACACTCAGCCGTCGGTGTTGAATGGGCTCTCGAGAGGATAGATTGAGCAGAGCGACCTGGAACGTATCAGAATTGCATCAAAGAATAACCGATGAGTGCAATACCCTGCTTCTCGAGCGTCTGGATGATGTCGCGCAGCTCCTAACACACCTTCAGGTCAACCCACGCCAACGCGTCAACAAAGGCGCCAACCACTTACATCACGCACTTGACTGTCCTGGTCAACGCGCTCCTGGAGTTGTTCGAAGATTGCCGGATCGACTGCGCCACGCTTTTCCGCCATTTTGGTGTGATGTTCTGCGTTGGTCGGCAGTTGGTGACGTCGGGCAAACTCTTCCGTCAAGAAATGAGATCCGGGTCGATGTCGAGTCGGCGAACGCGCGCAGTCAAGATTGCATCACACACGAGAGTCACGACGCATCGAAGCCAACCGTTTTAGATCAGATGCACTGAGTTTGCGCAAAACTGTTGGCAATCAACAGCCGGTCTCTAGGAGATGCCCCGTAAAAGGCAACGCAACATAGGTAAGCACAGCATGCACATAGAATGCCATCGAAGCCAACAAACGTCATCGATGGGCTCCGGGTCGCTCTCCGTCAACATCCAACTGCCGCCTTCAACGCACCTTCCGCATGCTCCTGCAATTTATGCTCTTCGTTGGTGCAAGTGTATTGAAAGTATGCATTTGCAAAATGTATTTGTGTGTGTACCTGCACCTTCCGCACCTACGACACGCAAACGGGCGCCGTGATGCCTTGCTAGAATCCGGTTTCCACCAAGAACTGCCTGGTCGTACCCCAGTGACTTTTCAGGACAAAAAAAATACCCACATGCCATCTCCAAGGCCACCGATGGATTGCTACGAGGTAAGAAAAGAATCTTCTTAAAGAGCCCTAACAAGCCGAATATAGTTCGCATCAGCCCGAAGCAGTGGAATACGGCGTGAGGTCCGACACATGCAAGCATGACAGCAACCTCACGGGTGCCAAAAAACCTGCTAATAAAGAAACCTCCCGATGCAACGTTACAATGTTCGCTGCTAAATCTTCTAAAAACAGGTATTAATATGGCGCATTGGCAGGAAACGACTCTAGGTCGTCAGGTTGGATTTGAGAGAGAAAATGCCTATGATTGCGGTAAGGAACCAGCTTGCGAATAATGAGTTAATTGAACTGTTGGGATAACCTGCGTCTTTAATTGAGGCACGATGACTGCATGTACAGAGTAGTGGAAACCAGCAACATGGAAGAGGCAGTACCATGGTTGATTGGCTTTACCCAACCCACAAACTTCATGCGGATTCTTTTCCCTCCTTTTATTCCATCTTGTCGGCTACAATTTTGCATCAGGTCCCTTCAAGACCTGTTCGATCTCAAACAAAGCATCCTTGAGGAGAATTTTAAATGTCACCGCATAAACCTGTTGGACCGGGAGAGCTTGGATGTTGGCCTTCGTGGAGCTGGAATTTGCGGCAACAAAATGATTCCGCACCGACCAGGAGTCGCAAAGGTGAGCGGAGGTGCTGAGTTGAAGCGATGAGTCCGCTGATAATTTCACGATAGATATGTTTACGGGAAATTCGAAGTCCTTTTTTGATCTCCCTCGCGAACTCAGGGATATGGTCTACGATTACGTTATATACGACCGCTCCGTCACTAAAAACTTTTATCGGGAAAAGGCCATCTTTCGTGGCAATATATATCGCAAAATGCTCGTCAACAAACAGATGAGGAGTGAGATATTGGCACGTTTGGCCCGAAAATACTGGGTTTTCGATCTGAAGAAGCCGAAAACCATAAGAAGAGCTCAAAGATTCTTTCACATCATGGGTGACGAGAACATCAACCACATGAGCAAGATTGGCATTTGTGTCAAACACAGGGTTTTCGTGGCCACATTTCCGGAGTCGCACGTTGAAACATGGTACTTCGACAGTGCGTTCTTGTTCGATCTCCGAGATCCCCAGCAATTTTCGGGCTACGATCTAAATGGCTTGGATCCTACTCCTAGGTTTCCTCTCTCTAATCGAATCTCAATCGTCAATGAACACATGGTCAATATTTTAAAGCCAATATATCAAAAGCGCATCGAAAGGACGCTCACCGTGAGAGATATGACTTCTCTCTTCGACAATATCTTGGAGCACAGTGCTAACAGGTATTATGCGAAGGCTAAACGCCGAAGGTACTTGGGGCATTCCTGCATGTTTTTGGACACTCTTTTCTGTTTTCGACGAAATAACTTGGCCTAAGCTAAACGCCTAGATTTTATCCGAAAATTCTGAGCAGAGGATACAGTGTTGGGTTGACGTCTTGGTATGCAAGTTCAAGAGCATTGTAAGGACGCATGTGAAGTTAAAAGATGGTTTGGCTCCGACTGTCAGTTTCTAGAAGCGATCTGTTCTCTACCAAAGAAACGAGTTTCAGAATAAACCGAGGACCATGTATATTAAAGTTAACACGGTACTCTAGGAAATCTCCCATTCGCCACATCAAAAACAATACTTCCTTGAAGGCCATCACCCACCCCTTTTACCACTCTCTCTCCCCGACTGTTTACCAAGCCCTATCTCCCATACCTATTGATTTACGCTTTAGGCAGTTTTAAGTAAGCTTAAATCGGCACTTAGGTATCCTCTAGATGTACAAGGATACAGAGGGGAAAGAGTGTTAAGCAAGACTTATAATAACGTAGTTTAAACACTACGTGAGGTGGGTAAAATAGCCGGATGATTGGATTTATTTTTTTCCTGGGCCTTAGTCTATGTCTCGTTAACTCTTACTCCATCCGATTCAAACACTTCACCAACTCACTTTCAATATTGTACAAGTGTCACCTCACCCTCCTTTCCACTCGCAGACACGGCTTCCGCGCAGCCAATAGACTGATTGACACGTATACTACAGACATCCTCAAACACCCAACAAAAAACCATACCTCAGCACATCATGTTCGTCAGCAACCAGACCCAGCAAACCGACGACGACAAACCGTACGTCTATGGCGACGGACGTATCGACCCGAGCCAAGTCGTAGTCGCGCGTTTCTGTAAGTAAACCAACTCTCACGGCACCTCATACACACTGACAGCACCAGCAGACCTCGACGAGCTCCGCAAACGCTTCACAAACTTCCCGTTTACGACCCTCGCGGGCGAGCTCCGCAATGCAATCTATGACGCCATTCTAGACGAATACTGCGACCCCATCACGGCGGGCACCAACCCAGATATTCGCCCGCGCTTGAACCCACCAGACATCCTCCATATTTCACACGAGATCCGCAAGGAGACGTTTCCACTCTTCATCGGCAAGATGGTCTGGCACATGCAGCTTTTCGATGAGGACGATATGTTCAAGATCCGCGAGTGGCTTTCCGGTGCCATCACCCCCAAGGGCGTTCATGGGCTTCGTAAGGTCAAGGTCTTTCTTAAGTCGCCGGCGCCGCGGGGCTGGGTCTCGGTGCCGATGAACCCACCGGTGGCGGGTCAGGGGATGCCAGTCCCAGATTATCCTACGCTGCCTTTCGTTATTGACTTTAGGAAGAGAGGAAGTACCGTCTTTTGCGGGACTATGGAGCCTAACTTGGAAGAATTTGTTGCGAGGGTGCTGGCCGCCATTGAGAAGGTCATGAAGGATGTGAGAGAGCTTGGAGTTGAGGGGAAGTTGACTGTCGACAATGTTACTGACGCCTTCTTGAATATCCTCCACTCCTTTGATCATGGTCATTAAGAAGATGGCGAAGGCCCCTTTGAAGCCACTGCGGTTGGATAGGGCAACAAAACAACCACAACGACAGTTATGCTCTTGAGGACGGGGATATGCGTGGCTACAGCAGTGGTCGGCGAGGTGGAACGATTGCAGAACATGGCTAAAGACATGGAAAGCCAACCACTGTGGTTGGATAACCACGGCACGACGAAATCACCTAATACGCACAAGAAGATAGTGCTTCTTTTTTATGGCGTTGGTCAGCGGGTTGGTATTTGTAGTTTTTTAAAGGTTTAGGAGTACAGGTCGATTGTGGTTTGACAGTTATTTCTTTCTCACGCAAAGTCTGTGCAAACGCATTTGCTACGCTTGTTTGATCCTGATACTTTCTCGGAAGCCGGCGTAGATAAAGACTGCTTTCATGTCAATTTATTGATAAAAATAAAACATACAAACAACTTCACCTCACCTTGCAACTATCGGTCCAGACAAAGAGAGTGGTTTTAGAGTGATGGCTACAGCAGAAGGACTTTCTTACCAGTTCTACTACCTACCTGCGCATTGGGCCGTCAAATCCCTGCATCAATTGAACAAACCGCCTTGATAAATGAGAAGAAGGGAAGTGAGGATTTATGTATGCTGTCTGCCATCCTGAGTTGCACAGTCATTCAAGACATGTCCTAGGTTTTTGCTGAGAACGTTACCTTTATAAGCCTGAGCGGCAGTTCACTTAGTACGAGCAGTAAATGAGTCGATTGGTTTAGTGGCCATTTGTAAAGGTTCCGATTTACCCTGGTCCCTTTGTTGTAACAACTGAAGAGATCTTGAGTTCGATTTACAGCGTTGTTCTTGAATGACATGCTGGGGAATCTCGCCAGCCGAGTTTATAGGGCCTCCGGGCCTGACTTTTTGCTTCTTCCCCAGTGGGAACTGTTTACTTTATTTTTTGCTTTTGCGTTGATAGCAATGATCAATTCAAAACCGCAACTTTTAAAGAAACTTAAACTGCCATGTTAACTTTTTAACACATGCACCAGCCAGTGACGTATGCTGATCGTGTGAAGTGACGGGGTGCTTAGGTACCTGCTATAAAAGCGTCCTCTCCCCACTCACCCCACGCCCTTCTTCTCCCTCCACCACCTCAACCAGCTTACTCGGGCCACGCAGCTACAACACACGGTGATTATCGCTCTTTCAACTATCCTTGTTTCGATCTCGGGCTGGAGAGGACACTGTTCCTTTCCAGCCTCACCTGAGCTGCCTTTCTCCAATGTCAGCGAAGGCTCTCAGCGAAGACGAAATCGACATGCCACCTGAAGATTCCCACCATGCGACAAGCATGACCGACATGACGGAGAATAAGGGCATCCTCGCTGGACAGGAAGAAGAAGCTCATGGAAATAATGGTACGTTGACATACCCTAGCCCTGGTATGTCCAGCAGCGCTCTTGTCTTCGTGCCAAACACTGACAGTCGCTTAGACAACAACTCGAAGGCCACTTTCTTTTCACTTCCGCGTGAATTGAGAGACGAAATCTACCGCCTGGTCCTACACAAATACACAGTATCACAAGACAGGTCTGCAATGGGCCCCTGCGAAATTCGGATACTTCGAACCCCTTCGATGGTCAAGGTCAATCAGCAAATGCGTTATGAGGCCCTCCTTGTCTTTTACAAAAGCATAAAATGGCAGACCGATCTTTCAGAGACTCTGATCTCTCCGAGCTTGCCTGCTGGCTTTACTGTATCGGCGAGGAGAACGTCAAGGTCCTGACTCAGATTCGCTTTGACCTTAAAGATCCATTCCGACCCAATTCGGCATCGCCTTACGATTTCAAACGGATATTGGCGGTCAACATAAACTTGGTCCATGGGCGGAACGGCAAGTCAAGTTGGTTCAACGAGCCGAATTTACGGAACTGCGAATATACTCTCACCGACCTCATGCATTCAGTTGTACTTGACCAACCGATGCATGACTCAGAACTTAATTTTCTGCTTATCCATGAAGGTGGCGAAGAGATTCATAATCTTGTGGAAAAATTGATGGAGCCAGTGAGAGAGAAGAGAATTAGGGGTGAGTTAAAAGCATGCGACTTCATCCAGGCATGCGATAGACTCTTCCACTACGCGGAAACCCCCGAGAAGACGGATGGGTGATGCCTTGGCATGAACATACACACCCACAAATTTCCCATGGGAGAGCACAGATAGTGTAGTGCCAAATGAACTTACATGGCCCGATAATGCCATCTATGATATCTTGGAATTTTTACAATCATGTTGATGCCAAAGAAAAAGCCCAACTGGATATTTCTAACGAGTTAAGAAAGCAGTAAATAGAAATTGGGTATATTCACCAAGATCCTGTCGTGCGCAGGAGATGAAGTGAAGTCCAGCTAGGGTTCTCCGCAGCGCATTGACTCAGCACTTTGGCCTGCTTCGTGCGTCATGCGTCTCGACTTTCCCCACCAAAAACGTAAACAATAAGAACATCTGTTCATCCAGAAAGAGAAGCTCGAGAAACTCCCTAAAACCTCATACAACAATGTCTGTAGGCGTGGCAATCATCGGTAGCGGTAGGCGTGGTTCCCAATTGACAATGAGTTCACCATACTAAAACAGCGGCACAACAGGCATCTTCGCTCGCGAACAGCACCTGGTAAGCTCCCTAACCCAAGCCCATGACAGAAAACCAATCTGACACCTCACAGCCCGCCGTGCAAGCCGCGCCCTCCCTCACGCTCAAGGCGCTGTACTCGCGCTCTCTCGCGTCCGCGCAGGCTCTCTCCACCAACCTCACCAATGTCGATCTCTACAGCGACGACGCCGGCGCAGGCAAAGCGTACAAAGACCTGCTTGCCCGGGACGACATCAAAGGCGTGATCATCGCGTAACCCTCCCTTCCCACGCTATCACCTAGAAAACCCCCACCCACTAAACTCCGCTCAGCCTCCCCATCCCCGCCCAGCCGGAGTACATCAAAGCGGCGCTCTCGGCCGGCAAGCACGTGCTCTCAGAGAAGCCCATCGCGCAAGACATGGCGACGGCGCGCTCGCTGCTGCAATGGTACGACGAGCATGTCGACAAGGCCAAGGCCACCTGGGGCGTGGCCGAGAACTACCGCTACATCGACTCGTTCCTGTACGGCGCCGAGAAAGTGCGCGAGCTGGGGCGCGTGCTCGGCTTCAGCACCAAAGTGCACTTGATGGTGCAACCGGGCGCGAAATACTACGGTAAACACATGCCCTTCTCTCCTCCCACCACTTTTCCATTCCCTGTCCCCGTACTCTCCCCCTCCCCATACCCCACGCACTAACCCCCCGCAGAAACGTCCTGGCGCAAAACGCCCACCCACCAAGGCGGCTTCCTCCTCGACGGCGGCGTGCACTTCATAGCCGGAACCCGACTCCTGCTCCCCACAACCACGCCCCCCGTAGCCCTAACCGCCTTCTCGACGCAGCTGCAAGCGCACCTCTCCCCCGTCGACACCATCGACTCCATCTGGAAACTCTCAAACGGCAGCAGCGGCACCTTCAGCGCCAGCTTCGGCACCACCTTCGCCGGCTCCGAGTACCGCGTCGCGTGTGAGCGGGGCAGCGTGACGGTCGGCCGCGGCTTCGTTGTCGTGCAGCCGACCGGCATGGCCGAGATCCGCCGTGACTTTCCCGATGAGGGCAGTGGTGTCAAGCAGGAGGTTAGGGCGTGGGCGGAGAAGATTGAGAGTGCCCAGGAGCTCGATGAGAGACAGTGCCCTGTCGAGGCCCTGAGAGATTTGGAGATCGTGAGTGCTTTTTGGCGAAGTGTGTGGAACTTTTGCTGACTTGTGCGCAGTTGGAGGCTATGCTCAGGAGTGGAGAAAATGCTGGAAAGTCGGTCGAGCTCGAGGCTTGAGGGGTATCATCTGTTAGTCCTATGGATAATGTACAGCGAAGATCTAACGCTGGTTAATAAAGAAGGAAATTGCGCTGTAAGTATATGCAATGTCTACTTATCTAGTAGTAGATTCCTCTATATTTTCACCATCATGCGACTGCCACCACAGGTTCCCTCTCGTCTTGCTTGATTTCATGTTCCGCCTTCGCGGTCCCATCGTCATTCAAACCAAGCTTCGCCAAATCCGCCGCGAGAGGATCACTCTCTCCTGTCGCCTCCGTCGGGCCTTCATATCCCTCCGGCGGCAGCGCCCATGCCGGCAACTCCGTCTCATAGCTCCACCGTCCCTCCTCGCAAGCGTACTTGCGCGCATGCAGATAGATTCCCAGCTCGTGCGTACCAGGGTCGCTGTACAGCGGAGTATTGCACAAATCACACACCTCGCCCGTCATCTTCTCCGCCTTGCGCTTGTTGTAGTCCTCGACCATCTCGTCGTGGTAAGCGACTGCTTCGGCGACTTCGTCCTTGCCCATACGCGACAACCGAGTCATGATGTCGTCGTCGCGATCGGAGTCCTCCTCGCCGCCGGCCAGAGAGGGCCCGAAGACGCGCTGGTTGGCGTAGATGGGGTCGTTGGAGATTGGGTGGCCGAGGAACTGCAGGTGCACGCGCAGCTGGTGCGTCCGTCCCGTCAGAGGCATGCAGCGGACGATGCTGTACCCGCGCAGCTTCTTCCACGGCTGGCCGTCTACCTCTTCCTTCTTGTTCTCCTCCAACCCATTCTTCATCTCTTTCGGCGGATAGTACGCAAGCCTGCGGAACACGGTCCGCGCATCCTTGCCCGATGCCCTGACGCGGTTCAATCCGAGCTTGGGGCTAATCTGCAGAATCGGCTTCTCGCACACAATATCGCCCTCGGGGAACTCGCCCACAACGCGCGCGACATACTCCTTCTTGACGGTGCGGGCCTTGATCTGCACGCTCATATCCTCGGCCGCCTCCTTGTGCTTGCCGATGAACATGACGCCGCTCGTCAGCCGATCCAGCCGGTTGCACGGCAGCGGGTTGAACGTGTATCCGCGCTCAGCGCGCATGATCTCGACGACCGAGTTGTAGTTGTAGCGGCCGGCGGGGTGGACCGGCACACCAGCGGGCTTGTTGATGACGATGATGTCGTTGTCCTCGTGCACGACGCCTATGGGCTGCGCCGTCACGGGCGGCTCGTGCCGGTGCATTGTGTGCGAAATCACATCGCCATTCTTAATAACGTGGTCGGTCTTGACAGGCTTGCCGTTGACCACAATCACTCCCTTTTCTATGCTTTCTTTCTAGCGGAAAGAATCAATCTCGAATCAGTCCGCTGCCCTAACTCATCCTGCCTGTGCCACGGAACATACATAGTAATCGGCCGGCCGATCTCTGAACTCGCAGGTAAAAATGTCCAAAATTTCGCGGTTTCTCCAGCGCTCTTTGCAAAACGTGTTATACGTAAAATGATACGGGTGTACGCGTCGCAGGTTATTCTCGAGGTAGTATGGCCGCGGCCATGGATCGCACGACGTCGTCACGACAGGCGGCGGCGGCTCGAAGGTCTCCGGAGGGTCTTTAGGGAAGTAAGGCTTGGGTTCGGCGACGGTGAGGGCCATGTTTACGCCGGGGACACGCCCGCGACGGACGAGGTATTCGAGGATACGTGGGGAGGGCGCCACCGCGAGAGTAAGAACGAGAGTTTGCGAACGAAGCGTGGAGAGGACTGCGGAGGTCCAGTAACTTTTTGGGGGCGCGCGGGCTTTGCATCTTATCTTATCGATAACCGCGGATCTGATCTGATCTGCGGGCGGGGGTCCTGTTCGCTGTAGCGGCTCCGCGTCCCCCAAATACCCCGGGCCTGTAGCAGCGAGCAAACAAAATGCAGCGATTCAACCTGCCCTCCGTGGTGAGAAACAGCGCTTGGGTTACCGTCCAATTCTTACCAACGCTGCTATGGTTCGAGAGGAAAATATCCCGCGCTTACGCCAAAGACGAGACTACGCATTCCTTCTTGATTACCGGACGAGATGGTACATCGCAAGCCTCTATCGAGCGCATCCAGGAAGACATACTGACAGGTGCTGGCAGGAGCGATAATGACATGTACGATCATATGAACAACAGTACTTACTACTTCCTCTTCGACTCGGTCGTCAACACGTACCTGATGACGCACTGCGCCCTGCACCCGCCGACGTCTCTGCAGATCGGTCTCGTCGTTCACTCACACTGCGACTACTTCGCGCCGCTAGGCTTTCCAGCCGTTGCTGAGCTGGCACTGAGGGTGAACAAGTTGGGGAAAAGCAGTGTGACGTATGAAATCGGTGTGTTCGAGAAGGGCGTTGAAGACGTGAGGGCTGTGGGCGAGTTTGTGCATGTCTTTGTTGACAGGGAGTCGAGGAGGCCGGCGGCGAGTGGGATGGGCGAGGGATTGAGGGAAGGGTTGAGGAAGATACAGGTGGAGAGTAAGGACAAGGCAAAGCTGTGAGGAAGGCATTTTGCAAGATATTATAGAGAGCTCTGTATTATGTGCATCCCTTCTTAGCAGACGCTAGCTCATACAAGTTTTCTATGTCCACTGAGTAGATATAAGTAGTACCAGAGTGCAGAGGTACGAATACGAGAACATCTCATAAGAGCATGTAAACAAAATATGCGAGGGTACCGTGAATTTATAAAGATACGTTAAAGACAACAATGCAAACTATTTGAAGATTGAGATAAATACACTCTAATCAAGTTTCGTTCTGTCTTCAATAACAGAACTAATACGATAGATGGAACAATAAAACCTAATTTCCTATTTGTCCCAAAAAAGACCATACTGATACCTTCATTAATGATAGTCCAACAGATAAACGAGAAAGCATGAAAGCAAACCATGGCTTAGTTTGCCCTTCACCATTTCCCGTGACCGCTGCCACTGCCATATTGTTGGTTGCTGTGACGACCCTCCTTCCATTTGTCCTCAAGCTTGGAACCACCTATCGCGCCTGCAATAGCTCCAAGGAAACCGTGGCCACCTCCAACCTTACTGCCGCCGAAAGCTCCCGCAGCTCCACCAAGAGCAGCGCCTAGGAAGCCACGCTCGCCTTCCTGGGCAGCATTTGGATCAGTGGATCCGTATTGTTGGTTTGCCTGATGAGAGTATGCATTTTGCGCATTGTTATCTGATGGATAAGGAGCGGAGCTGTAAGCACCCTGCTGTGGGAATTGCTGTCCAGGAGCTTGTTGGTCGTAACCACGGTTGGGATCTTGTGAGTTGCTGCCAAGTTGTTAGGCCAAATTCTCACTGCTTAAATGGCAGATGGGTTGACTTACTATTGACCAGTATAGCCTAGGCCCTGGCCATACTGATGGTCTGGTGGTTGTTGACCGTTCTGGAATCCGCCATGAGCAGGCGGACCGTATCCACCATACCCTTGTTGCTGGTCCTGCTGGTACTGGTTGTTCTGATCATAGCCGGGTTGGCCGTATTGTTGCGGTGCTCCATATCCGCCTTGTTGCTGAGGCGGATAGGGACTCGACGACTGTGCGGGGTAACCAGGCTGTGGTCCTCCCCAGCCCTGGCCCGGTGCGGGCGAGCCGTATCCTCCAGCAGGGTGTTGGTTTCCGTATTGGTTGTAGGGATCGGACATTGTGGATGGATAGATGTGTTGTTAGAGTCTCAAGGTGAGTGTTTTTGCGGTTTTGAGTCTGGGGGCGGATGAGACGGATAAGACGGGTAGAGTAGGATGATGAAATGAGCGCTGTACGCTTACGTCGGCCTTGGTTAGACTCAGTAGTACGTTGAGTAGTTTAAGGTTCTTGAATTGACCACAAACAAACGAGATGCGAGGCTACAAACCGATGATGAAAAGAAGAAGACTAGAAAGAGCATCAAGCTTTATAACTCCCATATTGTCCTTCTACACCGTTCTAGCTGACTGCGATTGCAATAGCCATGCGCAGCAGCAAGGCCGACACGGCCTAGCTCAGGGCTGTGCAGCGCATAGCCTCCGGCGCCACAGTAGTACGGCTGCGGATAACGCCCGAGCAATCTCCCCACCATTCAGAAGTGGCCTAGTATCCAATGGCTTCAGGCTGTAAGCGGTGGTGGAACATTCCTTGGTCAAGTGAAGCTGAGGGTGGCCAACACGGTAACCGGCACGTCGGGCTTGCCGAGACCCGGAGTGAGCGTCAGAGCCTTGGGGCATTCTGATGTCAGCACGGCGATCATCAACACACCACCTTCAAACCACCATCTTCAAGTGCGGCTGCGAGGAAAACTGGAGAAGAGCCATAGCAGCGCATCCTACGCAGAGCCTCTCCGAATATAGCGATAAATGCCTTTTTGACGGTCGGAGGTTGTTGGCCGGCTTCGACATTGCAACCCAATCTTGGCGACTTGCTAAGCGCCTCTTCTCACTTTAGGTCAAGACTGATTGGACCTCCTCTTTCAAAAGCTCTGCTGTAACAAACGGCTTATATGATTAGTAACTGAGACATCTTTCCAACAGCTTCCAGCATCTCGCCGTTCATGAAGCCGTGGACGTATGACTCGCCCACGAGTTCCAGGCTTTGGTTATCTGCGCTGCGGAATACGAAAGGCACCCTAGCTCCCTTGAGCAAGTAAATACGATCACCCGTATTCAATGCTTCAGGGCCAAGACCTAGATACCCGTTTACGGTTGTGTATAAGCGTCGGGATCCGCCGGTTTCAGACAACCTTCTGCCATAAGGCATGGCGGCTTTGTCGTTTTCTGCAATGAACTTGACAGCTTCGGCTTCATCTCCATTGCCAGTTTCTTGAACATATATGCAGTCCCTGATGGCTTCGGCTTTTTCTATTACTTCTTCCTTGGTGGGTAAAACTGACGAGTTTTCTCCCCTTGTCAGAAACTCTAACACAGTTAATCTGGCAAGAAGTTCTTTTCTTTCCTTTTCATCAGATAATCTTTGATAAATCCCAAGGGCAAGGCTCATTAGCATCCAGTCTCGAAAGTTGAATACGGTCTGTGGAGGAGCCGGGTATAGTTCTTCGAACTTATTGGCGATCAAAGTACGCCAAAGTACTTCTACTCGATGCTGCCCCGTAGGAGGGTAAATGTCCTGAATTGAAGAGCACAGTTCCAAAGAATAATACGGCCGATGTGTGAGGAACATCTCGCCAACCGTCAGCTCGCAGACGTCGGTAATTGTATCGAAGTACCCTCCTTGTACCACAAGCGCGCGGTCAACAACGGTACAGGGAGGTGCATCCAGTTTCTCTGGTCCAGAAGCGTTGAAATCCGGAAAGCCCCTTACTTCTTCCCAGATGAAGCAAGTGTAGTTTGCGCCTGGAACGCTCCAATCCGGGACCCAGCTGGGAAGGCCATGACCACGATCATTTCTGGATGGACCTTCCACATGAGACAAAAGCGTGAGCGCGAAGCGTCTGGTCATGAACATACAGGCCACTGCAAAAAACAAGTCTTCTGGTTGTATCCTGTAATCCGGTCGTATGGGAAACTCAATCCGGCTTGTCCAGAATTTCGTTGCCATTCCTACAACGCCATATATCTTATCCCGTGGGTTGGTAACCTTCGATTTTCGAACCATTGACAGGATGCAGAGCAAATACCAGTACCAGAAGTCTTCACGAGTCTCGCATCCACCCAACCGCTGTTGTGTCTGTTGGAATCCCGTAGCTAGGGGGCCACCAGCGTGGTAGAGTATTCGCAACCACCGCATGGAGTCGACTTCGCCGATACCGACGGTCTTTAAAATTTGTCCGGGGTCGGCTAAAATTTGGATCCATCCACTTCCCAGGATAAACCACGCCACTACAACGATATGATCCCATTTCAAGGATATATTGTTGCAGCTGACCTCTATTTCTTGCGCCAATACTGCTTCTTGTACGATCCAAGTTCTGTAAAACCATCGTCTGGTTCTATAGAATCTGAAATAGCAACGCCAGATGTGGTACCATTCTTCAAGAGAAACGGTCAACTCCAGGGCATTCAGAAGGGACAGATCTGTAGGTGAGTACTGATATAGCGCCTGTGGGCCGTGTCGCCGGAAATAATTGTCCATGGCAGTTAAAAGGTCCGTATGAATCCAAAGCATTTCTTCAACATTTGACGGATCTTCCCCTAGCCAAACAATCACCCGGCTTGCCAAAGAATAGATCTCTCCCATGCGGGCGACCTGATCTCCTTGCTCCTTTAGGTTTGTTTGGTCGATACACAGCCCATCTGTCCACAACAACCGTCGTTCACCCGATTTGCTTCGCCGCAGCAGTGCTTCGTAGAGGCTTTCCGTTATCATATTTGAAGCCTGGTTGCATTCAATCTCACACCAGGTAATCGGTTGCTCGACTTGAGTACCATACCTGACTTCTTGTCCGACCAGAACTTGCCTGACCTCTTCTTCAACCATAACCGGCGCATTCCAAGAGTAAGAGAGAGCATCAAAGGGAGGAAGACCTCTATCTTTCAACGAAAATTCATAGAGATGACATCGGATTTTGTCTCTTTCTTCTTGGTATGGTTCAACCTCCAGAAGTCTTATATGATATTCTTCTTGAAGTCTTTCGTATCGAAATTTTTTCGGCACCGATGATGCCCAGCAAAGGACCATGCTTGGAAAACAAATTTCTCAAACACAAACAACTAAATTCAGGAGTAGGAACTGGATAAAACTTCAAGCAAAAATTTCGGATTCATCCAACAGTTCAAATAAAGTTGCCCACACCGGCGGGTAGCCAGCTTAATACCCCATCTTGCTGTGCCGCATACAAGGGTTTCAGGAACTCGGGTATCAGAAGAGTTGCGCATTTTTCTTATGAGGAAACCCACCCGAGCGGGATCGACACGAACCGTCCCAAGCGGCAACCCGTGAATGCTGATTGGCCAAACCCCATGTATAATGGTGGGCTGTGCATCAAAATCAGGAAAAGATATTCGCTGCGCAAAAACGGTTACTGAGGTGGCATCAGACCATGATCCAGGGCCAAAGATCAGCCTCGTCTTTCAGATCAGCCCGACGGGGACGATTTTTCCGCTGACAGCATCCAGCATTTCGCCATTCATATACCCATGAATGTACGTCTCGCCAACAAGCCTGTGATCTTTCTTCCCTGGGCAACCGCGCAGTATGAAGGGAACTCTGGCGCCCTTGATCAGCCAAACTTCATCGTCCTTCTTCACGGATCCTGGCCCAAGTCCGAAGAGACCTTTGGCTGTTCGGTAAAGGCGTCTTCCACCCCCATTCATTGCCAATATACGTCCAAAAATTGGAGTACCGCCATCCTCTAGCGCAAATTTCAAACGTTCATCATCCGTTTTGAAATGCATTTGCTGAGTCTCTGTCCAGATATTAGCCCTGGCATTAATCTGGTCTCTGGTTGGCAGCAAAGGTTGGGCGCCGTTTGAACCCAGTTTTTCAAGGACGATCATGTCTTTTTGGAAGTCATCGTCGGATTCCTTTTGGTCCCATCTTTGGAGGAGACACACCATGAACATCACAGCTGTCCAATCAAAGAAAATCTTCTTCGGGTCTCCTGGCTCCGGAAGTTGGTTCCCTCGCCCGCCAGCGAGCATGGTTTTCCAGAGCACATCTACTCGGTTCTCGCCGGTCTTGGGATAGATGTTTCCCAGTCCTTCACAGATCCGGAATGCTGATTGGAACTCGAAGGTCGTTATCATCACCTCCATGGTTTCCGATACCTCGACAACTTTGTCGAAACATGCTCCCCAAACTTCAAGTCTCGTTTTTGACACTCCAAACATTGCCCGGCTCATTTACACGAGAACAGTCGTACAATGGCTCGCCCAAATATTCTTCCCATCCAAGAGAGCGAGGATGCGACGAAAATTGACTCCAGTCCGGCACCCACGACGGCAGCCCTAGGCCGGACTTGTTGTCTTGATTCTCCGCCACTGAAAGGATCGAGAGTAGAGGCAAATGGCGAATCAGCTCTGTCGCAACTTGGTTGAATAAATCCCGAGCCCCTAAGTTATAATTCGGTTGTAACGGGATAGGCGTCTCAGGTGATGTTGCCTTGTCGAAAACTCCCAGGACAGAGTATACTTTATCCCTGGGGTCGGAGGCTTCTTGAGAGCGGATGGCATCCATGGCCCACAAGAAGTACCAGTAGTTCCAGCTTTCCTGGGTCTTCAGCATTTGAGTTCGCTCAATGCCATTTCGAAAAGCGGGGTCCTTGATTCCATTGGGGGCACTGTGTTGCAACACCCAAATGGTATCGAGCTGGGAAATCCCTTCAAGTTTCCTTTTTTGGCTCCGAGGCGCAAGCCCCTGTGCCCAGCCGCTATGTTCGATGAACCTTGCGAACCCCATATATCCATCCAGGGGATAGTTTCTGATCCGCAGTAGACCTTAACATTGCGGGGAAGAACAACTTACTGGACAATCCATGCTCTCCGGAACCACCTTCTACGCTCAAAAAACCGGAAGTACGAGTGCCAGCGATGAAACCAGGCATCCAGTGGCATTTCAATAGCAAGTCTTTTCAAAAAGGATGGGTCGAAAGGAGAACATTTTGCAATCTTTTCGAATCCTTCGGCTTCGACCAATTTGTTCAAACGAGGACCGAATTCCCTATGGATCCATACAAAGTCCTCAAGCTCTGGCGTCTCTTGGCCTAGCCATACAACCACGCGAGCACATGAGGCGTATATTTCTCCCATCAGGGCTACCTGGGCTCCACGCTCCGGTATATTGGTCTGGTCGATACAAAGAGCATCTGCCCACAAGTGTTGCTGAGCTGTCTCTTTTATTCTGGAGAACTGTAGCAGTGCCTGGTACAAGCTGTCGTTGATCATGTGGGACCGGCCGTTGCATTCGATCTCATGGTAGGACTCCGAAAGGCCAGTTCCAGTTCCGTTCTTGAGCTCTGCATCGCTGATGATCGGAGAAGTCCATGTGTAAGACAACGCCGCGTATGGTGGGCAGTTTTTCAATGGATATGCTTCCAAAGAGTAGCAAAGACGAGGTTCAGTCTTAACGAGCTTGAGCAGACGGATGCTTCGTGCCATTGGAAGAGGTGAGTAATTGAATCTACCCGGTGTAGCACAAGCCCAAGATACATTGTGTGCAGCTATCGCGTATATATCGTCCCGAAAAATTCCTTTAGTCTAGCGTCAGGCCTCAAACTCTTAGTTCATTTATGTCTTCCACTAACCTTCTCCTCCTTAGGGCGCTATGATGCACAAGGAAATGTACAATATGACAAATGGACGAATAGATATTGACAAGAAGCAACGGCAAGGATATCAAAAAAAGTCGACCAGCAACGAATATTTTCGAGGAAATGCCTTTGCGAACAGGACGTGTGATAGAGAACCCTCAACATGCCGTCGACATCTACATTTTTAAACTCCTTCAACTTTATCGCATTCATAGAGTCCTGTATTCGCATACAGTGTATAAACGGGCCGTTCAAGAATCCTGAGCTCGCTTGGTTCTGCGCGCGCATCGTACGGAGTCATGATTGGTCGTTTAGTTCAAATCATCGCTCCATAGCCGCGTAAACAACGGCCCCCACTCCGCCGATTGCTCGCCTCACGAAAGTCGTGCCATCCGAAACTGGGCGGGCCGAGTATACGGTGGAAGAGGACGCGACATTCGTACCTGAACCTACTGTAGCAAGGTCTAGACTGAGTGATATGGAGTACTTGGGGGCCAGGAATTCAGCCGCGCGGGATTCACGGCGCTTCGATATGACCCTTCGTTGTTTATTTCCGATTCTGGAAATGTCGTCCTTCGCCGTCTCTTTAGACAAGGCATTCATATCCATCAGCTTACTCCTTTCTCAAAGGGAAGAGCTCCTTCAACAAGAGAAGACGGTGTTATTGGCAGGCCGAACTCTCCACTCGAAAAGCATTGCGATAACATAGCGCCTTGGTCCCACACCCATGCCGTTCACTGGCCAATTTTGTTGCTTCGCCTCATCTTTAACGCAATGCCGATGATATAGCTGATAAGACAGAGCGCTACATACACACTTCAGCTACCTCAGGCAAACAACAGCTCAACCTAGACGTCCTTCTTTCCCTGCGGTTCCCTAACCATGCAATACAACATAGCCTTCTCCCCCTCATCATCGCACTCCATAACCGTCCTTAACTTAAACCCAAACTTCTCATAAATAGGCACATTCGGGTCCCTCCTTGAGCTCTCTAAATAACAAGGCACACCCTCGCTATCCGCTCTCTTCAAAACCTTCCTCATCAACGCAGTTCCAATTCCCTTCCCCTGCACCTCCGGTCTTACCGTCACGATATTGCAGAAATAGTACCCTTGCTCACTCGTCCACAGCTTTGCCTGCGCTTCCGCCTGCGCAGCTTTCCATATCCAGTAGCGCCGCACACGCAGCCCGCCGCGCCCCAGGAACCGCAGGTTCATGAGGCCTTGCTGCAGCCAGAGCAGCCAGAAACTGAGCCAGAGGGACCATGGCTGCGGGGTTGAGGGCGGGGCTGGTGGCAGCCACATTGCGGCGCCGAGGATGCGGTTGGGGGTGGATGAGCTGGAGTCTTTGGCGACGTGGAAGATGCCGTGTTGGATGCCCCAGTGGCAGCGGAGGCTGAGCGAGTGGTGGTTGCGGGCGGGGGAATACTGGAGTTGTTAGTTGGGGATGAGTCTATACGAGATATTTGGTAGAGTGTAAATGTAATTAAGAGAATCCACGTCTTTGACTAGATAGATAGGGCTGACAGTGCATGAGAGAAATGACAGTACCTCAGTGAATCAAATTCCAAAAAAGCAAACAACTTGAGTAAGTATTAAATAGTACGAACGTCCAGAGGGAAATAAAAAGTCCAGTGAAACAAATATTCGAGTGACTGCGATATATAAAAATCGCAAGAAAATCACAACAAATAATTAAAATCATATACATACATTCTCTTTATCAAACACCCAATTCGAATAAGGGTCATCTTTGAACGCTTGTTGTATCGTCTCAACTGCGCCATCAATGTCCTCTGACGTCATAGGCGACACCTCGACTGGCATTCTGACTAGTTTGTTACAGTTCCGCTTCGACGATGGATATGCGTATAAAAATGACTTTCAATGTTGATGGACTTTCATGAAATGAATGGACAGTACTTGGGTTTGTCCGGTGGTGGTGTATCATAGGTAAAGTGGGGGAAACGCGCCAGACGACGGCGACGGCGATGGCTCTTCGGGTAGACACTCCATCTGCCGAGCACATCTTGCCCAGCTTTTTCATCCACCGACACGAAACTTCGATGACACTACGATCGAGGGGCAGCGACGCCCCAGGTTATCAGTGAAAAGAGGTTGGTGCTCCTATTGGAGACAGCCTTGCTCTCTCGAATACACTCGAGCCGATCTGGGTATAAAAGCCCTTCACGTCAGCAAACACAAGTCGGTAGACTCTACTCTTTGCCTTGTTATCCCCAAAGAAACATTTTTTGATTTGAATACCAGTGGACAGTTCCATGCGGCGACTGCTGCCACCGCAGACGATTACAGCGTGTGCCGCAAATGTTTTTCCTATTTCCTTGCATTGCCTTTCATTTTGCTTTCGCGGACGATGCTGATCACCGTCAAGCCACGGAGCTACAGCCGCATATTAGCGATGGGAAAAGATAGTGAACATTACTGATTGCTTTCCTATGTCTCAAAATGTCTCTTCTCGAACGAGCTCCCCTCTTCTTCTTTATCCTCAATCGACCTCCACTTTCTTTCTGTTGTTGCGCGGAACATCATGACCCTCTCGTCGAAAGAAACAGCGTTTCGAGCAACAGACTTAGTGAGGTGATCTCGTTCGAGGGTTATAAAGCACTACAGCTGATTGGAACCAAAAAGTTTCTCAGAGATAGGTTACGAAATTGCTGCCTCGATCGCAGGAAACCCCATTATTTCTTATTTCCTTTCCTTCTCTCCCTTTCTTCTACCCCTCCTCCCCTTCACACCACACGCCTACCCACCCACAGCACGACATGGCACCTGCAGCAGGGCCGTGCCTAGCGGACCGCAGCGCGATCCCACGCGCAAAGCTATCATATATATGTAGTACGTGCGTGGGGCCGCTAATGTAGCGATACGACGCAGCGATCGCGATAGCAGCGGCTCCAGCGATGCTAGTACCCACTCACCCACTACCGCGGTGCGGTGCGGTGCGGGGGTTCCTTCTCGGAGAGTCGCTTAGGCGCATATTTAGTGGATTAGCACTCAGCACGGAACAAGGGCGAGGGCGAGCACCGGCGCGGGGGCGGGATCGCGCGGGAGCCTTTCGTGTGTGGGCGTATATTATAAATATGGAATACGGGAAGAAGAGGGGCATAGATCCAAGCTTGACGATGAGGATCGAGTGAAGGGCAAAGGTTGAATAAGTTTGCGATTATTGAGTTTAAGTACGGTTCTTTCTTCCGTTTCTTTTCCTTTCCGCCTTCCCATCATGCGTTCATGCTTTCCCTTCCCCTTCCCTCCCGTTCCCGATGCCACCAGGCTGGTATCTCAAAATGTAATGCTGAACGATGACGATGGCGACAATGCTCTCTAGAAAAACAAAAAAGACAACAGCAAGAAGGGCCCTGAAACTAAAGAGCCCCGTTCAATTCACCCCCGATTCACTAATCCATATCCTTCACTCGCTCACAGAGCAGAGTGATACGTGCGCTCATTCAAAATCTCACTCGGCACGAGACTGCCGCGCGGAATCACGACTTCTGTGCCCGGATGCTGCCGGAAGACAGTCGCATCGCTGGGGTTGCGCTGATGTCCGTTGTGGTCCTTGTACATCTCAGGTACGCCTGGCACATCAGGGACCTCGAACTGAGAGCGTGCCTCGTTCTCGTTGAGTTGCTCCAGGCCACCACGCAGCTGCATCGACGGCAGACGGTTAGTCTGTGCGCCGACCCAGCTGTCCACGGTGCGGAAGCGTCCGACGCTGCTGTGGCTCGACGCGACTGAGAGGCCGCTCTCGCGCGAAGGGTCGCGCGGCGTTGTCGGTGTCTGGGCCGTCGTCCAGCTGAAGTGGCTTGCCATGGGCTGCTGCGACTTTGAAGCCGTCATGCGCCGGCTACCGGGCCGGTTCGCGAGGAACTGCTGGAAGGTCGGCGCGGGCGGATTCGGCGAGACAAAGTCATCTTCGCCGCGCAGTGAGTCGGTTTCGGGGCTGGGTCCGGTCAGAAGGCGCGGAAGCACCGGTGGTTCGCTGTCCTGGTTGTTACGCTTGATGGATAAGGAACGCTTTTGGATGGGCAGGTTGAGTGATGCGTCGCTAATGTCGCGAGTGTGGCGGGCAGATCCTCTGCGCGGTGGCGTTTCTTCTTCCAAAAAGCTGCGGTTGGACTGGCTGTAGATTGGCGTAGTGGGTTCTCCATAAGATGGACTGGTAGTTACGTTAGCATGCGGAGAGGCAATAGCAGTGTTAGACCATGTCGCAAGCATTTATAGCTTCGTCGGTCTTTTTCTGCCTTGGAATAAACGGCATACCTGAGGAATTCAGTGTGATGACGGCCCGACTTTGACAGCGAGGTATCGGATCGCGTAATTGACGGTTGCGGCGGCAGAGGATGGTCCTTCGCAGAAGGCGCGGCTCCGTACTCTTTGTTCCATCCATCTTCGGGCGAAACGTAGGCGTTGAAGCGCAGGGCCTGTGGAGCGGGCCGGGAGATATCAATGGTCCTATCGGGCCTGGAGCGGCCTCTCTTGGACTTGTTGAAGACATCGCGGAGGGTCAGGCCATTCCTGCGCATGACATAGAAGCCAAGGATGAAGCCGGTGACGATGAGAGTCACGACGATAGCCGCGACGGCGATCAGGACATGTTCCGTGGTCTCAGACATTGCCGGCTTTGGAGGAGGAGGCGGATATGGCGGCGGGATCCCGATGGGCGAGCCAGCGTCATGGGACCTCAGGGCAGCAGGCGCAAAGAGCGAAGAGGTAGGCGAGGGCGAAGGCGAAGGCGTATCCGCGGTCAGAGTCTCGGCAAGGTCTTTTTCGTCGTTATCGCTGTCTTCATGCTCGCTCTCGTGCTCGTGCTCGTGCTCGTGCTCGTGCTTTTCCACGCGGAAGCTGCCGGTAGGAGCGGGGTCGGCGCTGAGGGCGGGGGCGGCGGTGGTTTTTGAGCCGGCGGCGGCAAAGTCGTCGTCGTCGGGGTTGGAAGTGTTGTTGTCATCATCGTCGTCGTCGCTGTCGCTACTGTCATCGCTCTCATCGGCCGTGACTTCCGCTTCGAGTCCGCCCCAAGCCCCTTCCCCTTTCCAGTCGTCATTTCGCGCGCCCAGACCAGAGAACTCCACCACCATCTCCCTTTTCGCCGCTTCGTGATCGCCCGCTGCTCTCTGCGCTGCGCCCTGCCGCCGAGCAAGGCGGCGTTCAGCAATCATGCCACGCATCGCTATCGTCTCCGGATCAACGCTGCCACTAATGCCAATCTACTTGCTGCCTGTGCAATCTTTGCGCCACCATATCAAATTCCCACTGCCACTTGAAGAACAAAGGCGAGGACCCGTCTCGCCCACTGCGAATCCAAAGAAATAGAGAAGGGGGGGATGTGCAAGGAATTACGAGTCAAGAGCGCAGACCAGCTGCTTTACGAAAGACCAAAAGATCGACAAGAAAAGAAGGAATGAAGAGCACAGCCGCTCAAGGGTGCAAGGAAAAAAAAAAGTGAACAGGATGGCAGAGCGGCAGCGCCACCTCGAGGTGGACAAGCACGAGGATATGAGATTGAGGAAGCGCAGGGGGCAGGATCTGGCGACTCCTAAGCGAAGAGGATGCTTCTCGCTACCGAAAGCGTCTGCAATGCGCCGCATCGCCGTCGATCCATGTACCGTCTGGCAGGCGCCACGGCAGACGGGCGAACGGCAGATGAGCGACCGTTGACCATTATTTCCGTGCTTGGCTTCTCTGAGCGTAGACGAGCACGATGGCGTCCTGCTCCGACGAGTGCTCAGACCTCGCGTGTCTCGGGACCGCCTCTTGTGGCGCGCCCTCTGTTTCAACAACGCCCTAAAACATCGACGCGACCGAGATGCTGTCTCAGCGGCTCTCAGACCAGCCGAGCGCCAAATGGCGGCCGAGGCAACTCCAGCGGCTTGGGTGAACTTGCGGCCGGAGTATGGGGTTACCTTTGAGCTGGGTGAATCTCTCCGTTCATGGTAACTGCTACTACATCATGACCCCAGTCTCTTACGACCATCAGTTTATCATGATTTCACGGAGCCGCATTAAGATTACCGCATATGCCGTGTGTTGCCTTGGGGCTGTACCCGAGCCTCCTTGAATGGCGCTGTTACTCTCGAAACTTGTTTCTTTTCCTCACTGCTTATCCTCTTACGTGTCTAGCAAGCCTCTGCCTCAGAACACCCTTTCCCTCTCTTACATGTTACAGTTAACCCTGTCTCATCCTGGGTGTATTCTTAGAAGTTGGAACTACGTGGTATTGTAGGCAACTGGTTGCGGCTTGGTTCATATTCGCTTCAGCCAAGACCTGCCTCGTCATGACGTGACACGCTTTATCCAACAGATTGTCCGTTAAGCCTTTCCTCCTTCATTGATAAGCTTCTTTAGCCAACCGGGAGCTAGGATGTCTCAGAAGCGTAGGATCTGAACTCTGACGTGGGGTCTGAATTCTGAAGTGCCGAGCTTAATTTTGATAGACCTGAATTTGAAATCACGGAACCGCCCAGCCATGATGGAATGAATCTTTATGCCAAGAAATTTGATGAGAAAATCAAACTACGTGCTGCTTCATGCAGTGCAGTTCACTAATTCAATAGCATCTATCTGTTAGAAATTTCATAATCGAAAATTGAGCCATGTCGAGTGTTTCAATCAATTGCTGCATTTTGGAAGGGCCCAACTTTGGAGTCCCCAGAAATCGGGGCTGTCAAGCTGTTCCGTCAGCACGTGGCGTGGCGGGCCTGCGGGCCAGACCTCCCGCCGCTGTTGAGCCGGATAATCGTTAAGCCGGTCGGCGCAACCGCGGCCGGGGTCTGGGGCGCCAAGATTTCGACGACGGATTTCCCGCTCAGAAAGTTCGCCGCCGCGGTAAAGCTCGACGAGATACTCTACCGCACCATACAGCCAGCTGGGTGACGGATTTTTCGCTCGCCGCTCGCCGCCGTGTTCAAACCCGTCAAGATACCCTTCCGCGCGACGTAGCCAACCGCAATCATGCCTCAGAATGAGTGTAAGTAATAAATAGAGACGCGCCTCAGAATTGGGACATAACTAACGGCGAGACAGATATGGAGCGCTTCCAGAAGCAGCATGGAAGACGTCTCGACTACGAGGAACGGAAACGGAAGCGCGAGGCCAGAGAAGGGCACAATGCATCGTTCAAGGCGCAAAACCTGCGCGGTCTGAGGGCCAAGCAGTACGCTGAGAAGCGCCACAAGGAGAAGATTGCTATGAAGAAGCAGATCCGCGCGAAGGAAGAGAAGAACGTCAAGAGCTCCGACGCCGCCGAACCGTCCAAGGAGGCCCTGCCGCAGTACCTGCTCGACCGCTCCAACACCAACAACGCGAAAGCTCTCTCATCTGCTATCAAGAACAAGAGGAATGAGAAGGCAGCGAAGTTTAGTGTCCCGTTGCCGAAGGTGCGCGGCATTTCTGAAGAGGAAATGTTTTCCGGTACGCCCTGTAGCGATCTCTACTGGCAGTTTTGGAAACTAACAACTGCGTAGTCGTCAAGACAGGAAAGAAGACAGCGAAGAAGGGCTGGAAGTAAGTCTTTTATTAGTCCTTGCCTTGTCTGAATTGGGAACTGACATAATTTGCAGGCGTATGATCACGAAGTAAGTCCCAACTTTCCCGATGACTTGATGTTCTCTCGAATCAGCAAGAACTCCTGGCGAAGCTCCCCTGGGACGAATACTCGTGCGGGTATTCTCCTTGCGCATATACTCTCCTCGCGCATAATGCGCGCATACGCCCTCCACGCGGAAAGATGAAACCTATACCCTGGTGCCACGTCCCTCCCCATGGAGACAGGATATTTTCGTTGAACGGCCACCGAAGCCAGCTCCGCGCCTCGCGAAGGATCTCGTCTTTGGATATACAATCGCCTTTCAAAATGGACGAGAGTGAAGAGAGCGAAGAGAGCAAATCACCACGACAAGGGTGTTTTAAAGTGGCTGGATCTTTCCAAGAAGATTCCGCTGTGGATACTGTTGCAGCGCCATGCGCCGGCCACCTTACGATTGTTTCAAGAACGAGATTCTTAACCGCTGGTCCAAAAACCGTTGCGGTCACGTCATCAGATCTATCTGTTGGACACTCACCAAATGGGTCGGTTTTGACGAATCAAGGGTCACGTTCGCGACCACTTATGGATCTCCTGGATACGGGTGCCGGGACTAGCTTTGCGTCTTTACGTGCGAGGAGAGATGGAGCGAGCCATGGAGTTCTTACTAATTTCGCCGGATATGGCTCTACGACTTCATGCACAAGTTTACTAACTTTTTGTTCTTTCAGACCGACCTTCGTCGGACCCGACTTTACTCGTAGGCCCGTGAAGTGAGTTACCCCTTCCCTGTGCTTTCCCGTGAAGCTTGTTTTTTCCTCTGGTCACCTCGCTAACAACAAACAACAGATACGAACGTTTCAGTAAGTGCCAAGCGGAGTTGCGTAGAATTCAAATATGCTCAGACACTAATGCGAGACAGTCCGTCCGATGGGTCTGCGTTACAAGAAGGTAATTAACAAGAACTGGGTGTTAGAAGATGTTAGCTAACTGATTCAGGCGAACGTAACCCACCCTGAATTGGGTGTCACTGTCCAACTGCCCATCATCTCGGTAAAGAAGAACCCGCAGCAACCTCTGTACACCCAGCTAGGTGTTCTCACGAAAGGTACCGTGATAGAGGTGAATATCAGCGAACTTGGGTAAGCGGCCAAACCCCCTATTCTATTCCGCGCATAACTAATAAAAACGTAGACTCGTAACTGCTGGCGGAAAAGTTGCCTGGGGTCGTTACGCACAGGTTACCAACAACCCGGAGAACGACGGATGCCTTAACGCGTAAGCTTAATATAACCTTTAGTCAAACATGGATCCACTAACCGTCGACAGTGTCCTCCTCGTTTGATTTCGTGGCTCGGTTTGCATTGCATGGGCGTTCAGGCGATAGGGGATCGGAATACGTTTGCTTCGAAGAAAGAGCCTACCAGAATGGCACCTAGCGGGTGCAAGAGGAAAGACGGCAGTCAAAAATACACATTTTCCAGGCGTGGTGTTGAAGAGCGATCCTGTGGTATGGTCCGTGCAAAGCAGAAAACTAAAATCAAGGCTACAGGCCATCACAGTAGCATAGGTATCTACAAAGCTTTCAGGACCAATCCGGTGTGAAATTGTGTTTCTATGTTTACCTTGTTGTGCAGCATGAGCGGCCAAGAGACTTGACCTGAAAGAGAAGGCAGACACCCAACCGGCAAAGGAAAACAACATCACGAAGCAGAAACCTCCACATAAGCGCAAGCTACACCCTTCTCCGCACGAACAACCCACCCACCAAACTCAACTTTCCTCACGACAGCAACAAACAAACCCCAACCCTGCAACTCCCACACACCATAAACCAAACCGACCAACAACAAACACACCACGCTAGCCACCCTTCCTCCATCCCACAACTGTCCCTGCCATATCTCATATCTCGGCGCATAGCCAAAATCCCAAACCAAGCCCTTCATTTCAGATTTTTCTTTCATTTCATATTGAGGCGGCGTGGAGCAGAAGAAGGAGTAAGGCCGGCGCCGATCCGTTACGCACGGTAAGGACGCGGCGGGGCGCTAGCTGGATCGGGGAAGTTGAGCTGCGCCAGGCGGGTGGGAGCGGGGGATCATGTGTTTGGTGGGGGTTGGTGAAGGTATGGAGTTGGGGACGAGAGGAAAGGTGCGTGCTCGGGTTGGAGAGCAGAGGCTATGTGTGGTTTTTGTTGACGCTCTGCAGTAACTCACACCCAGACCGTCAACGACTTTTATCCAGACCACACCACCCGCAACCCCTACGTCGCATAATTCTGATGCCAGATGTAATCCCCCCCAGCGTCGCTCAACAGCTTCTCCAGCCCCTCCAACCCACTCAACGGCCGCCGCCCCAACGCCTCCTCCATTAGCGGGCTGACGACAGCCGCGCGCCCGGCCTCGATCCCCCGCAGCAGCGTCACCCAGTTGCGGAAGAAGGCGGCGGGCTTGCGCCCCTCGTCGTTCGCGCTGTTGAGCGCGATGTACGCGGCGTCGGAGACGAAGGACACGGTGATGGCGCGGGAGGTGGTGCGGTTTATTGTGCTGATCATTGTGGTGAGAGGGATGGCGGTGGGGCCGGTGAGGTCGATCTGGGGTGGGGGTTAGTGATGGGGGAGGTGGTAGGGGGTGGGGTGGGGTGGTGTAGTGGGCAAAGGGGAAGGGGAACCTACGATTTCGTTCTCGTGCCCGCCTTTCAGCATCAGTTTGGCGGTTGCTTCGGCCAGCTCATCGCGCAGTGCGAAGGCGACCGAGCCGTCGCATGGGAGGTGCAGCGTTTGGTGCGGGTCGGTGGGGTACCAGTTCACGAGGCAGGGGAAGGCGTCGGTGTAGAGGGCTTCGCGGACGGAGGTCCAAGTGAGGTTGGACCTGTATGTAGTCAGCTAGGATGCACGGGTGTTGGAAACGGAAGATGACTGAAGATGAGAGGGAAAGGAAGAACCGCAGGGAATGTGAAGGGAAAGGAGGAAAAACGCGTACTCCCTCAACATCTCCTCCGTCTGCCTATGCACCACCATCAGCTCGATCTCGCCCTCTCCTCCCCCAAGCCCTAGGCTCGTATACCAGACCCTCTGGACGCGCGCCTCCTTCGCCGCATCCACGACAGTCCGATGCTGTGCCGCACGTTTAGCGTTGTCGATCTCGCTGCTCGACACAAACAACAGCGTGTCGACGCCGGCGAACGCGGCGCGCAGGGTCTCGAGCGAGGCGTCGAAGTCGACGATGCGCTCTTGGACGCCGAGAGCCGTGATGGCCGGGTTGCCGCTGCGTCGGACCCCCGCTGCGATGCTGTTGTGGGGGACATTGTTCGAGAGGAACGTGAAGAGCACGCCCTGCCCGAGGCCGCCTGTCGCGCCTGTTATGAGGTATTTGATGGGGGTTGGGGATGTCATTGGTGATGGATGTTGATATGTGGATTTATTGACTGATTGAGTGAGACTTGGGTTGCGTATATCGTAATGAGAAGAGTAGGGAGAAGCTGGTAGACCAGCAGAATGATGAAAAGTCCCTAGCTCTTTATGTCTTTGTCCGTATACCCTGTCCCACTGCCCCAATGTCGTACTTGGTTACACATCTGCTTTGTCCGCCCTACGTCCGCCCTACCCCTCATTTCAAGATGCATGACTATTGTCTTTGTGGTGTAGATTAGAATAAACCCCATCTCATAAGTCAGCGGATGAGTTTGTCCTTAGTGGTGTGGTACCAGTATACGCAAGTATGTCAGCAAGTGGTAGTGCCGTCGGCTGGATCCTCGATTGAGAATTCTTGCCGCCCGAATCCACACCAACGTGCTACCCGGCTAACGGAAGCAAAGCTAGAATAGGGAATCGGACCGCAAGTGTCTCTCTCCATCTCTAATCCCACGCCGCCGCTCCTCCGTGTCAGAGGGAGAAGTCGATTGCTTTTGCCAATTCCAAGGTCCTCCGCCGCGCTGCCAGAGACACGTCGCCTCTGTCAAGATAAACGCCAACGACCGCAAGCCCGCGAGACGCGGCCCGCCGTGCCCCGCGATGAACACTCGCTGGGTGGCAGGATGGGCGACTCATAGGGCGGTCGGGCAAGGCTGACCCCGCGTGCCCGTGCGCGCTTTTTCTGCCGCGCCGACAAGATTCGCCCGAGTCGCTCTAGACTGCTGCCGCACTTTCCACCTTCCCACTCACCCACGCTCGACTTACGCCTCGATGCTCTTTACTCGGTAGCACACGCCCTGCTTTCTAGAGAAGTCCCTCTAGACGCCATGGCTGAGGTACTGCTCACTTGCCGGCTGCGCCCTGCTCACGACTAACCCGCTGCAGCACATTTCGGAACTCTGTACGCTGCTTGTCGACGACCTGTACGGCGAGCTTTCTTCGGTACGTCGCAGCGCGCGCTTTCTCTTGCGCCTCTCGCCCCTCTTGCGCCTCTCGCCCCTCTTGCGCCTGGTTTCAGGCGCCGCCTGCCTCGCTCCTCTATTGCTGCCTGCTCTCTCGCTGCTTGCCTCGCTTTCCTCGCTACCTTTCGCTACTTCGTGGCTCCTCACTGACACCGTCCCAGCGTGTCTTTTCCGTCCTCGCAAAGCAAGGCCGCCTGTCTATCCGCGGGCTGGTTAAATATTCCGACCTGACCGTTCGCGACCTCAAACATGGTCTAGCTGTGCTCATTCAACAGCACCTCGTCCTCCACTATACCGCCGAAGATGACACGTACTACGAACCCGACTGGCAGCACGCCTACGCTTTAGTCCGCTCCGGCAAGGCCATAAAGATTATAGAAGACAGGTTCGGCGAGGCCGCCGGGGGTCTCGCGTCTAACCTGCTTCTTCTCGGTCACGCCAAAATCAGCGACCTTGCGGATGCCTACGGAGTCGCACCGAAAGAAGGCGCTGTGGATGCTGCCGCAATGCATGTTGCGAACGGTCTCACGAATGGCGAGGGTACCAATGGTGACGCAACGACCAACGGTGACGCAACGAAACCACAGAAGAACCACGTTGAGTCACTGGAAGATCTCCACAGGTTGCTGCGCCAGCTCCTCGACTCCGGCTTCGTCACTCCAGTCCGCGCGAAGCATTTCACCCCGTCCGCCGACCTATACAATGAAGCGGAGCGCATAGTGAAGAGAAGCCACTTCCCCGAGGGTGTCAAGGGGAAACAGATCGCAGAGCTGGATAAGGAAACCAAGAAGCTACTGAAAAAGTGGAGGGACGAGGATGCAGGCGAGGAGGAACAAAAGGTGTCTGCGGGTACAAAGCGCTCTCGGGATGAGTCAACACCCCAAGCAACGCGCAAGCGCATCAAGATTACGACTAAGCTTCCCAATGGTACTAGCGCTGTTCGCGCGTCTGAAAAGGAAGTTATTGCACTTGACGTATGTTGCCGCTGATAAATAGGCAGACATGGTTAGCTGACTTGAACAGGATGAACTTGTAGTCGGCATCGATCAGGACAAGTGCGACGTAGCAATACGCTCGCAACAACTAGTTGAATATGCTGAACGCTATCTCGGAGAGACCACGGCGAAGGTTTACGAGGCGCTTTTGCAACAAATGGAGAAGAAGGTGGACCGCTGCAACGACCCGTACAACCAAGCAGCAAGCGAAGAGGACGAGGCCGACGCTTTACCTTCAGTTACTGCGCGAGAGGTGCTTGAAGTCCTGCCAGAGCTTGACTTGGCAGCAGGAATCGGCCAGCCGCCTAGCATGACCAACGGTGTCGATGGCGACGCCGATGAGGAGGAGGAAGAAGATGAAGAGATGACCAACGGAGTGGCTCATGTTGATAGGAGCTCGGCGGCTGTCACTGCTGGCCGCTTACCACTCATCAAGACGCACATCTCGCTCCTGGCCGAAGACCCGCGACGCTTTGTCCGATGGGTAGGCTCGCGCGGTGGCGGAGAATACAAAGTCGACTTCCGGCCGCTTACAAACTCACTCATACAACACGAACTCGAAGCGACAGTATCAGCACGATGGGGCCCGATCGCCACGCGGCTCGTCCGCATCCTGCACGCCAAAGGCAAGCTCGACGAAAAGCAAGTCTCGACATTCGGCATGCTGCGCACGAAAGAGATACGCGCGGCCTTAACAGCAATGCAAGAAGCCGGCTTCGTCGACACGCAAGAAGTGCCCAAAGACAACACGCGCGCGCCCAGCCGCACCATGTACTTCTGGTTCTTCGACCAAGACCGGTGCCGGCAGCTCGTGCTGACGGACACGTACAAAGCCATGGCGCGCCTGCTGCAGCGCATCCGCGTCGAGCGCGCCAAGGTGCAGTCGGTCATTGACAAGGCGGAGCGCACCGACGTCGTCGGCAACGAGGACCGCTACCTTACTGGCACGGAGAAGCAGGCGCTACGCGGCTGGCGCGAGGCTGAAGAGAAATTGCTCGCGCAGCTGGGAAGGCAGGATGATCTCGTCGCTGTGTTGAGGGATTTTAGAATGCCTCCCATTCCGAAGGCGGCGTGGCAGGAGGGCTGAGAGGGTTGCGGTAGACTGGCGCGTGGCTGCGTGCTTGTGAGCTGCTCTGCCGTAACGTGATGCGTTGACGCTGTGTTGTGTTGGTCCCGGATGGGATGGACGTTCTTCCGCCTCCGCTCTCGTCCTATAGGTGCTTCTGCCTGTTGTATAGCGCGAGCATTGGGCGGCGACGGAGTAGACGCACGTCGTAAGTAAGGATGGAGAGGAGAGGCGGCCAAGACGGCACGGCACGTCAAGCGCACGGTACGGCGTGGATGGCGAAGCAGTTGAATTGAATTGCATGTAAGGCGAGCAGGAATTCTGTGAGGTTCGTACTACTTGCTTTATAGATGGGCCTTGATACCCTAGTCGTGGCTACTCGGCTACTCTTGAAAACAAATGTCGTTGTTATTTCTGGTTGATTGGTTGATTGATTGCTGCAAGAACGCGGACGGTGCTTTGTTGAGAACTAATCTGATAGTGCCTGTGAGAAGAGGCGGCAAGACGCGCAAATCTGGTAGTAGTGCTTGTTATTCATGACGGCGGACCCTGCCCTCGCTGTCGAATGTGTGTGCGTGTGTACAGCACCCCCTCCCCCCTCATCCATTGACTCACTCACCCAACACCCAACCCTACCCCACGCACCTACCTACCACCTACTCCTCCGTCAACTTCCGATACTCCTCCTTACTAAGCAAGCCCTCCCCCTCCAGCGCAGTAGGGTCCTCAAGATCAATCTTGGCGATCCAGCCCTCGCCCTCGGGGTCCTTGTTGATTGTCGAGGGCGCCGCCTCGAGCCCGGTGTTCACGGCCACGACGGTGCCCGCCAGCGGCGTCATGATGTCGCTGGCGGACTTGACGCTCTCGACCGCTCCGATCGCGTCGTGCGCGCCGTAGCTGGTGTCGGTTTGCGGCAGCTCCACATAGACGACGTCGCCGAGCGCGGAGGCGGCGTAGTGCGAGATTCCGAGCGTGACTGTGTGGTGGTGGGGGCGTTAGTGTGGGGTTGGTTGGGGAGGGAAGGGTGGTGTGGTTTGGATTGGGTTGGAGAGGGTGGGCTGATGGTGCTGTGGGTGAGGGTGAGGGTGAGGGTGAGGGTGCTCGGCAATGCGGCGGTGGTGGTGGTGGGCGAGCGGGGGAACGGGCAAGCAGGCAACTTACAAGACTTCTTATCCGCCGAGACCTCGACCCATTCATGGTCCTGCGTGTACTTCTTCTCGCGCACTGTGCTCTCAGCAGCTTCAGCAACGGCAATGGTAATCAATGGCAATGGGAAGACGCGGTCGGCGACTTACGCGCTGCGGACACGGACAGCAGCCGGCGGGACGCGCGCGCGGCATGGGCGCATTGGAAGAGCGCGGGCCGGGACGCGGGCCTAGGCGCAGTGGAGGCGAGCGTGCGCGCGGCGCGGGCGAGTGTGCTTCGGGCGAAGGCCATTGTGCGTGTGTTGTGTGCGTGATGGGGTGGAGAGAGAAGGAAGAGAGAGAGAGCTGGAGCTAGGTAGGTAGCTGGTGATGCCATATCCCACGTCGAAGCTCCGAGCGGCCGGCGCGGTCCGTGCGTCTCGGGAGGGCTCCCGAGCACGCGGGACGACGTTGTTCCGGCGCGAGCGAGCGTGCGGCGGATCCCGGCGATGGATTGCCATCTTTTGAGGTCGAGAGAGGTACAGCAGCCGCACGCGTCGCCGCCAATCCCCCCCGCCACCATGGTCTTGTACGAGCTGATAGGCGTTGTGAGTGCTTCTTTCTGGGCGAGTGCCGGGCGGCAGCTACACGGCCGCGCAAATCCCACTGACAACGGCGTGCACGCAGGTCCGGCCGGGCAAGGTCTCCGAAGTCAAAGAGTACGCAACAACAACAACACCACCACCAAGCACCACGCACCCAGCAGCCCAGCCCGCCATGAACCTACCCCACACACACACACACACACACGCGCGCGCGCGCGCGCACGATCCCCGCGCCCCCCAAACGCACAAACAAACAACGACACTAACGCGCGGAGCACGCTAGAATCGCCAAAACCGCAGGCAGCCTAATCCTCAACAGCGGGGGCGTAATCCGGGGCGTAACGAACTGGGGAATCTTCCAGCTGCCGAAGCCATACCGGAAGCACCAAGTGCTGCACCACACGGGGCACCACTTCATCCTGCGCTTCGACTCGTCCGCCCGCACGCAGCACACGATGCGGCGCACCATCGCGCTGGACCCGCGGCTGATCCGCTTCGCCGTCGTCAAGCTCGGCAGCAAGCTCGACGACATCGCCGACGTCGAGAGCATCGTCCCCTGGGGCTCGGGCGTCGCGGCTCAGACCTCAGACGTCCGTCGCTCCGCCCTCGCTGCCGCTGGTGCCCAGCCCCAGCCTGACTTGTCCCTCGCCCCCGGCTCTAGCCTGGAGCATAATCGCATCATGCAGGACGAGATCAGGAATATCTTTGATTCCATGGCGACGGGCCCCCAGGCCCCGAACAAGTCGGAGTAGCCGGTCTGTCTGCCTGCTGCTGCCCTCGTTGTATCATATTGGGGTTTCCCTAAGCCTGCGCGCTGCGGGACGGACGGCGTTTGGAGGTTGGGACTTTAGATGCTGGTGATCGCATGGGTCACGGGTCACACGAGCTCTCTCTAGGTGGAAAAAGAAAAAAGAACCCAAAGAGACGTTTTCACGGAAGGAATGGATGGATGTATGTCGGGATAGTCGGAGATCACGTGCTGCTACTTTTGGTATATCATTTTTTCCTGGCAAGAGCTACGCATGCATGCTCCCGAGCGTCATTGTACAAACAGCTAAGGCGCATTTCCAATCAAAAAAAATTTCACCTCCCATTTTCATCAAACAACTAATGCCAAAAAGAAAATAATGCTTGCGAGTCCTACGAAAACGAGAGCAACGACGGCTTCTGCTTCGTCGCCTCTTCCTCATACTAGAGTAGAATGTCAGCACCGTACAGCTACTGCTGTCGAGATCAACAAGTACTTACCTCAAGAAAATCTGTCGCGCTTATCAAGATCATCAAGTTATCCACCAACTCATCCAAATCGCTGCCAGCGACTTCGGACCTGCCTCCAACCCTAGCATGCCGCTTGAACACGCTGACAATGCTCGCCCGGTTCTCGTCGATAAAGTACCTGGCCTGCTGGCGCGTCTGCTCGTTCTGGGGGCCGCGGGTAACCACGACAGAGTTGATGACGCGGAGAACCGAGAGCATGAGCTCGAAGAACTTTTTCAACGCGTTGGCGTTCTCCATTTCTGTTACGTCTAAAGGTTAACCATCCAGGTATTACTGCTTGGTGTGGGGCAAAAGAGTGGACTTACCGAGACCAAAGTCTGGGTCCGCGGCAAATATCTGCGAGTCGCGGACGGATTGGAAGAGGCCGGCGTTCAAGACGCAGGCCGCGCCGAGCTTGGTCTGCGATATGCGCAGAAGGAGCGAGAGGTTGGCGTCGATGAACGAGAGCAACAGTGGCACATCTGCAGCGAGGTTAGTTGGAGCTGAATTGAAAGGCGTGATGATCTTACCTGCAGCACTGGCATTACGAAGCTCGGTGGGAATGAGCTTGATGCTGTCCACGAGTACATCGATAAAGTTGAGCCGGACGAAGGAGTCGATAACGTATCTCGAATCCTCACGGGTGCCGAGCGCGACCAGAGCGTCCAAAAATAACAATGCCGAAATCCGGCAAGTCCCTTGGCCAGCATAAGAATCATCGCAAACCACATCCATCAGCCTGGTACCGGCGGACTTGACGATGCGAAGAGTATGCGTGTTCTTCGGCGAGCTCGTCGGAGAAGGCTTGGCAAGCGCCATGGTGGAGACAGCCAGCGAGCCATTGAGAGAACCGCTGAAAGATCCACTCAGCGGGGTGCCGTTTGGTGACTTCTTGGCTGGCTCTTTCTTCACCGTACCACGCAGATACCGGTAGCAGATTTGGTAGCAGATTTCCCGCAGAGCAGCATTTGAGACGAGACAGAAGATGCCGCTCAAAGCAACACGGAACAGCTGCGTCAATCTGTCGTTGGCAAGGTCACCAGCTCGTGAGCCTTCCAATGGCATAGATTTGAAGTCAACGTAAGTCAAAAGCGTCCGAGCAAGATCTGCGAGGTTGACAGCTGTCGTTACGTCTTCGGTATATGCTTTCTCGAGCTTGGGCAAAATGACCTGGAGTGCTTGCAAAATGAATGACGTCTTCGTCGTAGGATCGAATTCACAGGCTTCCAGAACAACCATCATAAGTTGTACCCATGCCTTGAGGACATCGGCACGAGCAATGGCGACATTCTGGCGTTGGTTGACACCTAGAAGATAGCCGAGAACAATCTGGGTCTCAGTCTGCAGTTGAGTCTCTTCCACAGGAGTTGGCAGCTTTCCGTCCCGACGGAGTTCATTAGCTCGGAGAGTGATGAGCTCTTGTACGCTCTGCATGTTGTACTGCAGGTGAGGCGCCTCTCCCTCGGTTCTGCAAATGTTGAAGTCCAACGAACCCAGCATGATAAGTGGTGGCAGAGCGAAATCATCCATCACCTCAAGCTCCATGAAATCGAACAAATCAAAAACGCTAGGATTCTGGATCTGCGCTCCATCGGACGTGAGCGTCACTCCTAACAGAGTCGATTGCATACGAGCTCGGAGTGTCGGCATGCCACCTTGATGAGCCAGCCTTAGCTCCCGTGCCGTGTACTCATAGAAAGCAGTTCTTTGGCAGAAAAATTTCTCCAGCGCAATGGCTGAATCCGCGAAGATGAAATCCGGGTCGGCGATGTCTTTGCCACCGAATAGGGTAGCTGGCTCGACGAGGTGTTGTCTTAGAGCCTGAGTGCTGAAGAGTTCAGCCGTACGAAGTTCCGCCATGACATACGCCGAGGAAAGGGGCGATCTCCAAAGCTTCATCAAGATGTCAATGCACTTTTGCTTGACTATGCTCGACCAAGGGGTGAAGGAACCATCCACCATCTCCGGATATTCTACGGCCAGCTTGAGGATCGCATGGAAAAGGGAGTTGCCAGCTGCAAAAAGACCATCATCTGGAACATCGATCGTGCTCGTGCCGCAGCTAAACCCTAGCAGAAGATGTGCTATTGTGGGCCTATTTGGCAACGCTGAGAGACAACTGTTCAGGAAATCAAGGATGCTCATTTTGATGGCATATCCGGGCGAAATCGGACCAGCTTCGAACTCTCGGGAATCCAGCTGCATTTCAGCACTCAAGGATTTCGCAATTCGCTCCGCATCGTTGTCTTTTTCCAAGATCCCGATGATCTTACTACGATCAGACCGCTGACCAAACCCTGCCGTGGGTGAAACAACCAATTTGCGCGAAGAAGACAGCTTCTCCAACAGCTGAAGTGAAGCAAGCGTCAGATCTTGGTGTCCAGTTCCACAGTAGAGACCGAGATAGACGACGGTGGAGAGATTGTTGAGGACGGCATCCTCGAAGGAAGCAAGAGCCGTGTTGGCAACAACCCTCCTATGAACGGTACTCTGTTCCTTGATCACACGTCGAACGATGTCGAGATAGGTGCGTTGCAGTTTCATGACCAAATCAAGCACTTCGATGGCTTTGACCAATGACATGAGCAAAGGAGAATCTGGTGTTGAGTCGTTGACTTCTTCCACATCCTGCTGCGCGGCGGCGAACAAAGATGACAGCACGTTGTCGTTAAAGAGCCACTCCATGACCCTCGCAAACGGATGCAGTCGGACGTATGCAGCCAGTGAGGAAGAGTGGATGGCAGAGTCCACGGCGATGCTGGACTGATTGGCAAAAACGACAAGGTCCTCGTTGAAGGTGGCTAAACAGGTGGCGATGAAGTTGAGGCAATGCCATCGAAGGACCCGCAATTGAAGGGGATCTTCAACCTTCTTGCACAACTGATCGAATATACGCTCCATGGCGAAGTCAATAAACTTTTCAATCCCAGGCATCCGGTAGCTCGATCCAAGCGTTTCAGGGAAGGGAAGGGCGTCATGGAGTCCGGAGTCCTCAGAGTAAGGCGAAACCAGAGCCGTTAACAAGCCCATGAACGCGGTTGCTTCATCGTAATCCGAAGCAATCGTTTCAAAGACCAGGCGTTCTTGTTGTCCGAAAGATGGCGGCCTGGGCACGCCAGCCGAAATATGTGTTCCTCCGATCATCCACTGATCCAAGGCGCTCCACATACCGTCTCCGATCTGAATGTTCTTCCCGACTAAGAGGGAGCTAAGACAGCTGAACGCGCAGGCCCTCAGGCGGCTTTCCATGGTAATAGTTGACAATTGAAGAAGGATATCTGGAACATTGAATGTCGCGTGAGAAAGTGTCCAAAGTCGTGCTTCTGAGCTCTCCCTGCACAAATGCGCAAGCAGCCTCATATGGCACTCAAGCATCATAGCGGTTTCCGGTTCAACAATCTGCTCATTGGGATTTTGTGGGGCTGGTTGGAAGCCGGACGCTGCTGGAGAAGGCCTGTCCCGGATGCTGTTCGCGTAGAATTGTAGTTCGTTTAAGATGTGAGCATAACTTAAAGAGCTCGTGCGGCGAAGTTTTCCAGAAGCAATGACGCTTTCTTCTTGGAGAAATCTGTGTGCAGCAGCTGCACATTCTTCACCCTCTGAAAGTGATCGGAGCATCTCGCAGAATGCAGCAACCCTCGGCGTGGTTTGGCGTTTGGCTGCCCACTGAAGAAATCCATAGAGGTTGCCATCTGTGTCTTGCCAAAAGCTCTGTGCCGCATCAGGGCTTTCAGCAAAAGCATAGGAAATTATAAGCAAGAAGCGTTCGAGGTGTAGCTCTTGCTCAACTGGCCCCCGTTGGAACCGAGCGTGCATCATGCGTCGGCGATCATCTTCTTCTACCTTGAGCTTGCGCAGAGTATCTGGCATGTTGGTAATGAAAGCATCGACGTATCCTTGCATTTGTTCCATGTACAGCGACTGAAAATGGTCCGACAGCGGTACAGAGTCAGCTGGCAACTGGGGCGCATCTTGAAGCACGAATGAGAGCAGGTGAGCCTTTGCTGGGTCGTACCATCTGTTGGGCTTCACATCTTGACTTGTTGAGAGGATGAAATGCAAGGCACCATCTTTGAGTGCGTCCAGAAAGAGCTGCGAGCGTCTCTCGGCTTCGGCTTCCAGGTCAACGCCCTCTTGAGGCTGAGGATCGATGTACCTCCCGCTGTATTCGGCCAGCCACCATGTCATGACGGCAGCATGAAAGTTGCGCAATTTCCACGCTTCGCCCTCTTTACCTGCTACGACAGTCTGGTGAAGAGATCTGGCATCTTCCAACGAGGACGAACGCTCAGATGACACCAATTGGTTGATGGAGGAGGTGACCATGGGCACGTAATGGATGAGCACCACATCGTGCTTGTCGAGCGATTTCAGTGTCCCAAGCAAGCCGCGGAAGTTATCAATGCTGGAATAACCCGCTTTGATTAGACTCGTGCAGATGGCCGCCAGGGACTCGTGCTGCCGGGTCAAGCTGACCCTTTGAAAGTCTAGAATCTCCATGTCTTCCGAGGTATGGGCCTTTCCGACAACCGAGCCAGCCAGCGCGCTATCTGCCAATTGTTGCAGCCATCTTTCAATGTCACCCATGCTTGCGAGGCATTTCTGCCAATAAGCGTAGCCATTTTCCAGACGGTGGTCGGCACCGATGCCTAAGACCTTAAGCGCATAACTACCGAAATGAGTCGCAAGCTGTTCGTTCGCTTCTGGATCATGGGATTGCTTTAGAACCAGGCGCAGGCATTCCAGAAGGAATTGCCTCCGTTTGTGGAAGCGAATGACGGAGGCTGTAAAGAGGGAACGGTCGAGCTCGAGAATATCCTCCTGGGCGACGATGCATAGCTTGGCGGCCTCAATTTCGTCAAGGTCGAGTGCGTCTGCGACTTTGATCGTCTCTTGTCGGAAGTCATCGTTGAGTTGATACTCTAGGTCATCGACCTTGAGGGTTTCTGGCGCAACATGTCATTGTCAGCGTTTCTGGAGAGTTGTTTTGGACGAATCTATGTCCGCACCGGCCTTGATTGCATCGCGACTTTTGTCATTCTTGCGCGGCTTGTCCAAGAGCTTCTTGAACTCTTCTATTCTTGCTTCCAGCTCGGCCTCGAGCCTTTCGAGAACCACCAGTCGCGAGGCCGAAAGCGCAAGTAAATCGCGGTGGAGGCCCTGCAGAGCCTCGAGGCTGTCGGTATCTGCCATATAGGTGGCTTAGCTTCCTTGCATAGCAGGGTGGTCGGACGGCGTGGTCGGAGGTCGCTGAAGCTTCCAAGTTTGTTTGGCTGACAAGCGGGAGCTCCATTGATGAAAACGCGCCGCTCGACGCGCACGGAGCTTTCTGTCCGCTCTCTCCGCAGCTCACCTCCGAAGAACCGCGACCCGCTCAACACCACATTGCGACATCCACGTTTGCATTTGCCTTGGGCGACATGGAAAGCTTTTGAAGCCCTGCACTCTGAAACAAAACTGCGCCGTCGTTCCGCTGGATATGAGCCTCGTTTGGCAGCGCTGTGTTCACTAGGGTTGACGTGGAGCGAGCTTCCACAAAATGTCAAGTCAGAAGATCTCAAAGTTGTTAGGTAAGTTGCCTCGTTCGGGACAGGCGCAAATGACAATGGCTGAGGTCTGGCTGCAGATAAAATAGAGAAGGCAGAAAACGTCAAACAGCGAGATGAGTTTCTCGATGACTTCAAGCAACTACTAAGCTACAGGCGCAATAACCCTGAATTAAACAATGTCGAAGGTAACACACATTCCGATCTGCTTGACAGTCTATTCGACTGTCACGACAAGGTTTTCGACAGGTACAAAAAGGCACCTACACGACACACACCCAAACCTGGCAGTAAAAGAGGGACTACTGTCAAAGACAAGAAGCTCGACAGTCTAACAAGACTCGCGGCCGCAATAAACCTGACTTTAGAATCCTGCATACGTCAGATTGAGATCAAAACTGTTAAAGTTGTGATCATCTTTATCTTGGATGTACTTGAAAACCTTGAAGATCACTCTGAACAGCTCAGAGTCGACTTTCACAAATGTCTGCGGCTTGTCTTGAGCTACCCACCTCATGTGGAACACCTGCCTAAGAATATTTGGAATACCATCCTGGAGTATTGTTTGGATGGTATCTCCAGTTTCCAACATAGATCGGTCTCCGGCAGCAGCTTCCATCACACCGGCACTACTTCTGGTGCGCGAGGCACTCCGGATCCTTCCGCTGAATCAACCCCAAGATCTTCTTTCATGCGCGACTCGTCAAACATAGACCGCCATAGCTCCGGTTCTAGTGGGTCAATTGCGATGAATGAACTCGTATATTGTGTCCGGTACCTCACCTCGGCCACCAACGCTCCTTTGTTTGACAAAGCTTATCAGCGGATTTTGTTTGTGTTGATCGAGTGGCTGCAAGCACCCAGAGGCATAATTGGGGCTTATGTTGAAGCCTTTACTGCCATCAACCACATCATTTCCAGGATTTCACTTGACTTCGGTGCCGTCGCGCAACAAGCAATCAAGAGCTTGATACCAATTATTAGGAATTCCTGGTCATCGAGGTTGTCTCTTCTCAAGGAAGAGCTGCTCATCACTCTGATACACAGCAAAGCCCATATTGCCAGCATGCTTCATATGGTGGCTGATGATGCTGATGAGCTACGGTTTGACCTGGAGAGCCTATTAGATACGATGCAAGCAGAATACGGGAAGCGCCCCGACAGAGAACAACTACAGGTCGATGACCTGCGCCTACGTTTCCGAGTGGATTGTCCTTTTGAACAATCGCCTTTCCATATGGCATTGTGTCGCTTGCGCCCTGGCAACACCAAGTCAGAGCATCCATGGATACTGGTACACTTGATTTCTTATTTCTCAGTGCTCCTGGACTCGACCCGCGCTCCAGCTGTAGCCGACAACTCGTTCCTTCAAGATGGCGAAGAAACACCGAGCAAAAAGCAACGGACTATGCAATATCTCCAAGATTATCTTCGACAACTCATGAACCCCCATTCAACCAGCAAAGTATGCGCTTCGCAGATTGTAACTTTCATGGTCCACCAAACGCCCTTGGACGTGGAAAGTCTCGAGTTTGCACTAGATAAATTGACCACTCAGGTATCCGACGGTAACGCTGCAGTATCCAACTGGGCTATGCTCGCAATTGCTAGGTTAGCACATGATTCAATTACTCGTTGTATCATAGGGACTGACTCAACACTATAGTTGCGCGATCCAAATGTCCTCCGCCTCCTCAAAACTCAGGTCCCAGTGGGCTACTGTTTGGCAGCTTGTGTCCAGGAACATCAACGCGATCTCAACCTGCAGAGTCGCTGCCCACGCAATGGATGTACTGCTGAGGTTAAACCTGGTAGATTATTCACTTACGGTTGAGACAATGGACGCCATGATCTCCTCAGTCGAATTGCACGGTCCAGCTGTCCTTTCGGAGACGACTTCTTCGTTATGGATAACGATACTCGATATGAAAAATTCCGAGAGCCCTCACACATCCAATGTGACCGCAGACCGCATGTTTCGATGGCTCACGTCTAAATGGACGCCAAGTATGTCTCTTAAATCATATCTAATCTCAAGCTAACCGTGCTAGGCAACTTCCACGAGAAGTCCTATACTCTTCAAAATTCTCATCATTGCGACGCTTGGGATGTCGTCAGGGTTCTGTTTACCTGCGCCGACCGTGAAACACCTCTGTTCCAAGGCAACCCATTCTCCAGCTTTGGACCTCTCGCAATAGCCTGGATGCAGGCTCACAAATGGCCTGGCCTCACCAACTATCTTCTGTTACTAGAAGAGGATGGCGGATATCTGGCCGAACCTCAAACAAGCACAGAGGTTGTTTCAAATCTACAACAGCAACGTTCTGCTCGAGCAGACAAACTCATTCTGGATTATTGTTCATCAGAACTGGAGAAGACCATCCAGCGTTTCACGGAATGGGGCGCAGAGCGATCAAACAGCTTCACTACAGAGATGTTACGTTCAATCACCACGCTTTGTATCGTTGCATCTCACTTGTCGACCGGAACGTTTGCCATTCCTGGTGCCCGAAAGAACGATATACAGCAGAACAACAGTGCTCTCATCAAGATGTTGGCAGGCTTTGTTGCAAAGCCGGACACTGACCTGTTATCTGTCGACGCTGTATTGGAAGTCGTAGCTTCATGTCTTCCCGCCATCTCTACTTTGGAGTCTTTTGATGCTGAGTTGTTCGACAATATTGCAATCACCCCGCTCATACTTCACTTGGCTCAGGCGCTGCATGATCGCAGATCAAACAAGGATGCACATCGACCGACTGGACCTTACGACCCAATGGAAATCGATGACGGATTCGAATCACAACGCAGCAACAGTGTCTTGAAACATAATACAGATGAATTACCACGAGCCAGTATTGCAGCTGAGGTAAATATATTATCCCTACGAGGAATGACATCAGCTACCATATTGCTGCTCTCTTCGGCTTTCGAGAGTTTGCCTGTCAACGGAGTAATCACAAACATCCCGCACACCTTTTTGGAGCATATGCGCTCGCTTCCCGCTGCTGAATTTTTAGCTTGCAGAAAGCTCTTAGTGGATGTTCTCTCCTCTCCGTTATGCTTGACAATTGAGGATGCAGACGATGTGCTTGTATACGTAGCCAATGAGTTTTTGCAGGCCTACGAGTATGAAAGAAACGAGGTTGCTATCGGACTCTGCGTGGAAATCATGACAAGCACCGCGTCGTTATGGTTACCAAAAAACTCACGCTTACACGATGTCGGGCTAGACATCTACGAGTGGCTTCTCAGACTCTTTGGCAAGACCGGAACTACATCTTCGGAAATACTGATACGCGTTGTGGACCTCTTCCAGGAGTTATTACGGATTCAACCGGAATATGCGCAAGACTCAGGCATACCTTCAGTGCGCACCGAACTGGTCGATGTCCTTGACAAAGGCGATATCCCGATCAAATACCATATCATCGATCGTCTTCCAAAGATCTTCGAGATGTTCGTCTTGAGCGAGCATGAGGCTTTTTTCGGCATTATTTTCGAGAATCTACCAAAAGATGACACCTGGAAAGAAGGCATGGCGCTCCGGCTCTATGCTTTCGCTACACTCGGATCGGCATGGCATACGTTGTTGCGGTTGTGTGTATACCACACATTTGAACAAGTAGGACTTGTCAAAGCGACAGAACGCCATGCCACTCGTTGCATGCTATCTATATCTAGAGCCCTGCAGCTCGAGGATCCCCAAACCCTTTTCCGCCTCTACGTTCCACAATTTCTCTACACATGGCTGTGTAAAGAACAGATAAAGAACATCCCGTACCGGACCTTTGGTTACGAATCCCTTGCTGAGCTTTTGGAAGATGTTCAAGACGAGGTCTATGGGCAACTGGCGATGCGTGGTGATTCAAATAGAATTTCAGACCTACTGGCTTATCTTCAAGTCACCGAGGAGATTCTTTTGACCAAAACGTTTGCCAAGGCTACTGCATATACAATAGCTGAGGACACCCGAACACAGAGCAAGGGAGACAAGCCTACCAAGAGTAATGAGGCTCGTCTACGAGAGTTGATGCAGGAAAAATATCTCGAGCTTGTTAGGAAACAATTCCCTTGCATCTTAGGCCTGCTCATCTATTCCATGGAAGCCCCAGAGCGAGTGGAGAAACCATTGTCAAAGGAAAAAGACTCAAAGTTCACGAGTGTTGGACACGCATTGAAAGACATCCAAAGTATCAGTTCCTCAAAGGCCACACTTCCCGCAGACCAACAACCTTCATTCAACGCGGTACACATATTTGACGAGATACGCCGCCTGACTAGGCGAGTAGGATACGAACACCCGAACGGATTCTGGGGCCCGGATTGCTTCACCTACGTTCTGCGGTTGCTGCTGAGTAAGATCCATTCTGCTCTGGGCTCTCTCCACGCATGTTCTGTAATCAGGAAAATCAGGTTTTTGATTTCCCTGGCAGGGCCTGTGGCTTTTGATGGTTATCCACTGCAAATGACCCTCAGTGCGCTACGCCCATTCTTGACAGATAGCCAATGCGCTGATGACACGCTTGGTATTGTCCAATATCTCTTTGATCACGGAAAACCTTACCTGATCCATCAACTGCCCTATGTCGCCGGCATATCTCTATCTATTTTAATATCCTTACGGGTCTTCCTTTCATCCTCCCAAGACAGCACCACACAGGAGAGCCAACATTTCGCAACTTTGGACAAAGCGAAATCGTTTCATTCATGGTTTGCAGCTTATCTGTTATCATACACGGATACATTGCTACAAATGGCGCCAAACAGGAGTTCAAAAGCATCCTTGGGCCTATTCCAGACGATGATACATGCTGCTTGCGAGGTACGCACTGAAGGAAACGCAATCCGAGGTTCACCTGAGAGCAAGCTCCTATATGCATTGTTGGAAGATGATCGGAACGGTCGAAGGCTGCTTGACGGACCTTCTCAAAACCTTGCTTATAGCCTTCTCTGTCATCAGTTCCATGCACCGCCCTCATTCCGAGAAGACATACTTGGATCGAGCGATGATGCTACGAAGTTTTCTACGCAAGTCTGGAAATCGAGCCGAAGAACTGACAACAGTGAGGAATATCTTCTTTGGACAGCAAGAGCTTTGGGACGGGGCTACAGTGCTTCTGGAAATATAAGCGGGAGCCTTCGCCGGGCAGCTCAAGGGAAAAACATCTCTGACCGGTTTGAAGAAGCTTCGTTTCGTACTTCTCGGATGCTTATCTTGGAGCACTTGGCAAACCTATTGCGGGGCGGCAGCCTTCATGAAGGAGGCATTGCCGAGGAAGCGCTCCGCACATTCCTCTCCAAAAGAGATGGTTCGCGGGATGGACCAGATGAATTTTCCGAGGCCGAACAAGTCCTCCCAGAGCCTCTTATTTACGGGCTTGCGCTGCAAGATCCTTTCGATATTCCATTTACCCAACCTCCACTGTTTAAAAGCATTCAAGATAATGCTTTCCCTTCAAGGCACAAAGAGTTTCGCCATTGGATATCGGACCTGTGCATTGCACTGGCTCAGTCCGCGGCTGATGACCGAGTGGCCTGTGTGCTGCCAAAGTTCTTATTGGGAATCAAGTCGTCTGGTGAGGTACTGTTCCCGTACCTACTCCACATCGCCCTTGAAAGAGACTTCGAAGGGCAACAAAGCGTCAAAAGCACGATGTCTGAGGCTTTCCGCAAGTGGTTCTCCGGTTGTGACGACGACAAGATACTTTATGTCAAAGTGCTCCTTCAATCCTTACTCTACCTACGGACACAGCCGATGCCAAAGGAATCGACTATTGCAGATCGTACTCAATGGCTAGATATTGATTGGCTCGAGGCATCAAATGCTGCAGTAAAATGCGGCATGTACAGAGCGGCCTTGTTACTTGCAGAAATCCATGGAAAGCAGCCTGCGCGTGCTTCTAGGCGTTCCTCTGTCATGCCACAGGAGCAGTCCATTCCACTTCAACTCCAGTTGTCAATCTATAAGAACCTGGATGAGCCAGATTACTTTTATGGAGCAGAGCAAGAACCCAGCCTGACATCGGTGCTGAACAGGCTCGACTACGAAGCTGAGGGGTTCAAAGGATTGTTGTTCCGCGGAGCCAGAATGGATAGTCAGATGCGCAGGCTCAACAATGTCTTGCCTTCAGACTCGAGAGGTATAATCAAAGACCTGACCATGCTGAACTTGAACAGTTTAACACAGGCTTTGCTGTCAAATGACAATTTCCGTGATACTGGAAACTCTATCAACAACACGTTGGAAGTGGCACGAAAGCTCGAGCAATGGGATATACGAGCGCCATCAACCAAAACGTCGGAAGCTGCATCAATCTACAAAGCTTTCCAAGGCCTGCACAATGCGGTAGATCTACAAACAGTGCGAAAGCATCTTGATCTGAGCTTCCTTGAGACCATGAAAGTCTGCTCTGGCCTCAAGACATCCACACAAACTTTACAGGCGTCTTTCCGAACATTAGCAATCTTGAACGACATTGATGAGATAATGAGCTCCAAAAACGCGGAGCAACTGTATGAGACATGGGACAGGTTTAGAGACCGCGGTGCCTGGATGAACGACGGGCGGTGAGTAAAATCCCGTGTGCTTTTTGATCAACATCAGACTAACAGAAACAAGATTCGAAGACGTTCGGTCGATTCTATCATCTCGAGAAACCCTTTTCAGCCTACTCAGCAGGAGTCCGCAACTGCAAGAAATTATTCATACGGGACCAAAAGATCTGCGGAGCTTGGAGGTGAAACAGCTTGTCGATGTTTGCTCCACGTGCCGGAAACATGGAGCGCTGCAGGAATCGCTTGCGACTGCCACTTACCTTGCAGATATGATAGAGCCATGCCGCGAAGTTGGATTAAACATAGCAGTAGTTGCTGAGTTCGAAACTGCTAGTGTCCTCTGGGACCAAGGAGAGACCACCACATCCATTAGAATGCTCCAACGGCTCGAGGAGGACGTGAAGCCAGGTGAAGCGGGAGTGGAGCGGTCCGTTTTGCTTGCTACGCTGGTAATATTGTTGCATTCTTATTTCCCGAATAATGCTAACGTCTCTAGGGCCACCATGTTGGAGAAGCACGCTTGGAAAAGCCGGACGAGATCATGAAGCACTACATGGAACCAGCGATCCGAGAGCTAAAATCCCAACAGACTGGAAGGCAGGCAGGACAAGTCTTTCATCAGTTTGCCGCATTCTGTGATAAACAGCTCCAGAGCCAAGAGACCATTGATGACATGAACCGAATGAAACAGTTGGCTGAGCGTAAAGAAGCAGAAGCGCAAGAGTACGATAAGATGGCTAAATCAGCTAGAAACACTGCTGCCAGGGACCACTACAAACAGAACGCCAGGAGATCACGAAAGTGGTACGATATGGACATGAAAGAGTCTCAACGAATCGCAGACAGCCGCGTTGCCTTTCTTCGACAGAGCCTCGAGAACTATCTTCTTTGTCTTCAGGCTTGCAACGATTATGACAACGATGTTTTCAGAATGTTTGCGCTTTGGTTTGAATTCGCGGACCTGGGCTTAGCCAACACAGCGGTATCGAAGCACATTGAACATATCGCCAGTGGGAAATTTGTTCCTCTGATGAACCAGCTCTCATCAAGGCTCCAGGCAGAAAAGAGCAACTTCCAACAGATTCTAACACGTCTGGTCTACCGCATCTGCATCGACCATCCTTATCATGGCATGCATCATATTTTCTCCGGACATCTGGGAACGCCAAAGGATGACGGCGCGAAATCACGCAACACAGCAGCCAAAGAACTAGCCAAGCAACTTAAAGCGGATAAAAAAGCGAGCTTATATTGGGATCGCATCAAGAACTCGAACATGTGCTATCACGACCTGGCCAATGCCAGTGATTCTGATTTCAGGGCAGGCAGGAGTTTGCCAATGGAAAATTACGCTGCATCGAAGAAGCTGACAATGCAGATACCAGGACACAGGGTCCCGCCTATCACACTTCAGATAGATGTTCGCCACGATATGAACTACAAAACCGTTCCGCGAATCGCCAGCTTTCTCCCTCGAATGGGCATAGCGAATGGTCTCAGCACGCCCAAGATTGTGACAGCTGTCGGAACTGATGGACGTCAATATAAACAGTTGGTAAGTGGTTAGTCGTCTTCTCATAAGGAAATTTAGCTAATGTCTGTTACAGTACAAATCGGGCAATGACGATCTCAGGCAAGATGCTATCATGGAGCAAGTGTTTGAGCACGTCAGCCAACTTCTGCAAAACCACACTGTAACACGACTGCGGAATCTCCGCATCCGTACATACCGCGTCATACCACTAAGCAACCGCAGCGGAGTCATTGAATTTGTCCAAAACACTATGGCCGTTATGTCATATCTGGACAATGCGCACCAAACTTATAATCCGCGCGACTGGAAGCAAGCAGCCTGCCGCGAGAAGATTGCCAGCGCGGCTGCGCACTCAACCGAGGAGCGCCTCAAGTCCTACCAAAATGTATGCCGGCACTTCAGTCCAGTCTTGCGCTACTTTTTCCTCGAGCGCTTCCAAGACCCAGACGAATGGTTCGAGAAGCGACTCGCATACACGCGCAGCACAGCAGCCATCTCGATCCTGGGCCATGTTCTCGGTCTAGGCGATCGGCACTGTCACAATATTCTGCTGGACGAAAAGAGCGGCGAGTCAATCCACATCGATCTCGGCGTCGCGTTCGAAGCCGGCCGCGTGCTGCCCGTGCCTGAAGTAGTGCCCTTCCGCTTGACGCGCGACATCGTCGACGCGATGGGGTACACGGGTGTCGAAGGAGTGTTCAGACGATGCTGCGAGTTCACCATGGAGACGCTGCGCAACGAAAAGGATTCGATCATGACGATTTTGAACGTCCTGCGGTACGATCCACTGTACAGCTGGAGCTTGAGTCCGCTGAAGGCGAAGAAGATGCAAGAAGAGCAGGGGCAGAACAAGAAGTTTGAGCAGGATGGGGAAAAAGAGTTGGAGGAACTGCAGAGCATGGGAGCGAAAAAGAAAGAGGACGAGGTTGGCGAGGCAGCAAGGGCGCTAAGTGTTGTGGAGAGGAAGTTGAGCAAGGCGTTGAGCTCAAGCGCTGCGGTTAGTGAACTCATCCAGCAGGCGACGGATGAGCGCAACTTGGCGGTGCTGTACTGTGGCTGGTCGGCCTGGTGCTAGTGGGGGAAGGTCGTAGGAGTTGGTTGGTTTCTGCTTTTACAGACATCAAGCAGTGTTAGATATTTCTCAAAAATATATCATTCGCACAGTACTTATGAGCGTCTCGCCATCTTTCTCAAAGGTTAGATACACAAACTGATCACCATGTGGGCAGCCTATAAATTGTTTCTTCAAGACGCTACTGAAATTTGGTTTCACTGAACACCATCGTATAGGCATATGTATATGCGAGCGACCACCACCTTGCTTTCATTTGCTCTACCAATCTCCATAACCACTCATCAATAAACACATTCTCCAAAAACCCTAATTTGAGCGGATTGGGTGGATGGGCTTGTATGTAGGATGTACTGTATATATATGCGTTCGCGACTACATACACACCCACACGTAGATAAGTATACAAGAGTTTTACATGTAAACCGAAATACGCACCCATCAACCACGCATCCATCCATTCCGCCACTATCTTTCCCATACACCCACTCCCAGGCCAAATCACCCATCCCCTCCAACACACTTCAATCCAATCCCACACCACTCACCGGCCCCAATGCTGCCTCTGATACTCAAACAGCACAATGGCCGCAGCCGTCTGCACATTCAAACTCCGCGTAACGCCAACCTGCCTAACCTCAACACAAAGATCGCACTCCGCCAGCACCGCACCAGGGATGCCCTCGCGCTCACTCCCCATAACGAGCACGCAGCGCCGGGGCAACGCGCTCCCCTCGGCCCCAAGCACAACGCTGCGGTCCGTCTGCTCGACGCCCACAACCATGTAGCCGTCGGCCTTGCGCGCGCGCAAAAAGCCCGCCAGCTCCGCGGGCGGCAGCGCCGAGATCGGGAGGTGGTTGTGCGAGGACACGGCGACGGAGACGAAGTCTCGGTGCGCGAGCGTGTCCAGCGTCCGTAGTTGCAGCGACTCGCAGCCAAAGATCTCCGCTGCGCGTGAGAGCCCGCCCAGGTTGTACGGGTTGTCGATTAGCGAGCCGACGAGGATGAGCGGCGTCGACTGGCGCGTTGAGGCTTCGGCTGGGGATGCGAGCAGCGCTTCTTGCCATGCTGTGCCCTTGGTCTGGAGCGGGACGATTGCGGCCGCGGCGTCGGCTGGGGCGGGAGTCGGCGTGGACGTGGCTGGCGTGCCGCTGTTGGTCGACGGGGCCCGCGGCAGTGAGTGCCGTTTTGCGAGCTTGGAGGAGCCGAGCGGCACCCGCGGGGGTGGATAGTCAACTGTCTGCAGCGGCGCCTCGGTGTCTGCCCACACGACGTGGAAGTCTTGCGTCAGGACCAGTTTGGCGTCAGGCGGGTCCAGGTCGAGGTACCGGCCCTCGAACAGCGTCGCGAGCGTGTGGTCGCGGATCGGGTCCAGCCATTCGAGCGTCCGGCCCGGTGGCGGCGTCGAGTACTTGTCCAGTGCGCGAATGTGCTTGTTCAGTGCCTCGAATGCCGGGTTCGCTGTCAGTGTGGACCAGTCTTGGTTGACAGCGTGGTCCCATAGAGGCGGGAATGACCATTGCGCCTCGTGTCGGATAACGATCTTTGGACTCGCCGAAAGCGGGATGAGCAGAGTCATGAGCCTGTGAGAGAATGATTCTTCGCCGTCAGGAAGCCTGGCAACCATGACTGCCATCTTCATGACGGATGCGAGGTGCTTAGGGTTGGAGTGGTCGTCTGTTGAAAGCAATTTGAGGAGTTCGACACGCTGCTCCGGCTGGTTGTAATAGATGCGGGCAATGATCCACTCGAGAAGGAACCTGTACCGAGGCAACGGCTCGATGGCGAGAGCTTTCATAAACGCCTTTGAGTAACTCGCAATCTCCTCCTCCAAGGCTTCCTCGATGCAAGTCTCAGTAAGGAGCAACATCATCTGAACCTGGACGGTAGTCTTCCACTTGCTGACCATAGGTATCGGCATTTTTTGAGTAGCCCAAGGGTGTAGCAGAGTACTAAGGATACGTTTGGCCATAGCAAGATCCGATGCCCTTATCCTGTTCAGGAGATCAAATATGCAAGCATAACCATGCGATTCTCCGGGACCATAGTAGTAACCGTAAGTCCGGGTAGGCAAGATGGCTGTGAGCTTTTCAGCTATGGCAGCCTCGAGTAAAAATTCCAGCTTAGGCGCCGGCGGCCGGTTGGCCATACGGACGATGAAGGTCTCAAAAGGGAGGAAATCCACACATTCGGGAACGTGAAAGTAAGCACTTCTCAATGCCTTTGCGAGGGGCGATAGAACGTATATCCGGCCCTCGGTGAGCACCTGAAGCTCCAGCATGGCACGAGAAAGAAGTACTTGAGTGTCTTCTGATGCCGTGCGAAGACATATCGGGTGGAACAAAACCTCTGGTAGCTGCAGAAGAGCTGACCTTGGGTATTCCTGGGTTTCCAGTTCATCCCAAATAGCTTCCAGCGAAGCGTGCAGGTCTTCGGGGTCCACCCTTAGCTGCGTTGAAATGGCCTGGCGTACGTAATCACACGCTTTGAGAAGCCCGTTTCCTTGAAGGCAACGATACTTGCTCTCCTGTAGTTGCTTGACGAACGCTTTCAGATCTGGCATACTCTGCGGATCAGACCCAGCATTAGCGAAAAAAGAACTGCCTTCTTGGGCAGCATCTTCTTTGCTGTTTTCGGCCCGCTTGAGAGTATTCCATCGCTCTAGTAGAAGGCTGTAGCCAGGTAAGTTGGCAACGGCCTCGGGACGACCCTGCATAGTCTGCCCCAAGAGGACCGACGAAGTTGCTGTGCAGAAATCTCGGGCAACTTCTGGCAAACCAGTGCGTGTGGCCACCCTGATCAGGAGCGGGAGGTCCGCTTCTGGTAGGCGGCAAGGTTCTCCTGATGGAGAGTTTTGGAAGCCATCCAGTATGCCTTGCAAGCAATAGGCAAGGGAATATTGGAACAAGTTCTGTCCCTTTTCGTCCAGATACGAGAGTATAGTCCGCGCGTATATCTGACGAGCAGCGTCATCATAGCAGCCTTGCAGCAAGCGCCGGACAAAGCTGGAAAGATTCTCTCCGTGTTCACAGCGAACACGCTGTCCGTTACGACGCATCGAACCAGTATACAAGAAGCCTTGGGTAGCCCATGGCAAGAAGGAAGAAGCGATGAAATCCAGGAAATTGCTGGTAGCAGTATCAGGCAGTGGAATAACGCCCTGGAAGATTCGGTTTCCAACTAGTTTACGGATGCCATCCTGAACTCCTGGTCGCAGAGCAGCGCGAAGCAGGGTGATTACCCACGTAGGATGCACGTCGGATTTCCACGCGAGAGCTTGCAGATCTGGCATGCATTCCTCCGCCTGGTTGAGGTATCTCCCCAAAACAATAGTCTCAAAAAGCGTACAGTACCTGGCGTAATCCGACTCGTAACTAGCACTTTTAGAACCAGAAACGTAGGGATGGAGATCACCTTGCTGCGTTTGAGCATAACTTATGGATGCCCTCAAGATATGCAGACAGAATTTTCGTTGCTCGGAGAAGCCCTCCGTGAGACCATGTTGCAAGTACACCCAGTACTTATCTCGTGAGAGAATCTCACGCGAGGGACCGCATCCGGGGCCAAGGGCGAACCAGCGAAACCAGATGTGGAAAGCAGTAGCGGGGAATCCAAGATCCGAGGGTGCGGACACCAAGTCACGGATCCGGCCCCAAATTATCTCCTCCACGGGTACCCGGGATACTTCAAAGATATCGAAGCCTCCATCGTACTTTTCATCCAAGGTTACCTTTCCCGTTTGCAGCGAGTGAAAAGCGGCAGACAAAACATCTCGGCTGCCATGTGACAACTCCTCTGAAGCAGCTCCCAACAGAACAAGCAGTGTATTCAAAAGGCTGCCAGATATAATGCAACTCGCTTCAGACCACAGGAATAGCTTCAGAAAGGTAAGATATTTGGCCGAGGTTGCAATCCGGCCCTCCAGATCATCGACAGCTTCTATACCTGGTTTTGCCTGATACTTCCATGGCATGGTCGAAAAGGGAACAGTTATCTCACCGCCAGCTTTCAGATCTGAAGCAGTTTTGGCAAGACTGTGAGCAATCTCTTGGAAGACATGCCGCGCAATGGTTTCATTTTGCGAACACAGTTTGATTGGCTCGCGGAAGGAAGCAGAGTCGGCTTCGCATCTTTGGATGTGGCGGAAAACAAATTCCTCCAGGAGGGCGGTAGCTTTGGCCTTTTCTTCGCTCTGCGCTGGATTAGCAACATAATTCTCTAGACATGGCCAACTTGGGTGGCTGTGCTAGTGCCGACATATGTCTACTGCTCTGCAGGAACGCACGATTCGATTCTCTGTGAGCCTACCCCATGGTTCGCATGTGCATGGCCTGTTGAGAACCGCAAGGGAGCCAAGCATCACGTGAAGAGATGATTTTGGAATGCTGGCGGCAAGCTCATGCATAACACGCTGGCAATTTACAAAGGGCAAAGCTCACCTCAAGACACCGTTGGACCAGGTCGGCCGCAACAAATGCCGCGGAAAAATCACCATCCTCTTTTGAACCACTGAGGCACAAGTCTTGGACGATGTTGGCAACAGCAGCGGGCTGCTCCGCGGGGGAAATGCGGGCGAGGAAAAGATCCGCAAGACCCTTGGAAGATGAATAGGCCATTGTTTGCCGAGACAATAACGGTACAGGACAACTCAATGGGCTTTTTATGGCAGCGGCAGGGCTTATGGCGAAGCGTGAGAGCCTCGCAAGGAGCGATAAGTGTCGATTGGCTAAAATTTTGTTTTTGTGAAACGAGAGTAAAGGCTGGGTGGTGGTTGCTAGGGAACGCCAGGCACGGCGGACACGCACCACACGCACACTTTTTTTTTTTCTGCCTTTGGAACAGGCGTATCGCTGCAAGGGAGGGGTCCAGAGTCGGAGGCGTTTGGCGGTGATGAATATTCTCAGGGCGCCTGGTGCACAGGCTGCGCCCTGACAACCCGACGGACAATCGCCGGGCGCGGATCGGCGTTGCCGTCATCGCTTACCAGGCTCGCTTTGGCAAGAGGTAAATACCGGGCTGGGGCCCCGTCAGTCACAACAGCCTGCACTCTTCGCGCAAGGGCAGTCACCATGGACCCCAGGATGTACGCCCGCTCGCCCTACGACTCCTACGCCTACGGCTCCTCCGCCTCCACACCATCTATGCGCGGCGCCTACGAACCTGCGCCCGAACAACACACCATGCCTGAGGACAGCGCCAACGTCAAGGTCGTCGTACGCGTGCGGGGTTTCGTCAAGAGAGGTATCCCCACCCCAAGCATCTCCCATTCGCTGCGACTCGACTAACGCGTCTTCTAGAGCGCGAACGCCGCGCCCAATGCCTCATCCGCATGGACCCGCGCGTGCAATCGACGACCCTTCAACCGCCCGCTGACGCGTCCGACGGCGGCCCCCACAGCCACAAGTCTCGCGAAGAGAAGACGTTTACCTTCGACAAGTCCTTCTGGTCCCACAACGAGTCCGATCCGCATTATGCCCACCAGGAAGACGTGTACCGCTCCTTCGGCGAAGAGTTTCTCGACCACAACTTCGACGGCTACCACACATGCATCTTCGCATATGGCCAGACGGGTTCGGGCAAGAGTTACACCATGATGGGCACGCCCGAGCAGCCCGGCCTAATTCCACGTACTTGCGAGACGCTGTTTGAGCGCATTCAGAACGAGCCCAGCCCCAACACGACCTACAACGTGCACGTATCCTACTTCGAAGTCTATAATGAGCACGTGCGGGACCTGCTCGTCCCACGCACCAACCCACCGTATTATTTGAAGATCCGCGAGTCTATGACGGACGGTGTATACGTCCAAGGCTTGACGGATGCGCCGGTCAAGTGTTATGCGGACGTGGAGCGTCTGATGAAGATTGGTGATTTGGTGAGCGTAATTCGGCGGCATGGGCTTTCAAAACTTAGCCGTGCTGTTTCAAGAAGCTTGAACTGACCAACGTTAGAACCGGACGACAGCTTCTACCAAGATGAACGACACTTCGTCGCGTTCTCACGCAGTCTTCACGATTAATCTTAAGCAAATGCAACATTCCCTCATGACCGATGAGACCATTGAGCGCTCAGCTCGTATGCGTTTGGTCGATCTCGCTGGTTCTGAGCGTGCTAAGAGCACGGAGGCTACTGGCCAACGTCTGGTTGAGGGTGGAAAGATCAACAAAAGTTTGACGACGCTTGGCCGTGTTATTGCTGCGCTTGCTCAAAACGGCGGCAGTGGCATGTCTGGCGATGGCCGTCCGCGGAGCGGTCACGGAAAGAGGCGCGACGTTGTGCCTTACCGTGACAGCGTGCTGACATGGCTGTTGAAGGACAGTCTTGGCGGCAACAGTAAAACCGCCATGGTCGCCTGCATAGCACCAGCTGACTACGACGAAACGCTATCGACGCTGCGGTATGCGGACCAGGCTAAGCGCATCCGCACGCGCGCGACGGTCAATCAAGACTCGATGTCAGGCGCGGAGCGCGACGCACAGATTGCAGCCATGGCGGAGCAAATCCGGCAGCTGCAGACGAGCGTGAACACGGCGGCAACGAGGCGTCGGCAGGAAGAGGCGTCGGAGCTAGACGACTACCAGCGGCGCGTCGAAGTGATGCAGCGCCTGATGGAAGAGACGCGCCAGGTCAGCGAAGCGAAGATCAAAGCCCTGACGGCGGAGGTCGAGGACCTGCGGCCAGTAAACGCTGCTTTACGTGCCGAGAGCGAGACACTGCGCCGACATTTGGCGCTGGCGCTGGGCGAACTCAAAAACCCCATCGTTCTGCCACCCATGCAAGGAGATGTGGACCTTTATGGCCGCCCAGAGGATCTTCTCGAGCCAGACCTTGAGTACCCGGATTCCGATGCTTCGGGCTCCGACGCGTCTGACTCGGAACCTAGCACGCTGCATGGCGGTAACGCTACTATTTCCGACACCACTGGTGGGCTCCCTAACGCCATCGACGACGATAAGGAAAACGCCGTAAACTCCGGGGGCAAGGCGCGCGAAGTTTCAGACGCGGACGAGGATGAGATCTTGGCAGCGGAGCTGCAGGCTCAAGCTGATGACTTCCTGAAGGATCTGGGCCTCTTCCGCCGCAAGGTCAATGATGACTACACGCGCTTTGGCAGCGGTGAGGCTACGCTGGCTGAGATCGGAGTTAACTGAGTGAGTCAGATGCGTCGTGGTGGACATGGCGCGCTGATGTGATTCTCGGCCGCGGTGGTGAGTGGGCTTGATTGATAATCCTTCCGACCGATTCTGCCCGTGGGTGGGTAGGGCAAGGCGGATGCGCTGCTGATCCTGGAATGCCCCATTGAGGGATTCTGAGATTGGGTGGCTCTTGCCTGTTTGCTTTGCTTTTGTGGTTTGCTCTTTGTTTTTTTGGTTTGTTTTGATTCCCTTGGTTTTTCTCTTTTTTTGGTTCTCTTTTTATTCCCCTGCCTTTGACACGACTGAACGCTACCACGAAGCACACTACGAAAGAACGAACAAATGAATACGAACACACGACCGACCGATTCCCCTTACCTTAGCTACCATTGAAGCAGCACTGGAAACGACAACAGCTAGTTACTCTAGCTCGCTGCCTTCTTCTTCTTCTTCTTCTTCTTCTTCTTCTTCTTCTTCTTCTTCTTCTTCTTCTTTTAATCATTTCCCCATTCCTCTCTTCTACTTTTTCTCTTCTTCATTTTTCCTCTTCATTTATCTTCTTTTCTTCTAGCATCTCATCCTCGGTTTCAGTGCGTAGCCCTAACCCTATTCGGGTAAGATTAGGATTGGCAGGCCTGCTTGACGAAAGACGACGGATGAGAGATGGATGGATGGACGGATAGTTTCTTTTTCTTGGATTGCTGCGACTGAGCGGCTGAGCGTACGCGCAGGCATAGTTAGCACGTGTAGTATGGATACCCTTCCCTCGCCTGACGGGCGGGTGGGACTGCTTGGAGAGTATAGGAGTATAGCATCTTTTGTTGCCTTGTTTGGCTTGTCTTGGCTTGGTTTGAACGGGCATGCTCGTGCTGATGTGATTATGTGGTGAGTGGAGAGATGGCTGTAATTTTGGCTGTTGTGATGGACGAAGTACCTGGTAGGCAAGAAGACAAACGCGCATGAGCAACATTTCTCATTTCGCATAACCACATCTACATACGCAGCCGCATCAAACCCCAACGCATCTACCGCCTCAAAAGCCCCACCAGCCGCTCAACCTCATGCACGGCGCCCCCCTGCGCCTTCCCCTTCAACTCCAACAGCGCCTCCAAATCCTTAGCCTTGAACGCCTCCTCCGCAGCCTTAACCACCATGCCGCACTTCCCCCACATCTCAACGCGATCCAAATAGCCGACAGCAGTACACTTGGGGATAAAGAGAGCCGCGGTACGCGTATTGCCCGCGCCCAAACACTCATTGAAAAAGGGTTCCCAGCCAATGGGGCTCTTGCGGCCTTTACTCAGCTCCTCGAGCTCCGTCCAGTCGCGCTTAGCGACCAAGCCGCGCAGGCGCACCCACCAGAACGTCTTCTCCGGGATCTTGAACTCGGCCTGCAGTTTCGCGGCGCGCTTGGCGTGGCCGGCGCGCATGAGGCGGAAGAGCGTCTCGTTGAGCGCGAGGCCCACGTACCCGGGCCCCAGGTCTTTCTCGAAGGCTTCTTGCATTTTGAGCAGGCGTTGTGCTTCGTCGAGCGCTTTGACGGCGAAAGTCTGCTCTCGGCTGTCGTGCAAAAGCTTCGCGGCGGATTTGAGCTTCTCGCTGCGTGCGGCTGTTGTCGCTTGGGCGAGGGCGTCGGAGATGAGCAGCGTGGCGCCGTCGAGGCGTCGGTCGTCTTGGTAGTAGAGGTCGCGCAGGAGGTCGCGGTCGGCGTCGAGGGCGGAGGACTCGACTAGGGCTGTGGCGACGGGGCGCGTCGTTACGGTGCGGAAGAAGGACGCGAGCGTGAGGTGCTTCTTGAGGTGCAGCAGGACGTGGTAGACTAGGTCCGTGTCTCCGCTTTCGATCGCCTTGTCCAGCGCGATTGTGTCTTCTTTCATGTCGAGCAGCAGTGGCACTTGCTTCCCGGCCCGCGGCTCGTAGTTGAGTAGGTCGGTGGCGAGGCGCGCACGCCCTTCGTCGTAGGCGGAGCGTGCAATCTCTTCGAAAGACACGCCTGGCTTGCCGGCCAGCTTGGACACGATCATCCGGCAGATGCTCTCTTCGTCGTCGTTGGAGACGCGGACCTTCTGGCTCGCCCAATGCACGTATATCCTGTCCGTCGGTAGGTGAAGATAATCCGAGATCTTCAACGCCAGTTGGTACTCATGGCGGTTGATGAGACGCTCGATGAGCTTCTCGGGCGTGAGACGGAGATATTGATCGTAGGAAAGAGGAAGACCAATCTCGTAGAACCGGATCGCGTTCAGCACGCGGAGCGTCTCGCACATTTCGACGAAATCATCGCTGCTGTATAGGTCCAGCACTGATTTACCAAAGGAGGCAGCCTTCAAGAGTTGCTTTTGCCAGTGGATGCTAAACTCGTGGCCGGCAGCCTCAATGCATGCGTCTACCGCCTCGGTAAGATTCGGCCGGATGAGTTGGATCATGTCGTCCGCCTTCGGCGACTTCTTCTGCAGGTGGTCCACCGCCTCGAGGAGCACGGCAGCTGGCGATGTCGAGCCCAATCGGAAAGTTTCCTCGGTGACATCTGGTTGCGTCAGCTATTGTATGACAACATGATACGGAGAAACATACTAGGGACCCTCTGCAGATACTCGCAGACATCGTTCGTAAGCACGCGGAGACCATCAACATCGGGGATGAGGTGCACCCAGCTATCGTAGAAAAACCTGTAACATGTTAGTTAGTCCGGCAAGCGATGATCACAAATTTCAAGAATGTCGCCTACTTGGACGCAGCGCCATTGGGCCCGACGACATGAATCTCGTCTTCCCAGCCCAGCACAACGGCACTGTTACCGCACCATTGCATGTCCTTGGGCACAGTCTTGGCTCTGGAGTCATATTCACTGAGCTTGTTCTGGAAGTCACTGCTGACCACCCAGACCTTGCTATCTTCCGTGAAGAGGGCAACGCATTTGCCATTGGGCGAGACACTGGTGTGCCTAAAGGGGCCTTTCTGCAGCTGCCGATCCTCGCAGTCTGTGGCATCTACAAGATATATGGTCTGGCCAATGGCTAGCAGGACCTCAACGGAGCGAGAAAGAGTCTCGGTAGGAGGAATCAATGCCCACGACTCGACGGGCTCTTCCGGAGGAATAGCAAGAAGCTTTGGGCGCGGCTCATCATAGCGGGACACGGACACGAGGTGATTGTTGTTGAGCAGGGCGACGAATCCCGACGACCAGAAACGACAGGCCTTGACGCCGACGTCTTCGGCGCCGTGGCCGAGGGTGAAGGGGACAAAGTCGCCCTGCAGGTCGTAGTAACAGCGCACGGTGCCGTCATCAGTCACAACAAGCAGCTTTTCCTCGAGCGACCAGCCCAGGCCCTTGATGGCACCCTTGTCCCAGTTGATGCGGCGGATGAGCTTGCCGGAGCAGGAGTAGATGTCTATGCTGGACTTGGCGGCGGTGGCGCCGCGGTAGGTGTGCAGTTTGTCTGCATCGCGGTAGATGGCTTTGGGGGGCGGGACAGGTCAGCGGGTGCTGGGATGCGCGTGTGGGGAGTGCGCGTACCTACAGCACCGCTATATGGAGCGCCGACGACGAGGTAGTTTTCTAGTTCGAGGTCCTGGTCGAAGACGTCGGTGTAGAGCTGGACCTTGCGATAGAAGCGGTCGCCGACCCTTTCCCAGTCAGCAGTGGGCTTGGGCATGGTGCGGGCAGAAGGTGCGTGGCATTGCTGGTGTTGGCGGCAGTGTGGATAGAGTTGGCGCGGGTGGCAGGCGGTGAGGGCGGCGCGACGATCAGCGTAAGCGGGACCCACCCGCCAACGACCGGGCTTAACCGAGATGCATCTATAATTCTCAGGCCCGCATCATTCTCTCTCATTCTTTCACCATGCTGAGCTCGGGGTGGCCACAGTCAGGCATCAGCCTCGACACGAGGCTGCAAACGTCTCCAGTCACCGATCTACACCGCTAGCCTGCCGTGTCTGCGGTGCACGGGTCCGGTGACGATTATAAATCTACAGTGCATCTGAGCATCGTCCAATGACGTCGCTACCCGAAAGCCAATCAGCACGCCCTCTATCTCGTCCCGTCTTTCGGACTTTTGCTAATTGCCATTGCCTTAATCCCGATGGCTCCCCTCCCATTGCTGTCGTTTCCCGGTGCCCCATACTTTTCCTGTTGCTGTGGAGCCTATTATTTTTCTCGTTATCTCCGAAACATAAATATCCATCTCTCCGTCCGCATTTGCTGCCTCACTGCTTCCGTCAACTGTCTCTGTCTTTGTTTTCTGCCGTTTGCCCTCTGCTTCCCTTCCTTTCGCAAACATGCAATGGGCGGCAAGCCTCCCAGAAGATAGGGTGCGCGAGGGCCATGCCCCCAGCAACCCTCTGCACAACAATGCTTTGAACAGAGGCGAAGAGCGCCAAGCCAACTACGCCCCAGCAGGCCATGCCCTCACCTCTGTACCCAGCCCCGATGGTAGCGATCACGACAATCTTGAGGGCACCTGGGGAGAGCGTGATGCTGGTATCCATAGCCCGCAAGAAGCCATGGAAGATTACGAGACATTACGTCACAACCTGTCTGCTCTTTCAAGACCTAAATCTGCAACTCGTTCCCGACCACACCCACATCATTCTACTTCTGGTGGCTCTGCGCTTCATACGCCAAGTGACCGGATTGCTCGCCGGGAAGAGGCTCAGAACTCCGAGCATGCGCGCTCGGAAATCGATCTCGTAGAAGAGACGGATTTGGAGAAAAAAGAGACGGATGAGATAGCCAAGAATGATAGCTCAGATGCCGACGAGTTTGAGCTAGAGGAGTTTATGCGCGCGGGGCATTTTGAGAAGCGAACTGATGGACGTTCGGCTAAGAGGGTTGGCGTTGTTTGGAAAAACTTGACAGTCAAGGTATGCTACCTCAAGCTATTCAGCCCATCTGGTCATGGGTCTTTGATTTATATTTATTGATACATGTCAAAGGGTACTGGATCTACCGCGACGTTTGTGAGGACGTTACCAGATGCAATTCTCGGCACTTTTGGACCTGACCTCTACCACATCATCACTCGCTTCATCCCTGCCTTAAGAATGCAAAGGCATGCCAAAACTCGCAACCTGGTCAACGACTTTACTGGCGTGGTAAGAGATGGCGAGATGATGCTTGTCCTGGGACGACCTGGATCCGGATGCTCGACCTTCCTGAAAGCAATAGCCAACGACCGAGACAGTTATGCTGGCGTCGACGGCGACGTCAGTTATGGAGGCATTCCAGCGGCAAAGCAAAAGAAGCAGTTCCGTGGTGAAGTGAACTACAACCCTGAACACGACACGCACTTTGCTTCGTTGACGGTATGGCAAACACTCCGGTTCTCCCTTATGAACAAGACGAAGAAGCGCGAAAAGGGAGAAATTCCAATCATCGTGGAAGCCCTCTTAAAGATGTTCGGCATCACGCACACCAAGCACACACTTGTAGGTGACGAATACGTGCGCGGTGTCTCTGGAGGAGAAAGGAAGCGTGTGTCGATTGCGGAAACGCTTGCTGGCAAGTCAACCGTCATTTGTTGGGACAACTCGACCCGTGGTTTGGACTCTTCTACAGCTTTGGACTACGCCAAGTCGCTGCGCATCATGACGGACGTCAGTGACAGGACAACCTTCGTCACCCTGTACCAAGCCGGTGAGCAGATCTACGAACTTATGGACAAAGTCATGGTTATCTACTCGGGTAGATGCATCTACAATGGACCCGGGAAGTACGCTAAGCAATACTTTATCGACCTTGGATACTTTTGCCCTGAACGGCAGACGACACCGGATTTCCTAACAGCAATCACCGACCCTACCGAACGCCGCTTCCGAGAAGGATTTGAACACCGCGCTCCGAAGACAGCGGAGGACCTAGAGAAAGTCTACAGGTCATCAGAGGTCTATCAAGGCGTCCTACGAGATATCCAAGACTACGAGAGACATCTGGAGCAGAGCAGTTACGCAGACGCGAAGGAGTTTGAGCAGACGACGAAAGAACAGAAGAGCAAGACTGTGAGAGAGAAATCGTCGTACACGGTCAGCTTCATAAGGCAGGTGTGGGCCTGTACACTCAGAGAGTTCTGGCTCATCTTCGGAGATCGGCAAACGCTGATTACGAAGTTCTTCATTATTGTCAGCAACGGCTTGATCGTGGGCTCGCTTTTCTATGGGCAGCCTCTGAACTCGGATGGTGCTTTCACCAGGGGTGGTTCCCTCTTCTTTTCAATCCTCTTCCTGGGATGGCTTCAACTTACCGAGCTGATGAAGGCTGTGAGCGGAAGAGCTGTAGTCGCTCGACACAAGGACTACGCTTTCTACCGCCCATCTGCCGTGAGTGTTGCTCGTGTCATCACGGACTTTCCAATGCTGCTCAGTCAAGTCGTCGTGTTCGTGGTCATCATGTACTTCATGACGAACCTGGACGTCGACGTTTCCAAGTTCTTCATATATCTTCTGTTCGTCTACACAAACACCATGTGCATCACGGCCATGTACCGGATGTTCGCTTCACTGTCTCCAACCATCGATGATGCCGTACGGTTCAGCGGTCTTGCCCTGAACCTGCTCATTATCTACACCGGTTATGTGATCCCGAAGCCGCAGCTTCTTAGCGACTACATCTGGTTTGGCTGGATTTACTACATCAATCCGATTTCGTATGCTTTCGAGGCTGTGCTCTCGAATGAATTCAGCGGGCGTACGATGGAATGTGCTAGTTCCAGTCTTGTTCCACAGGGCCCCGGAGCTGATCCAAATTACCAAGGATGTGTTCTTTCTGGTGCAGCTGTGAACTCCAAGACCATCTCCGGCTCAGACTACATCGGCACTACGTACACCTACAGTCGCTCGCATCTGTGGAGGAACTGGGGTGTCATCATCGCATACACTGTGTTGTATCTGCTAGTCACAGTTGCCGCAACTGAGTTGTTCTCTTTTACTGGAGGCGGTGGAGGTGCGCTGGTGTTCAAGCGTAGCAAGAAGGCCAAGCAAGCCATGAAGGAGGGAGACAAGCCCGATGACGAGGAAAATGCAGCTGTGGCTGTGCCAGAATCCTCACACGGCTCCGACGGATTGGACATGGCGAAGACAAAGTCCAGAGCTGATGAGGCCCTCGAGTCGATCTCCAACAGCGACAGCATCTTCACCTGGAAGGATGTCACTTACACTGTGCCCTACTTGGGTGGTGAGAAGCGGATTCTGAACAACGTCAGTGGCTTCGCAAAGCCAGGAGTCATGGTGGCGCTGATGGGAGCCAGTGGAGCGGGCAAGACAACTTTGTTGAACTGTCTCGCTCAACGCCAGACAGTCGGTGTTGTGACTGGCGATATGTTCGTCGATGGCAGACCCCTTGGCCTGGATTTCCAACGTGGTACCGGCTTTTGTGAGCAAATGGACTTGCATGACGGAACTGCAACCATCCGCGAGGCCCTGGAGTTCTCTGCGATACTCCGCCAGGACAAGGACACTCCGCGCCAGGAGAAGATCAGCTATGTTGATAAGATCATCGATCTCCTTGAGCTCGAAGATTTACAGGATGCTATCGTTTCCAGCCTCGGAGTTGAACAAAGGAAGCGGCTTACCATTGGTGTTGAGCTCGCTGCGAAACCTTCTTTGCTCCTGTTCCTCGACGAGCCAACGTCTGGCCTCGACTCGAACTCTGCATACTCCATTGTCCGCTTCCTGAAGAAGCTGTCTCAGGCTGGACAGGCTATTGTCTGCACCATTCACCAGCCAAGCTCTATCCTCATTCAGCAGTTTGACATGGTTCTCGCCCTCAACCCCGGTGGAAACACCTTCTACTTTGGCCCCATCGGAGACAATGGCAAGGACGTGATCAAGTACTTCGCCGACCGCGGAGTCCAATGTCCGCCAAAGAAGAACGTTGCGGAGTTCATTCTTGAGACAGCGGCCAAGGGCGGACGTAAATCGAATGGAGCGAAGATTGACTGGAACCAGGAATGGCGAGACTCGGAGCAGAACAATGCCATCCTTGAGGAAATTGACCGCATCAATACCGAACGCAAAGAGGACAGACAACCGCCCGCGAAGGGTGAGGCGCGAGAATTTGCTGCTCCCGTGTGGCTCCAAACCACGACCTTGACCAAGCGCACCTTCATTCAGTACTGGCGCGATCCATCCTACCTGTACGGCAAGCTCTTCGTATCGGTCATCATCGGAATCTTCAACGGCTTCACCTTCTATAAACTGGGCAATTCGACGCAGGACCTCCAAGACCGCATGTTCACGGCCTTCATGGTGCTTGTGTTCCCGCCCACGATCGTCAACGCCGTCGTGCCCAAGTTCTACCAGAACATGGCATTGTGGCAGGCGCGCGAGATGCCGTCCAGGATCTATGGCTGGTTCGCTTTTACGACGGCGCAGGTGGTGGCGGAGATTCCGCCTGCAATTGTTGGTGCCGTCGTCTACTGGCTGCTATGGTACTACCCTACTGGGCTACCGACAGACACGCCCACGGCGGGTTACGTCTTCCTCATGACGATGCTGTTCTTCCTCTTCCAAGCCAGCTGGGGCCAGTGGATCTGCGCGTTCGCGCCCAGCTTTACCGTCATCTCCAACGTAAGTGTCCACCCGTCACGCAAACCGCAACACAATCAACGAGACAACAAACTAACGCGCACCAGGTCCTCCCCTTCTTCTTCGTCATGTTCTCCCTCTTCAACGGCGTCGTGCGTCCCTACGAACAACTCCCCGTCTTCTGGAAATATTGGATGTGCGTCTCCCTCCCTCCTCTCCCCTAAGCCCACACTAACCCGCAGGCACCCAGGTACTACGTGAACCCGTCAACCTACTGGATCGGGGGCGTGCTAGCCGCTACGCTGCGCAACCAACCTGTGCACTGCGCGCCAGCCGAGACAGCGCAATTCGACGCGCCACCAGGGCAAACATGCGGATCGTACGCCGGCGCCTTCGCCAGCGCGTCCACGGGCGCGCTGCTCAACCCCGAGGCCACAGAAGGCTGCATGTTCTGCCCCTACTCCAGCGGCGACGACTACCTCGCCACGCTGAACATCAGCGCCGACGACATGTGGCGCGACTTTGGCATTTTCCTTGCGTTCTGCATCTCTAATTGGGCATTGGTGTATTTTTTCGTTTGGTCGGTGAGGGTGAGGGGCTGGGGGTTTGGCTTTGCTGCTGTTTTTGGTGCGGTGGCGAAGGTGGGGAAGAGGCTTGTGAGGGGCGGGAAAGGGGGGAAGAGTGAGGGTGAGGGGAAGGCGGAGGAGTAGTGTCTGTGTGTGTAAGAGTTTGCGTTTGTGGGGAGAAGTTGGATGGGTAGATGGCGTTTTCTGGACGGTTGGGAATACCTTGGGATGGGGAGATAGAGGATAATTTGCTTAGAGAAGGGTGGATAGACGAGAGAGAAGACGGGCGCGGAGCGTACGAGTTACGGTGTTTACGGCCTGCTTGGGCTTACGCCTCTGCCCGCCTGCTGGAACAGATAACATAACTAATGGAGTGCATGACGTACTTGGATTCACGCATCCATTCATTCGCTCGTTCATGTGTGTACCACGCGTCTGGTGCCGCTGTTCTCACCGTGCATACTATCTTCAGTGGCGGGCTAAATTAAAGTCCTCATTAGCAGGCTATAAAGTATAAGGTGTAAGGTGCAAGGTGCAAGACATCGAGGCAGGTAGGCAGCCAGCCTAGTTCGCTAGCTTGCTATTATTTCGTAAGGGCAGTTACGACTTAAGAGGGGGTTGGTGTGATATATAGGACGGGTGTCATATTTATATATCATAGCTACATAACAGGAGGTGCCAGGCTGCTGCTGACGTAGACAAGAGGAGGTACCTACCTACCTACCTACCTACCTACCCATACTAACAACAACAGTAGCGCACAACATCAGCACCCAAACCAACCGCTAAGCACGAGCCTCAGCTTCATATCTACTACGTATGCAAAACTTGTAAACCTCACACACACATATCGACGACACACAGCACACAGGCAGAAACACCATATCACTCAAGCAAGAGGGACCGCGTCGCATCGCGTGTGACTTCATCAGATTCGGTTTTTCGCTACATGGCTACCGTGCTCGAGAAGCGGGTTGCGGCTTGCAGCACAGGAAGAAGAAGAAGAAGTAGAAGAGAAGAACGTAGAAGAAACGTAGTAACAAGAAGCCTGCTCCCACCACCACCACCACCACCACCGCTATCACTGCTACTAAGCAGCAACAGTAGCCGCAGCCACTGCAGCAGCAGGAGCAAGTAACCCCAAGCCCATCCCCTCAAAAACAAACCATACGCTCTCCAGAAAAAGAACAAGGAGCAAGACGCTTAACCCTGGAAAGCGCGGGCAGTCTTGTTGCTCGAGCCGGAGGAGCTGGAAGAAGAGGCGTCGGCGCTCTCCCAAAGCGCGGGGCCCGGGATCGGGTAAGACTCGACATCAGCATAGATGTTGAAGACGAGGCCCTTGTCAGCCGGCTTGTAGAGGGCGGTGCCCTTGACGCCGTTGTCCAGGGTCTTGGCGCCAGAGCCAGAGACCTTGACGTTGAAGCACTGGGGGTAGTTCTGGGCGCCGTTCTCCTCGCCCGCGGCGTGCAGGCCGATGATCTCGTGGCGCATGACGTAGTTGCCGGCCTTGAGGGCGGAGGGGATCGTCACCGTGGTGGAGTTGTTTTCGATCAGCTTGTCGGTGGCCCAGACCTGGGCGTCGACGTCGCCGGGAGTGATCAGGCCCTGGGCATCGACCTTGGTGAAGGACAGGTCGCCGACCTTCGCGGTCGTGCAGTCGCCCGTAGCATCAGGGCCACCGCAGGGGGCGAGGTACGTGATGATGGGGCCGTGGTGGGAAGTGGGCCAGCCGGAGGTCTGGCCGGGAGAGCCCCAGACGACGGAGAGCTTGGAGCCGGCGGCGGCGTCGAGGTAGATGGGCGCGGCTTCGGCGTCCTCGTGGCACACAATGTCGGCCTTGGCGTACGACTCGCCGGTGATGGGGCCGTGGCCGTAGCCGCCCGCCTTCCAGGCTGCCACCTTGGGCACCGGGTTGTAGTACTGGTAGTTGGTGTCCCAGCCGTTGTAGACCTTGCCCTCGCCGTTGGTGATCTGGGTGACGACACCGTGGGCAGAGACGGCCGAGGCGCCCGCAAGGGCAATGGCGAGAGTCTTGAAAGCCATAGTAAAGGTGTAGGTAAAAAAGGGTTTAGAAAGGCGGTAGAGATAGAGGTAGAGGTGTAGTAGTAAAGAAGCGACCGGCGCCGAGCAGATGAAGAGATAGATATAGAGGTGAAGAAAACGAACGATGAAGAAGAAGCTGCTGGATGAAGACGAAAAAAGAAAAACATCACCAGACCGACGGCCATGGTGATATATACCACCCACCACCCGAAGCACGCATAACAATCGGATCTCGCTACGCCGTTTCCAAACACCCGCCCACCAACGTGATTAACGGGCCGTCGGTGGAGCCGCAACCGCTCACTATAATAGAAACGGGATCGGCGGCACGGCCGGATTCTCCATCAATGGCGTCGCTGCGCACCGGCGCTTGCGGGCAGGCGATATTGCGTGGAGGAGCCCAGACGTCGCGCTGTGTGTGTGTGTGTGTGTGTGTGTGAGTGAGTGTTTGATAGCCCCCCCGTCAGGCCCGTAGATGAAACGGCTTGGCGGTCCGAGGCCCGTGTCACCGGGTTTCCAGACAAACGACGAGGCTACTGCGTGCCGCTCTGCCGCGCCTTTGTCCTTGCCGCGTGCCGCTGCCGCCGTGTGCCTGTCGTGCGGCTGCGTCTTTTCGCTTCTTGTCTTGTCTTTCCAGTCTTGGTGGTCGGCGTGCGGCTCATCGCGGCTCCTCCAGTGCCCCTTACCCCTCCCTTCCGCGCCGAGCCTCCGACGACTCCAACGCTTCCATCCCTGCGCTTACTCTGCACGTCGCTACCTATATGCCTCGCTGGCCGGCGACCGGCGCCAAGGGGGCATTGGGGGCGGCGAAAAGAACGCACGCAGCCAGCAAACACACAGAGGGCAAGCAGAAACGGGCTGCCATTGCCGCCACTGCTACCGCGCAGGCAGCGAGCGGTGCGTGCAGCACGTGCAGCGCGAGCCGACACGGGAGATGCATAAGCAGGTATCCCAGCACGGCCGGAAACGGAAATGACCTTGGGGGGTTAGGACGAAATCGCCACTGTTTGTTTCGTTTCTACGAGAGCTGGGTGCTCGAGCTGTCTTGTGCTGTGCTGTGCTGTGGGTCTTGTCGGCTTGTCTGCTTGCGACAGCGGCCCGTGATGGGGTGGGATGGAAGCTTGGTGAGTGATGCTGTAGCTCCGCAGCGGTGGGAACATGGGAATATGGGAACATGGGCGTTCGAACGGCTTCTAGACTCTGGGTGGTGGCAGATTCTCACATGAGGAGATGGACGGAAGGATGGATTCGAAGGCGATGCGGTCTGCAGAGCTGCGTGTTCAGCACCACCAAACAACAACAACAACGCATCACCCCTCCCGTCGGAGCAACACTCCTGTCGGAGCAACACTCCTCAAGCAGCAACGACCGCGGCCGTCTGCCTCCACCGCTCCCGCAACCCCGCCCCACCAGCCACCATGCCCAGGAAGCCCACCCACGCCTCGCTCACCACGCCCTCCTCCACGCTCCAGTGCACCGTCAACGGCGCGTACGCCAGGTTGCTGACCAGCTGGCGCCACCACGCCGCCGTCTCGACCTCTCTGCGCAGCCGGGCAGCCTGCACCGCGTCGGCGTCGTTGCCCTCACCCTGTCCGCTTTGCATGCCCTTCTTCTCCCCCTCCTTCTCTCCCTCCTTCTCTCCCTCCCCCTCCCGCTCCCTCTCCCGCTCCACCACAACCTCCCGCCGCCACTCCCACCCCAGCCGCACAAACTCCAGCGCCACATGCGCAGCCCAAAACCGTGAACTCCAGACCCACCAGCTAGCTTGCCTCTTGGCACCCCTCTCGCCGCTCCAGCCCTCACTGTTCAAGACGCCCTTACTCGCCAAATAGGCCCCGTTCTCCAGCACCTGGTACGCGGTATTCACCAGCACCTGCGCCCACGTAACAGCTTTAACAACGCCATCCCTCGGCGGCTGCACCCACGTCCCCCGCGCCCACACATACATGTCCAGCATTCCCCAGAGCCTTACAAAGACGCGGAAATCCGACACCAGGCCCGCGAACTTCTCGAGCGCCTCAGCCGCGCGCCCAAGCCGGCGCATGCTGGCGGGCTGCGCGAGCGTCGCCACCAGCGTCTCCCCTGGCAGCAGCGCGTCGCTCGCTTTCGCCGCCATGCCCAGCGCGAGCTTGTACAGGCGTGTTGTCAGCCGTGCCCGCAGCCGCGCGTGCACGAGCGTGAGCGTGTACGACAGCGTGCAGAGCGTGCTGTCGATGCCGGCGGGCGTGGCGAGCAGCGCTGATGCTCGCAGCAGCGTCGTGTCGGTGCGGCGGAGCGTGTGCGTGAGGAGGGCGCGTAGGCGCTGCGTTTGCGTTTGCGTGTGTGGTTGAGGGGTGGGCGATACGGCTTTGTCTGCTGCGGCGGCGGCGGGCGGCGCGGCCTTGTCTGCGCTGGAGGCTTCTTCGGCGCTGGTCATGTTGACGATGGCTGCGGTGGGTTGGTATGGAGGTAGGTAGGTCGAGGCCGAGTGTTGTAGGTAGGTCGAGGCCGAGTACCGTAGCCAGGTACGTCAAGGACGCGCAAGACGAGCTTCCAAGCAGACAGACAAACAAACAAACGAACGAACGGACAAATAGCTAAGTAGCAGGGTATGGTATAGCGAGGTCTAAACAAGCAGCAACAAGGACGAAACCAGGTATGTAGAGAGCAAGAAAGAAGACAAGAGACACGGTTGAGCTTCCAAGGCCATGCATGACCCGCATGTGCCTGCTTGCGCGCGCCCGAACCCGACGAGCCGAGGTTGCGCTGCGATAGCGGAATCGCGCGCCATCTAATCTGATCCGACCTCGGGCCGGGGATCGGGGGGTCGATGTTTTGTTCCATTCCATTGGTTTGCTTTGTTCATGTGTTGAAGACGCGTGGAGTGCTGTGGTGGTGTTTTACGCCTGTTTGTATGTGTTTGTATCTGTCTGTCTCCGTATCTCTCTCTACAACCAATTTCTGCTCATCTGTCTTTGGCAGTCTGTCCGGCATGTCTCATATCTCAAGCTTCCCAACCCATTCCCCTGCACCACAGCACAACACACCTACGCACCCCCCGCCTGCTTCTCCACAATATCGCGGTTCAGATTAATCGCCTCGAGGATCTTAGCCGCGCCCCTCTCGATCAACTTGGCCGCCACCTCGCGCCCAAACTCGTCGGCCTGCTCGCGCGTCACAATCGTGCGCGTCAGCTCCACCTCAGCCGCGTCCTTCCCGTCCAGACTCACAACCACGGCGCGCATAGTCAGCTGGTTCGACTCCTGCGGCGCGGCCGCGCCCCCGACTGGGTTGCCCGCCTGGTCGTACTCGGCGGCGGGCTGGACGCCCACGGTCGAGGTAGCAGCAGCAGCAGGGGCCCACTCCGTCTCGACGCCAATGGGGACGGAGCAGCCGCCCTCGAGCGTGCGCATAAGGCTGCGCTCGGCGAGGGTGGCGCGGGCGGTGCGCTCACAGCCGACGCGCGAGAGCAGCGCCTTGGTGTTCGCGTCGTCGTCGCGCGTCTCGATGGCCAGCGCGCCCTGCCCCACCGCGTGCAGCATGCCGCCCTCCTTCTTGCTGAGCAGCGCGGTGATGCGCCCACCCAGCCCGAGGCGCTTCAGCCCCGCCGCCGCCAGGATCAGCGCGCTGTACTGCGTCTCGTTCGGGTCGGTGCTGTCGAGCTTCGCGAGCCGCGTGCCGACGTTGCCGCGCACGTCGGCGAACTTCAGGTGCGGGTACAGGCGCTTGAGCTGCGCGGAGCGGCGCACGGAGGAGGTGCCGATGACGGAGTCGGGCGGCAGCGTTGCGAGGGTTGGGGGGTTGGGCGATGCGGCGAGGGAGGCCTTGAGCACGAAGGCGTCGCGGGGGTCTTCGCGGGGGAGGATGGCGGCGATGCTGAGGTTCGGGGGGAGCTGGGTTGGCATGTCTGGGGGACACCCTTCGTTAGCCACTATTTCAATTCACCACCTCACTACCAGCGCACCGCCATCACCATGACGCTAAACTCACCCTTCAAACAATGCACAATGAGATCCAGCTTCCGCTCCACCAACCACGCCTCCAGCTCATGCGTCCACAGACTCTTCGCCCCAAAATCATGCAGCGGCGTGACCTGGTTCTTGTCGCCCATGGTCGCCATGGCATGGATCTCGTACTTGCGCTCCGGCCACGCCTCCTCCAGCGCCGCCTTCACCAGGTCCGCCTGCACGCGCGCCAGCAGACTGCGCCGCGTGCCAATGTTCACGACGGCCTGCGTCGAGGGCGCCGCCGCGGGGGCGGTCGAGGTTGCCATTTCCGTGTCTTCGGTTGCCATTGTTGCGGTTGCGAGTGAGGGAGTGTGGTGCGTGGGTGTGCGTGTGCGTCGTTGCAGGAGCTGCGCTGGAGAGGATTTGCTTGCGCAAGCGGGGCGTCGGGTGGTGGTCGAGCGGCCGAGGCTGTGGGCGGTGGCGGCGCACATCCGCCCGCCGCCCCCGGTGGAGGAATCGGGACGCCGCCCGCCAGGCCGCGGCCGACTGCGGAGCACGAAATATCTACAATCACTGCATGTTTAGATTAGGGTATGATGAGAAAGTATTCATTTCATTCATTCGTTTAATTTATTCCACTATTCAGCAGAAAAAGGCAGCCGCATATCAGCAAGCCCGTCAGCTATGGACAGAAGAAAGTAAAAGAGCAACAAGCAACTACACCTTCTCGTCCTAGCTCAACACCAAATGAAGTACTGCAAGTCCATCGAATAGTCTTTCGCCGAAGCCGTCTTCCTTCGTCTCCTTCTTAGTCTTTAGCAAGTAAGCCTTCTCGGTGTGTCGTAGTCTTCAATCTTAGCAAGTAAACTCTTTTGTCTTTGTGTCGTCTCTTCACTCCAGCAGATGCCATTCCTTCAAGCCTGAGCAATGATGTCTGGGATGTGAGTCTCTGCGGCTTCCTCGGTCAGGGAGATGCCACCGTCGCTCTCCGCATCCATGTCGTCGTCCATGTGGGAGCTCTGAGCACGCATCAAACCAAGGTCACCGTCCTGCGCGGCATCCTGGGGGACATGGATGCCATTCGGAGTGGCATTACGAGGAACATGGATACCCTTCAGCATGGCGTCCTGGAGACCATGGATACCATTCCGTGCAGCGCTTCGAGAACCATGAACTCCCGTCTGCGGAGCACCCTTGGGGCCGAAGATGCCCTTCTCAGGCCAGACGAGGAAGTCACCCTCAGCAGAGGGCTTACGAGCCGGCTTCAGCAGTTCCTTGACGGCCATCTTGACGTTCGCGCGGATGCCGGGCGTGTTGTCGCGGATGCTGCCCCAGTCAGCCTCGAGGAGGTCGTCGTCGCTAGACGGTTCGACTCTGTAGAAGGCGCCAGTCAGGTCGGCTTGGCGCTCAACCTGCTCTCTAGCCGTGGCAGTGGTAACCCAGGTGTCGCTGGAGTTAGACGAGTCGCTCGAGCTCGACGTTTCCAATGTCTGCATCGTGCTGGATCTTTGGAGCGGCACCGGCCTCATGCCGATGGTGCGCAGGGTGTTCGCGTTGGAGATGGGCGTGTTAGCAAAGTCGCTGAGTTGTAAAGGTTCCGCCAAATCAATGGCATCGTCGATCAAGGCAGTGGCACGAGCCTGTGATACGTTCAGTAGACATCTAATCGAGACAAGGGAAGCTTGACTTACTCTGAAGTGAGCTTTGCAGTGGTGACAGAAGGTGGACTTGCAAGGCGGATACATGATAGCCTTGAGGCGATCATCGCGGGCCCGGTCCTCATTGGCGCTGTCTTCGTTGGGGTGGACTTCATTGGGACGACCTCCGTAGGCTACATCCTGGACCCCCGCCTCTTCATCCTGAGGTTTGGCTTGAGCCCGACCACTGACTAACAAGCCGAACAAGTTAGCAGCTGTCCTCAGCCTAGCAATGACCATTGTGAAAACCGTACTTAGCGTGAACTTGGGTTTCTTATCAGCCTTGTCATCAACGCACTGATTACCGGGATGGAGCTCCCTGATTTTGTCGCGCAGGTTCTGCTTCTGAAGCTTGAGGAGTTCAATCTGGCTGGGAGTGTAGTCTCCGTTCTTGGCCTGCTCGACGACGGACTTGCTGTGACCGAGCTTCTCGAGCTGAATGTGAGGAGGGTCGTCGTCGTTTAGCTCCCATATGTCGTTGTGCTGCGCGATGCCCTTCCATGGGTCGCCGCCAAACTCCTTGTCTTGCGTGCAGATGTAGACCCAGCCGCAATCTGGCACGCGTCCGCATTGCTGACAAGCAACATTGTAGGCGCGTGCCATGGTGGTGTGAGTACAAGTGCGGGCGAACATAGCGGAGCGACGCTTAGTGTGGGCGACCATTTTTGCACAGTGCGAAGCGATCAGTTGGGGGGTTGGAGCTGGCGAGAGTGAGATGTATTCTTATAGAAGGCGTGAAGTTGTGCCGGCGCCACTTGTGTTAAATACGCACCTTTTTGGTCTGTGAAGGGGATTGCCCTTTCAGTGTGAGCATCGTCTGCGGCAGCTCTCCACGCGTTGAGGTTGAAATGGGTTAACGACTGGCAAAAGGCGAGCGACTTGGCTTTTGACCGGGATGAGCCAAGGACAGAGACGGCAGACAAAAGACAGAGGGCGTGTGTGGTGAATGTGAGGTTCCTTCCTCATCGGGAGTGGACGCATTAACCACCACAACAAAGCCTTTCTCTGCTGAGACACGATGCATTGTGTTTTTGATAGGTCGTGAGTCGTCGCATTCTTATACATGACACGTTCCGTCTTGTCTCCCGACATTCCAATCCCTCGTGGCCGCCGCAGCAAGGAGCGTCTGCCATGGCCGTGGGGTCGTAGTACTTAGCTTCTGGGTCCTGCAGTGAATATAAGTCCACGCCATCCGCAGCCTGGGTTCAGTTCCAATTGAGTAGTGTACGAAATGCGCTTACAGGGCTGTTAAGTCGCAACACCGACTCTTATCAATGGTGTGAAGCAGCCACCATATTAACGTATACCTACCGCATACCTCGTAGACCCATTCAACGCGAGCCCCACGCCACTATCACAATCCACAAGCTCTTCTCAATCGCGCCTCGCCGCGCCCCCTCCCGACAAGGCAAATTCGACAGCAGCGTGCGGCGTCCTGGACGGCGGACAAAAGCCGCGACGTCGTCGGCGACTCCCACCCCCGCCCCAGCTTTTCGGCAACCGGCCTTCTCCGCAACTCAGCAGCCGCCGAGGCCGGTGGCTGAACACAACAAACACCAGCCCATCACTCATACGAGAGCTCCGAGTCCGCAACTCTTTCGCCCGATCAATTCCACCGAGGCGCTCAAGGGCCTCCTCCCCCAAACCAACCCCACGCTGCGCAGCCGTCCGTTAACGTCGTCGTTGTCCGTTATCGCCGTCGCCACGCCACCAGCAATCGCGGCAGCAGCAGCACCACCACCATGTCGGTCAAGTTTGAGAAGGAGACGATCCGGAGCGTCGGCGGGGCCGTCGCGCCCGGCGGCAAGCAGCACGAGGGCCTCGTCCACGAGGTCGGCGAGGCCTTGACCCGCGGCGGCGGCGCCAATGGCTACCTGGCAGTGAGTATCATATCCGGGGGGCGGACTTGAGAGTCGCGCAAAGACAAGGGCGCGAAAGCTGAGGGCTGCGGCAGGCGTACATGAAGCAGCTGCAATCGAACCCGCTGCGCACCAAGATGCTCACGTCGGGCACGCTGTCCGGGCTGCAGGAATTCCTGGCCTCGTGGATCGCGCACGACAGGAGCAAGAGCGGGCATTACTTCACGTCGCGCGTGCCCAAGATGGCGCTGTACGGCGCGTTTATCAGCGCGCCGCTCGGCCACTTCCTCATCCACATCCTGCAGAAGATCTTTGCCGGGCGCACCAGCCTCAAGGCCAAGATTCTGCAGATTCTCTTCAGCAACCTGGTCGTAAGTTGATTTGTTTGCCTGGCTTGGTCCGAGTTCGCCCGCGCTGATCGCAGCACCACGCTTTTCCCCCCGCAGATCTCGCCCATCCAGAACACCATCTACCTAACGTCGATGGCCATCATTGCGGGCGCGCGCACCTTCCACCAGGTCCGCGCCACCGTCAGGGCCGGCTTCATGCCCGTCATGAAGGTCAGCTGGCTGACATCGCCCGTCTCGCTGGCGTTTGCGCAAAAGTTCCTCCCCCAGGAGACGTGGGTCCCCTTCTTCAACATCATCGCCTTCGTCATCGGCACCTACATCAACGCCCACACCAAGAAGAAGCGCCTCGCCGCCCTGCGGAGGAAGCACTACGGCGACGGCCGCAGCCAGAGTGGCCGCGACGACTACGACAGGCGCGGCTACTAGGCCGGCCCATCGCTTCGGCGGTAGCGGAAGCGGAGGCGGAGGCGGATGCGGTAGGGGCGGTGGTGATGGTGATGATGATGGTGATGGTGGGGCGCGCGTGCGCATGTGCGCGCGTTATACGTGCCTGCGCTTGCTGTGCGCGCCCGTCTTGTGTCAGGCCGAGGCGTCCGCGTCCGCGCCACGACAACATACCTACGTGCGCTTCTTCACGGCCGGAGCGGCGCGCAAACTGCAGCGAAGACTCTCCGCCGCATGCGCCCGTCACGACTTTCTTTTTGTTTTTCTCTCGCAGCTGCCTTTTTCTCCTTTCAGGTACGAATGAATCGAACGATATATCCCCTTTTCCCTGCGTTTGCGCGGGATGCTTCCTGCTTCCTGTGCTTGCGCGGGATCTCGCGTGGGGAGCTTCAGAATCCGTGACGCCAATTGCCTGATCCCCTCCCATTCATTCATCACCTATATATACACTTGCATCCGCGCGTGTCTTGGTGCCGGTATCCCCACCTACCAACCCGTTCCCGCTCCTGATGCGTCATCGAGCACCGCCATACCGGATCCCTGACTGTGTTTTACTGCGGTAGGTAGTGGGGTTCATGTGTGCTCGTGCTGCTGCTGTCCATGGCATGGCATGGGCTGCGGCTGCGTCGCTGTGCCTGTGCCTGCATCATACATACATAGGTATTGTTCTGTTCACGCGCCCGCCCATGACACGGCCTAGCTAAGAAAGCCACCGTGTGGACTCCAGTCTAAGCCAAGCAAGTATTTATTGTATTGACGTGAGGAGAACGCTTTCTGCATTATACCACCACAGTACATACATACATAGGTAGCAGCAGCGACCTCCCCAACCCACCAGACCAGTCCACAACACAAAACCAAACCTTGGACCCACACAGTGCAACAAGCAACGAGAGCACACCATCAAGACGACAGACTGGTTGGTCGCGAGCGTATAAAACTATGCCAGTGCTATTTGCGTGCAGTGGTTGCATCAATGTTTGCGGTATACCTAAACCTACCTAGCGCTACGTTCCTTCCCTTCCCTTCCGTTTCTATAATAGTGCCTAATGCAGTTTCTCTACGACGGCACGACGCCAATAGGCGTGGCGTGCCAGTCGCCCTGCCATTTTGCCCAGCCGGCGCGGGCGCGGAAGCGCGTGCTTGCGGGTGGGGGTGGGGAGGAGGGTGCTGTTGCTGTGGCTGAGGCTGCGGTTGGGGCTGCGTCGATGTCCCTGTGGGCGTGGGGTGGTTAGTGTGGTGGTTGGGTTGGGGTTGTGGGTAGAAACGAAAGAGAAAGAGAGAGAGAAAGAAAGAAAGAGAGAAAGAAAGAAAGAGAGAAAGAAAGAAAGAGAGAAAGAAAGAAAGACAGACAGACGAACACACAAGAAACAAGGGCACTTACATCGCGTCCTCCCCCTCCTCCACCACCATCTCATCCTCTTCCTCCTCCTTCCCCTCCACCTCCCTCTCCCTCTCCTTCGCCTCAGCTACCCCCTCCCCCACCCCCTCCTCCGCTCCCCCCTCCACCGCCTTCCCCTTCTCAGCCGCCGCCGCCGCCTCAAAAACCGGCAACCACGCATCCTGGAACTCGTCCTCCCCAGCCCTCAGCAGCGCACGCGCAAGCCTACGACACCAGAAGCGGCCGGGCTGGAGCATGGCGACGCGCATAGCCGCGTCTCTGGCATTGCGGCGGGCGGAGGCGGTGGGGAAATATTGCTCTTCCGCCTCTTCTTCACCTTCGTCTTCGTCTTCGTCTTCGTCTTCGTTGTCGTTGTTAGAGGAAGTGGACGAGGAAGAAGGGGATGAAGAGGTGGGTGGAGAAAGGAAGTCGAGCAGCCAGCCTAGCAGCCCTGCCATCGTCCCGTCTTCTTTCGGGACTGTGCCGATGGGTGAGGGCGCTGCGAGCGCGGCGGCCATTCGCGTCGTTAGTGCGTGCATGAGCGGGGGCAGCGGCGCGCGGAGGCGCTGTAGCAGGGGGTCCCACACGAGGTGGGCGCCGGAGAGGGGGGCGTTGGGGCTATGCGGTCGTTAGTGTCTGCATCAATTCCAAGGAACTCTTTGTGGAATGCGATATAGAAGTTGGTGTCTTGGATTGGAGGGTTGGTTTTGGAGAAGGAAAGAGGGACGTGGGAGGGACGTACGCATAGTCAGAAGGCACGAGCAGACGCTCGCCCACCAGCACGTCTGCCAGTGCTGTTGCAAGTGCATCCACGTCAGGCAGCCGCTTCGACTTCTTCTTTTTCTGCTGCTGCTGAGGGCTTAACAGCACGCTCGCGAACTGCAGTGCCGCAGTCGAGGTGGCTGATTTCGCTGCCGCGGCGCCCACGGCCTTGATCTCCTGGCGGCGAGCACTGAGATACGCCTTCAGGGCCGCGCAGACATGGTCAGCGGCACCAAGGCCATCGCCAGCACTGCGCTGCTGCTCTTTCGGCTGCTCTTTCGGGGGCAGCACAACGGCGTCCAGCTTCTGCCAATAGTGCTCCCACAGCCAGGCGAGGGCGTGCTGGGTGGCGCGGCGGAGGCGCCGCAGCGACGGCAGCTCTTCGTGCGTGGCTTCGTGGCGGAGTTCGACGAAGCTGCTGGGCATGGAGAGGGCGGCTGCCATGTCGTACATGGAGAGTTTGCGGAAGGAGTGCTGGACCGTGTCGCAGAAGCCTGTTACGAATCTGGAGGCGGGGAGGTCTGAGTTAGTGCTTGCATGATCACAATGCGGATGTGGTGGTGGTGGTCTTGATGGTGTTGTCTTTCTCCATTGTTACCAGCGCAAGAGACACAACCCACCTGTTGAAAGCAGCAGAATACGCGTTCCTGACCGCCAGCGCCGACGTCCCGGCCATCTCATCCAGGCGAACAGCATCCACCAGCGACGCGGTCGAGTCAATCGCATGCGGCAGCGTCGCGCGCCGCTTCCACGCCGTCACCTACACGCACACGAGACATAAGCCTATGTACAAGCCGAACAGTCCATCCAAACGCAACCATCACTTTAGAACCATCACCGGCAACGACGATGTTTTTCTTCTTACCATGTTCACCGCCTGCAGGCGGCGGTCGTCGTGGCCATCGTGCCGGTGGTACAGCCAGTCGCGCACGCGCAGCAGCTCGGCGCCATCGCGCCACGGAGTCACGAGGAAGCGCGGCATGCCTTAATTAGCAGCGCGACGAGCACGTCGAAGAGCGGGCAGCGGGTTGAACGAGGCGGGCGGGGCGGTGTTCTTTGCTCTGCGCATCGGCGGCGGCGGCGGTAGCGGTGGAGGCGCATCGGCAAACCTTCTGCCTGCAACTCGCACCCGCACTTGTTCGTTTCTCGAACGACGAACTAACCTTAGCACAACAACGCACGCACAACAAGCCGCCGTCTCAAGATCCTCACGTCCCTTTCTCCTGATCCTACGTAGTACGAGGTGGTCGGGCACGCAGGCGTGTCCGTACCTACCTACCTACCTACGAGGACTCAGGACTCCGTATGCGTGCGTGGTAGAGGGAGTGAAGTGCGGCGGCGGCGGCGGCGGCGGCGGCGGCGGCAGCAGCAGCAGTCGCACCACCACCAGCTCAGTGACCGTAAGTGAGCGAGTGAGTGCGTAAGTCACAAGCAGCGTTGCCACGCTGCCTTACAGCTCCCACTCCCACTCCTCACTCCTCACTCCTCACCTCGCTCCCATCCATCCATCCATCCTTTCCCCCTTCCCCCTTCCTCCATCCTCCATCCTCCATCCTCCACCAGCACAAGGCCCAGCACAAGGCGCACCCCACCCCCTCCCCTCCTCACACCACCACCACTAGCACAGACGCCCTCCTCCCTATCCCTGTCCCTACTCCCTACACCCTAAGCCCGTAACACGGACACAAACACAAGCACGAGCATACACACACACACACCCAACCATCCATCGCGCACCCACGCGCCACAGGGCCCTCGCAGCGCAGGGTGCCCCATATGAAGTAAACAACCAGCGCAAAGCAAAGCAAAGCAAAACGAGCACTCTAGCGAGCAGCGAGTCTAACCAGCGACAGACCGCCCGGACGCTAAAGCGCTGCTACTGTTACGAGTGTACGAGCGTGAGCCCTGGCCCTGGCCCTGCCTGCTGGATGGATGGACCCGGGCGCGCGGTCCCTCCGGATCCTAGGTGATCCTGAGGAGGCGGCGTGGGCTGAGGGCTCGTTCGGCTTGGGGGTGGTTGCGTGGTTGGGTGTGGTTTGGCTGTGCCTGTGTGGGTGTGGGAGGGCGCGCTGGTGTGCGAGAGCAGGAAGAGGAGGAAGAAGAGGAGGAGGAGGAGGAGGAGGAGGAGGAGGAGGAGGAGGAAATGATCCTCTGAGTACCGTAGTCCTACTTTGCGTGCGCGTGTAGGAGGTGCCATGGTAGTGGCTACAGGGCTACAGTACGTACTACGTAGAGCACAACCACGCACCGACTCTACTCTGCCCACCGGCACGTCCGGATCCCCGTACCTACGTACTGCACTCGCTCGTACGTCCTAGGTAGGTAGCCCGTTTCCTTTCGCCTCGCCTCGCGGCCTCACTCTCCTCACCTCACACCCGCCATCAGGCCCCAAGCAAGCCTCAGGCCCACCGCCGCGGATCCGGTTCGCAGCGTCTCCCTGTGGCGGCGCACAGAGCAGACAAGCACACCTACTCTACACACGCCGTAGTACTCCTAGCAGCTAGTAGCAGGACTCTACTCCTACCCTACCCTACCCTACCCAGGCGTGCTAGCACAGAGTCCGTCCTCGTAGAGTAGGTCGAAAATCCTCGCCCGAAAACCAGGGGCCTACGGCTCCACTCTCGGGCGGTGGTGCGGCCGGTGCCCGCCAGGCGGTTCATCGGCGGGCGGGTTCGGGCTCGGCGCGGCGACGGCGGCGGCGACGGCGACGGCGAGTCCCTGGGCCCACTCCCACTGGTGCCACCTCCGGGCTTCCTTCTTCTTCTTTTCCTTCTCCACGCTAGGGCTAGAAGTAGCGTGCTAGTGTGTTTGCGGACTGGCGTCGTAGGTGGTGTGGTAGTGTGGTGGCTGGTAGCTTTTTGCTTTGGCTGGTAGGGTTAATCGTAGGCGTAGCTTTGACTTGTGGCTCTGGCTCTCTTCCTCTTCTCCATGCCATGCGGTAACTAACTACGTAGAGTACTCTAGAGTACTCGTAGAGTCGGCGCAGCTCGGCGCGGGGGTGCTGCCGTTTGCGCCTAGCTTGCTTGGTGCGGGTTGAGAGTACGAGTACGGAGTACGGTGGCAGGAGTGGAGAGAGGGCTGGCAGTGGCACTGGAGATGACGGCGCTTGGGTTCGATGTTCAATGCTGCTTGTGGTGCTTGCTTGCTGGGGCCCCAGCCACGCCTGCGCCAGGGCTAGAGTAGATAGAGGGTGCGAGCACGGCGCCTAGTGCATGAAGAGGCGTGAGTCGTGATTACGGTTAGGCGGGCATGTAGGAGAATGAATGCCGAAGTTGGTAACCTGCTTTTGCCTTGAGTTGCCTTGAGTAAGAGTTGCCTTGACCAGGCACGGTCATGCCGCTGCCGCTGCCGCTGCCGCCGCTCTTGTTTCCGTTTTGCTGCTGCTCTAGATCAAACAACCCGCACCGCGGCACCATCCACGCCGACAAGGCGCAGCCTGGCAATCGGTTGTTTGTTTCCATGCGGGGCGCGCTAGAGTACCAAGCGCGGGCAGCAGAGCGGCTAAGCAAGTTAAGCCTCGCTAGCCTCATACGTCTGTAGCAGTAAGTACGTAGCGCCTAATGAACAAGCAGAAGAAAAAACACCTAACCTACGTCTAGAGTACTCTACTACGTACAGTCTACACGTAGACGCGCGCTAGCGATCAGGCCGCCCGGGCGCCGCCACTAATCGTAGGAGTGGTACGTCGTGCTCTAGGGTAGATGGGGCGTAAGGATGGGAAGGGAAGCCCTAGCTACTTTACTCGACGTAGGACGCTTGTGCGAAGACTACGCCTAGCGCCCCCGTGCTGCAGCATTCTGGCGCGCTTCTGGCGCCGGTGTGTGGGATGTGGGACCTGCGGTGCTTGGGCCTTGGATCCTGGAAGGCGCCCCGCTCCTCTGCGGTGGTGGCCTGTGGGGTTGGGTGTTGTTTTGCTGAGATTGTTACTGTAGCAGCGGCACAATATAGAGTGTGTTCGTTCATTGCCAGTGCGTGCGGTCGTGCGTGCAACTTGTTTCCGGCAGGGCGCGCTCGTTTGAAATAGACGTACAGGGCGCAGGCGCGGGCGGAAAAGCGAGAGAGCGGAAAAAATCAGGACGATGATGATGAGTGATAGCTCCCGAGGTACGACGAGCGTCTTCCCCACCACCATTGACCACGCTCCTCGGCCATCTCGCCTGCTGCGACCGGAGGAGGCCGGACGGCACGCATCCTCCCAACCTTACTCCTACGTATTTCGGATTTAAGTGCGGAAAAGCAGAGAGAGTCAGACCAGGCGCAAGGTTTCAGGCACGCCGCACCGCACCGCAACGCAACGCACGCGCGCGCGAATCCCCATCTTGGCCTGACCCGTGCCAGCCGTGCCAGAGCCAGAGCCAGAGCCAGCCCACTGCCCAGCAGCCCAGCCCAAAGCGCATCCCATCCCAAATCCCACCATCCCGGCGTTGCTGCCGTCCAGCCGTGCCGTGCCGTCCGGAGTAGGGTATAGTGCCAGCGCTATGTACAATATAGCTCGGCCGACGTTTTCTTTTCCGGCCTCGTTTCTCGAGACATGCATGGATGGAGATGACTCGCTGTGCCCGCTATCGTCGGCCGCAACACCACCACCTTCACTATTACTGTTGTAACGCTGGCAGCACGCGCTCGTGCCGCAGACGGGGCAGAGTAGAGTAGAGTACGGAGCACCAGAGCGAGCGAGTACGGCTGGTCCGCGTAGGCTAGAGTACCTACTGTACGATGGACGAAGGATGGAAGACAGAGGCACCGGTACCGGTACGGAGTAGAGTACTCTGCTCTGCAATGCAGTAAGTGCAGTGCTAGCGCAGGCGCTCGCACAGTACCTGCTCCTCGCAGCGTGGCTTGGCTTGCAACTGCGAGCAGGGCGCCAAGTACACACCCCCAGCACACCACGCACTCTACTCTAGAGGACCGCCACCGGCACGGGAGGGCAACCACGGTAGCGAGCCAAGCGGGACGCTACTCTAGAGTACGATCGCGATCACGATCACAAGCTCCAGCCCGCTCGACCCTAGAGTAAAGTCGAGTGCTGATGACTTGGTTGCGTACGAGTATTTGCGGTGGTTGGGTGGCACATACCCATAGCAGGGTGGTTGGAAACCTGCGTAATTAGTTTTTTCCTGTTCTTGTCCTTGTCTTGTGGTGGGACGCGGGCGAGCGAGTGAGCAAGTGAGCAAGTAAGCAAGCAAGTACGAGTAAGCGGGGAAGTGCGAAATAGAGTGGTTGGTTATTCGAATCGCATCATCATCATGGTTGCATCGTCCTGTACGCATACTCTACCGTACCTAGAGTAGAGCAAAGAGGGAGTGGAGAAAAACAAGGTCGTTAGCTCCAATTGCTCTAGGTTTATTTTGTGCGTGGTTGGCTAGATGTTCTAGACGGTAGTGCGCGGGTAGAGTGGTTAGAGTGGTTAGGTACGGGTACTCTGCTCTACGTGAAGTAGAGTACTCGTACGTAGAGTACGCACCAGCAAATGGCTGGAGAGAAGGATGAACGAATGAACGAATGAGCGAACCACCGCCGGATGGATGGATGGATGGATGGATGGATGGAATGAAGGAAGGAAGAACAATCTACCTAGGTAGAGTAACTAGCGACCCAAAATCACCCTACCCATACTTCAGCTTAGTAACAAGCAAAGGCAAAAAATCCAATTCACGTTTAAGCTTCCAACCAACAAAATCTTCAGAAGACGATCCTTCTTATTTTTACTTCAAAAGCTAACTAACTGACCGACCACGCTGTTCGCGCCGCCGCTCATTGGGGGGGTATCTCTAACAAGAAAGACGCCGTTCGTCGTCGGACCCAGGCCCTGGCCCAACTCTAAGCCCGCCACCACCACTACTAACTACTGCTTCGCCATCATCGTCGCCGCCGCCGCCGCCTCGATCCACCCCAAGGATCCGTTGCCCGCCTGATGATGAGTGATCGTGAAAGTCCGACGAAGGAAATTCTGTCCTTCGCCGTCATGTCGCGCTGGCCACTACTGCTCTTCAGATAGGAGAGAGTAGGCGCGCTATCTACAAGCCAAACCAAAAATCAAAAACGCCATCGCTATGCATGCTGTATGTATATTCCGTCCATCATCGTGAGAGAGAGGGAAAAAAAAGGGGTAAAAGGTTGGGTGGAGTGAATTTTCGCCGTCGCCGGCGTCAAAAATGGTCGTCGTTTCGTCGCCGCTCTCGCCCGCAAGCAAAAGAAACGCACTGCGCAAAGCTTAACCCTAGCACTGGGCGCGGTGGTGGTGCGGCAGCCAGCCATAGCCCAGCCCCATCATCGGCTGCTTCGCCGCCTGGTGCTGCTGTTGCTGGTGCTGTTGGTACCACCACTCGGTCGCGTACGTCGAGTCGCCAGCGTCCAGGTTCTCGAGCACGAAGCCCTGGCCCGCCATGTCGGTGGGCATGACCACCGCCGGTGCCGCCGCCGCCGAAGCCGGGTGCAGCGTCGACCAGCGGTCGACGGTAGCGGGGGCGGGCGGCTCCTCGACGCTCGACTCGCTCTCAGAGCTGGCGCTGTCGTCCGTGTCGTCGTCGTCTTCATCCTCTTCTGGCTCATCCTCATCCTCTTCCTCATCGTCATCGTTTTCCTTCTCCGCCGGTGGCTGCCACGTCTCTTCCAACTTGAGGCCCTTGCCCAATCCCGACGTCAGCATTGACTCGTAGCTGGGCGGGTCGTACAGCCCCATGCCGACAAGGACCGTCTCGGGCTCCCTTGCGTCGTCGTCGTCGTCGGCCATGTAGTCCGAGGCGTTGTCGTCAGCCTGCATCGAGGAGAACTCCGACGAGGAGTTCGAGTCGAGGCGGGGATGCGAGGTGGGCTGTGCCGATGGCGCCGCCGCCATCGAGGTCCAGTCTTGTTGCGACGCCATAGGCGGGAATGATGTCATGGCGAACGTCGAGTCGGGCGTGCAAGGGTCTTGCCAAACAGGGAATGGCGTCGGGTCCATCGACACATCAGGGCTCCCGATGCTCGACGGTGGATAGTTCCGTTTCCTCTCGGCCAGGGCTGAGACGTAGGCCACGGCCGACGACGACGGATACGGTGACGTCTGGTCGGGGAAGCCGTAGGAGCCGGTTTGGCTGCACAGATCATCGGCCGGGCTGGAGATGTAGGATTCCGGGTAGTACGACGTTGTGGGATGCCAGCTGACGGGGCGATTGTTGGAAGAGAAGGAGGACGAGTCTTGTTGGCCGAACATCATCTCCCAGTGGTCGTCGAGGCCGACGTACTTTTTGACGGAAGAGGTGGTCCGGCGGCGCTGCTGCAGGGCCTTGGGGCTGTTGTGGGAGCTGCGCGGCTTCTCGACGCGAGAGGAGCGCTTGGAGGAGGTGGAGGTGGAGGTGGTGGTGCGTGGGGAGATGTCAATCATGGTGGGCGGTTGTTGTTGTTGTTGTTGTTGTTGTTGTTGTTGTTGTTGTTGTTCCTGTTGTCCATAACCAAGGGCCATTTCGGACGAAGAGCGCCCACATGAGAATATATGGGAATGGCTTCCAAGATACGTGTACACGGAGACCAGGGGCTGAGGCAGCTAAAGGATCATTAGGTCGGAGCACGATCAGACAGACATGGGATTACTCGATGCGTGGATAGTGTATACGGCGGCTCGTGGGCTGTACTAGGGTCTTGTATGCTCGGTGGTACTCCCGCCTAGGGCCAGGGCGCGAGGAACCCATTTACGGGGATGGCAGCAGGTCAAACCGACTAGTTGGGAGCAGGCAGCCGGTGTGGCACGGGCTGGCAGGGTGATCTTTAATCATGATCGCAACCGGGAGGGGGCCGTGCTGGTGCGGGTATGTATCATGGCGCAACGGAGCAGGCTGCCGCATGCGCTGGTTCGGCGGGCTCGTGGCTTTAGGAGCGGTCAAGGGTGCGTGGGTGGCACCAGCGTGCCGACGAGGGCGATGGCGCATGAGGCTCGGCACACGGGGCCAATCGTACGAGCATCAAAGGGCCGACCGCTTTCCAGAATGCAACGGCCGAGATTGCATGAAACGGCCTGTCAGCCGCACCGCGAACGCGCGTACGAGCGTGGCGGCCAGATCGTGTGCGCGCCCGACGATTGGGGTGCAGCCTGGCGTGCAGAAGCGCCCTAGCTTCCTGGCCCTCCCCCCTGCACCATGATCGCCCGCGCGCGGCCATGGGATCTGGAGAAGAGCGGGGGCCTGGCGCCCGTGCAGAGTCGCTTGGCTTGTCGGGTGAAGCTTTTATTTGTTGTTGTGGCTGTTGCGTCCGTCCGTTGCAGTGTGTTGCTGCCGGGGCCGCGGGGATGAACTTTCCATGATGACCATCATGACGGCATTGGCGATGGCGGTGCATGGGTTCCCGTGGCTCATGGCGGCGGCGGCGGTGGTCGTGGTAATCCACGCGGTGGTTGGTGGTCACTACTGGCGGGCGGTGGTGGTGGTCGTCGTCTCCTCTTTTGGGTGGAGCTGGGCCGGGCGTCGCTGACACGCTGCACCGCTGGCGGAAATGGGCAAACACAGGTTCTAGACCGGTTCGGAGTACTCTCGCGCAGGGCTGCCGCTTTTTTTTCTTTGACTCCTTGACCTTGAGCAGCCCCTCCGAGTCAGCACACCGACGCTTCCACGATCCCTCCCCTCGGCGGGCAGCACCGTGTCACGCACGCGGCGCCCGGGCGATCCCAATCTCTGGCAACGGGCATCCAGTCAACCAACGCACGCCGTAGATCGCCAGCCCATATTCGCTCACTCCTGCGGCACGAAGCGTAGCAAGGCCTCCGTGCTTGTGGCTGACGTGCGGCCACAAAAAGCATCGTCATAATCATCCGCAATCCGCTTCCGCATCCCTCTCACTTCATCATCGTTGTCACATCGTCATCCCCATCCTCGACCGACGCTAGCAAAATAGCAACAATAATAAAGTAATAATAATAGCAATAAGCTGGCTGATGATGGACCGGTGGATGGATGAAATGGCTGGATGGCTGATGAATGGCTGCTGCTGGGGCTGGGGTCCCTCGGCTGGATCATGTATGATGGATCCCATCCATCTGGCGGTAGGCAAAAGGTCGCAGTCGCAGTAGTGGTACCCACCCGCGTTGCAGTGTGTGGGCGCTGATCACGGCGGTCGGCCACAGCGTGCGACATTGGCGGGCTGCAAGAAATTTTCCGCAGCAGCAGCAGCAGCAGCAGCAGCAAGCGTGCAAGCGTGAAGCAGCAACAAAAGAGGAGCAGCAAGCAGCAGAGCAGCAGCAAACGGCTGCGTGACGCCGAGCTAGGCAAAACGGGCAAAGCGGGTCGCGGGTTTCGTTCTCCTTGGCCGGTGCTTATCAAACTCTACGGGCCCATGCTTTTTTGGGTTTTTCCATTTTTTTTTCTTCTGCCCTTGCGCGGAGGAGTCGTCGTGGTCGGCACGGAGGAGTGTTAGCTAGCGTGACCCTGATACAAGTAGCCGGGCGTGCCGACACTCAGTGCCCAAGGCTTCCCTCCCCCCTGGGTCCGACAACTCTATTGTTAACATATAGCGCCGGCCAGGCGAAACCCGGCCGCCCGCGCAATGCAGACGTCAGTCGCCAATATTATCAGATGCGGCATGGACAGATTGCATCTTCATCTCTCAACTGCCGCGGGCGGGGACGGAAGGCCTTCACGCCCGCTGATCCACCACCACCACTTGAACCGAGGCCCTTTCGAGACCTTCTTCGTTTTTTTTTTTTTTTTTTTTTTTTCCTTCTTTTTTTTTTTCTCGCTTGTCCACACGACCCCTCTCTTCTTTGCTTCATCATCGGCGTCCCCCCTGACGCGCCGCTAATAAACTCGCAGCCGCGATGGCCGGTCAGTCAGACAGGCGCATGATGGGATTTGATTGATTGAGCAGCGCTTCCAATATCACCATGGTCGCTTTGCCAAACGGTCGTCAGCCTCCGCGCCCCGCCATTGGGCGTCACTTACATAGGCGCCCCTCGTCCTCCAACACACGATCCGAGCATGTCAGATGGCGTGCAGGTCAGGTACCTCAGGTACAATATACCCGGCACCGCCGCCCCCATCGCATCCATCCACCCATCCATCCACTCATCTGCAGCCCTCCCACCTCGCCACCGTGCTCTTGTTTCGGCACTTTGCAGCGCCGTGTGACTCGCCAGCCCGCCCGCCCGCTTCCGCACGTAAGCAGCAACCAACAGCGAGTAGCTGGCACACACAGTCGTCTCTGCCTGCCCGTTGTGCCGTTTTTGCACCACCCCTGTTGGCCTAACCCTTGTGCCCACTGCCCGCCTTGCCCTTGCCCTGCCACTCTCTGCCACTCCTGCCCCTCAGCCCATGCCACCCGCTTTGTCCACCAGCTTTTGCCCATCCCATCCCGATTTTCCCATTCCATCATCATCGTCGACGCACGGCACTACTCCTCCAACCATCCACACCCACCCCCTCGCGCGCACGCACGCACGCTCACTCACACGCGCAACGCACCAGCCAGCACCGGGGCCGGCCTGCCCCAGCACCAGCACCAGCAGCAGCGAAAGCGCGAGAGCCGAGCAGTGCAGCGACGGGTGGTGGTGAAGGTGCACCGAGCGAGGGCAATCAGCGGCCAGCGCCGCCACCGCTACCGCCGCCCGTCGGGGTCGTCAGGTCGTCGTCGCATCGTCGCATTGTCGCATCCATCACCGCGTCGTCGCATATTATTGTTCCGCCCACTCGCCTCGCCTCGCCTCGCCTCGCCCTTGCCCTGCCTGTGCTGTGCTGTGCTGTGCTGTGCTTGCTGTGCTGTGCCTCCGGGCCCCGGGGGGCCTCCTGCCTCCTGCCCACTGCCTCCTGCCCACTCACTCACTGCCTGCGGCCTGGCGCCTGCGCCTCTCTCCGTATGGATGGATGTAACTGTGGACGGGCGGATAGGCGTGCGCATGTGTGTTTGTGGGCGTGTGAGCGTGAGTGTGTGTGCGATGATGGCCACGCACGCACGCAACGCAACGCACGCCTGCCCACCCTTCGGTCGTCCGCATCTTCCTTCGTTCGTCCTTCCGCAAGGGGCTCGGCGGCTGGCGCTCCTGTCGCTCTTGTCCTTCGCCGCCGTGCCTCAAATCTCTCTCTCCCGTCGTCTCCTTGAGGCCCCGTCCAGCGCCTGCATTGCATTGCTCCGCCCCGGTCCTCCGCCTCCCACAGTGGACGGTATGCATGCCACTTTCTGGCAAGCTTCCGCTATACCTAGGTCCTCCGTGCCTTGCCTAGGCACTGAGGTATGCGTGCGTGCGGCTGCTTGCTGGGTTGCTGCAACGCCTAAGCTCGCATATCCCCATTCCTTCCCTCTTCCCCGTCCCCCCATGCCCTTGCCGTATCTACGTACCGTAGGCACCGCACCCGTACCGTACGTTCCGAGCGGCCGCCGCGCGCGTTCGTTCGTTCGTTCATTCATTCATGCCTTGCGTCCCCCTGCTGCTGCTGCTGCTGTCGTTGTCACTGTTGTCCACCACCCGTCGCTTGTCCCGGCACTCCAACGCCAAGTGCCCAGTTTGAGTTAGCTGTCTGTCTGTCTTTGCCTTGCTTTCGCCATGCGTTGCTTGCTCTGTCTTGCGTAGCGTTGACTAGGTAGCTGCCGTGCCCGCGTGCCTGCTTACTTGCTTGCTTCCAACTGCTTGCTTGCTTGCATGCTTGAATGCGTTGCGTCTGCCGATAGGCAGTTACCTGCTCCTAGCAGCAGCCTCCATGTCTAGCACTTAAGTCGTCAACCTGTTCTGTCTCATCTCATCTCATCGCATCTCGTCTCGTCTCGTCGCAAACTGGTCGGATAGTTCTATGCATGGATTAGCTGCGCCTCCGCCTGCGAGGAACTCGTCCTGGCAAGCAAGCAAGCAAGCAAGCTCGCCCTCTATGTCGCTCCCCTCCCCAGCAGCGCCAACTACCTACGGATCACCTACCTACCTACCTACCTGCGTACGCCCCCACGGGACCCCGACCCCCGTCGCCCGCGCGCAACCAGCCACCCAGGCACCATGGCGCCGGGCGCGTGGCTGCTGCTGCTGCTGTTGTTGCCAAAAACAGGAGGCCGGCAGAGACGCAGCACCGGGACCGACCGCCGTGCGTGCGTGCGGGCTTGCTCCTGTTCCTCCTGACTGTCAGTCAATCAGGCAGGCTGGCGAGCTGGCGGCTGGGATGGCATGGATACAATACTCCGTACTCCGTAGGTACAATAGTCAGCAGCGTGCACGCAGCAGCATCATCAGCCGCAGCAGGAGCAGCACCAGCACCGTCATCGTCACCGTCACCGTCATCGTCATCATAATCCGCGGCGGTTAGATCACCGTAGCAGTGAGAGTACGGAGTACATAGTAGGTAGGTGCTAGGTGCTAGGTGCTAGGTACGTACAAAGGTAGGTACCCAGGTGGTGGAGGCCAAAGGCCATCCATAGCATGCCCCAAGCAGGCAGGCCCCCATGCCATGCCATTCCCTGCCCCCGTCACCCGTAACCCCGTGCAGCCAGCCTCCGCGTGCGCCCCGGCCGGGCACTGCGCGCCGAGGGGCGCCGAGGGGCATCGCGGGCACCTCGGACACCGGGGGGCAGTGTGGGCAGTGTGGGCAGCCCGCGTACCGACCGCTGCTGCTGTTGGCTGGCCTGCTGGCCTGGTGCTGCTGGTGCAGCAGCAAAGAAAGCGTGCACACACACTGCACACCCACCCCAATCCCCCAATCCCCCATTCCCAATCCCATTCATTCATTCGCATTCCGCACCGCCCATGCGCAGTGCACCCACCCACCGTACATAGGTAGAAGCGCCGCGGCCTGGTTCCATCGCCCGTGCCTCCGCTGTGCCTTACCCCTGGGCCCCCCTTCTTCATTCCTCATTACGAATTTGTTCTTTTATTCGTTCGTTCGTTCTTTCGTCGTCGGCGCAGAAAGAGATGTGAGATGGATGCTTCCTTGGCCCCGACGCTTGTCATCTATGCCCGCCCTACCTAACCTACCTACCACCCTGGGTACCTACCCACCCATCGTTATTCCGCTTCCGTGCTCCGTACCCACGAGGCTGCTGCGGCTGTTGCGCCGCCTCCCTACGGATTACCTACGTATGGACGTGGTAGGTGCTGCCGGAGCTGGAGCTGGCAGGTGGTGGTGCCGCCTTCCCGCGCGCCGCCCGCCGCCCGCCCGCGTGCTTGCTTGCTCGCGTTGTGAGTAATCCGTAATCCGCGAGGTGAGTGATGAGCGCCCGCGAAGAAGAGGCGTCCGCGTGTTGCTATATCCAGCCGTGATCGTTCGTACCCACCCGCTCGCCGCGCTCACGCTCACGCTCACGCTCACACACGCGCGCCAGCCACCCCGCGCCCTGCCCGCGCCCCTCCCCTCCCCCGGTTGCCGCCGGCGGCGAGCTCCTTCGTCGTCGTCGTCGTCGTCGTCTCAGCGTCTGCTGCTGCTGCGAGTGATGAGATGGGCGTGAGGACCAGCGCGCAGGCCAGGCCGCTCAGACTCACTCTCAGGCTCTCAGGCTCACAAGCTCGCACGAGGCGCACACGCCCGCTTGTCCACTCTGTTTTGGCCGCCGCTGTCCGCCCGCGCGGGTCGGGGCTGCCTGCTCTGCAGTCTGCTGCTGGGTGCGTTCCATGCGTTGCTGTTCTGTAATCCGGAG